TTTTCTCTCTCTCTCTCTCTCTCTCTCTCTCTCTCTCTCTCTCTCTCTCTCTCTCTCTCTCTCTCTCTCTCTCTCTCTATCTCACGTTCATAAGATGTATGTATCACTGAGCTTTCTCATACTGCTCACTAATACCCATCTACAGCACTGATGATGGCGGTAGTTTGATCGCTCTTACACTTACAAGAGTAATCTTACTTCCGTGAAATACGGAACAGAAGCAGTTCTTGTGGATGAACTTCTCTTAATCCGTGGATGCCGCGTGTATAGCGTTCATAATTCAAAAAAAAAGAAAAAAATCTTATTTTTGTAAATTACAGAAAAAGTATTTTCCATCCAATGTTATTTATTAATGTGTATCATTAGTAATACTATGCTATGCTTCTAATTAGCTATTTTATACTTCTCAGATTAAGTCACAAGGCTTTGATCAGATCTCATATTACACTACTCAATTTACAAATATGTATGTCTCTCTCCCTTCAAAATTCCATTATTATTCTTAAATCTTAAGCCTATTTGAAATTCTTCAAATAGTCTTCTGATGATTTTCGATCATACCAACCTTAACCTGATTGACTATGATGATTATTCAAATGTTTGACAAATTTTATTTTTGAATAATCGGAAGTTAATTGAATGATTGCAATTTTTCCTTTTTACTCTGTTTTTTTTATTTTTTATTTTATTTTTTCCTTATTCACACTCTCTCCCTTCATCTACCACCCACCATTCCCCCCTCCACTCCTCTTTCTCCTCCCTCTATTCGGCATATCCCAAAAAAGAAAGGAGACATTTAGAGAGAAGAACATAAAAATTTTGTGCTATTTATACTTATTAAAAGAAGAAGCGTCTTTTTCATACACTTTCCTCATAACCCCGCTATATATCTCTCTCGCCCTCCCTCTCTCTCCCTCTCTCTTACTCTCTTTCTCTCTCTCCATTTCTACTCTTACTTTTTTCTTTTATTATCTATCATTTTCTCTCTTATTCGTAGATCTTCTCTTTTTCTCTCCTCTTTCCTATAAAAACCATTTGTGGACCGGCTGGGGGCATCATTCAGCTTCCTCATCCTCCCCTTCATCCCATCATTATTCTGTCTTTCATTTTGCTGAATAATAAGTATCTATTATTTAAAGATTTGTGTATGAATGTGCTTGTCTTACAAAGACATTTTGCAATTGTTTTGTTTGGAAGAAAAAAAAAAGATTTCTTCTGAAAGATGATGATGATCAGTATGCTCAAGTTGTTGCTTCATAAGCATATTTAAGTTTTTTTTTCGAAAAAAAAAAAGATCTTTTAAATCTTTTTTCGTGAATAATTAAAAAAAATAATATGTTATATGATATGGTTATACATATATATAACATATTAATTATACATGTTAGCTTATTTAGTTTCACTTAGATCATCATACATCTAACATCAATCTTTCCTCTTCTATCTCATCCACCATGGAACCGAAACTTCTTATACTCTTACTCTTAACTCATATTTCAAATTCTTATGAAATTAATTTTTTTCTTCTTGTCTATATATTTCAAAAATGAAATATAAAAAAAAACTTATATCATATAGTTAACATAAACACATCTATATATCTATAAATGATATAAATATAAATTTTCTTCATCCACTGCAGTATATCATAAGGATTCCATTTCATTGCATTTTTGCTCATCTCTTCCACCTACCACCTATTATGCATGTAGTTTAATATTATTAACTATATCATATATATGTTATACTATATATATATATATAATAGTTAAACATAATATGTATATTTCTAGTACTCGATTAACGTATTTTGTCATTCGGTTTTATCATAATCTTTATTTGATCAACACCTACAATTGTATTTTGATTCAAATAAAAAACACAGCCGAACACAACATGCTCTTCCTGATTTGACTTCCCACTCCTCTTTTTGCCATCCTTCAACGGTTCGTAGAAGCTTCAAATTTTCTTTTTTGCCATTGTTATTTTATCTTTTGTCATTTTAAAATATTTCTTCTTCTTCTTCTTCTTCATCTTCTTCTTCATCTGCTTCATCTACATCTTCATCTACTTTCTATTATACTATATGTTTATTATATTAATAGCTTCTCATAATGATTTATTGTTTCTTTAACAATATTTCTAAAATCATTAATTATCATATTCTTTTGAAAGAGTTCGTTGTAAGGAGACCTTTCGATAGTTTTGTTTCTTTTTTATTTTTCTAATTTTTATAATTATTAAACATATAGATTCGTCTTCGAGCTTTTTCATCATCATCATCATCATCATCATCATCATCATACTCATCCTCATCCTTCTCATCATCATCATCACGTTTCATCATTTTTAAAGAATTATTATATTCACATATAGTTAGCATAAAATATACTTTAGTCATTTCTAACATTATTTTTTTTCCTTCTTTCCTTCTTCATCTTTCTTTTTTTTTTCCTTTTTTTCTTCTTCATCTTCTTTATCTTTCAATTTTCGGCTTTTGCCCTTCGCTGACGTATCTTTTCATCATTTGTACTCATGAATCCGTAAATTTGCTTGACATGCTCTTCCTATTCTAAGCTTAATACCAGCAGGCTGCTTCAAAAGCGAAATACATTTGATGACTTTTTCCTTTTTTTTTCTGCTTGCTTCTCCTTCATCATCTGCTTCAGCTTCATATTTGACTCTTTTCCATACTTTTTTCTTCTTTTTTTTTTATATTCTTCATCATCATCTATTGAATAGATGAAAGTAAAAGATTTCTATTTTATTAATATAATTCATTCATAAAAAAGAGAAATTATAGATTTTCCTTAATTAGGATGAGGAATTGTTCATTACAACGCGAGCCTGTAATGGCTGTTACAACATCAGTTATATCTATTATAACATGCTATATAATTGTATTCATAATAGCTTTTGTTGGAAATGTTACAATGTTTTTAATACTTGTCAGGTTATTTATATATATTAAGATATATAATTACTAATTATATATTCTTTATTATAGAAATCAGTTAATCAAAGTGAGACGAGTACATTCGTTGCTCTTACACATGAATATAGCTCACTTAATGGTCACTTTACTTTATATGCCAAAAGAAATACTTCATAATTATACGATTGCTTGGCAAGGAGGAGATTTTGTATGTTTTTTTTAATTCTTTTATTTTATTATTTTATTTATTATTATTATTGAACTTCATTTATTTATTTATTATTAACTATATGATTTTTAAGCTCTGCCGCTTATGCAAATTTTTTGATGTCTTTGGTATTGCTCTATCTATGAATATACTCATTTGTATATCATTAGATAGGTTCTATTCTATATTTTTTCCTTTATATGCTATGAGAGCTAGAAAAAGTGTTCAACGTATGGTCATTATTGCTTGGGTTGTAAGCTTTCTGACGTCAGCTCCTCAGGTAAATTTCATTTCTTTACATTCTTCCTTTTTTGTTACGGCCATTCTTGTTTTTTTGCCCTCTAACTTACATAACACGACTATTTCATTCTGGAGACTTTAAACAATTCTTTCTTTTTTTACTTGACGTATGTATAATCTCTGGTCATCGTTACATTCTCAATTGTTACAGCTTAGAGTAATTACAATTTGGCTTAAGCGTGGTCTCAAAACTGTTAAGCCCGATGGCTTTGTTCCATCTTAAAACGGTGAAATTACACCTTTGATCACAACTCGAAAAGGCTGTATTCTATCTAAGATTATGTCTCAGTGCGATTGCATCCCACCTCTGACCAGTCTTAGAGCGGCTGTACTCCATCTCTGATCCGGCTCAGAACGGTTGCATTCCACCTCTAATCTGTCTCAGAACGGTTGCATTCCATATTTCATGCGTTCCATAACGATTCCGTTGCACGTCCAATTCCGTCCCAGAATTTATGCATTTCGTGTCTCACTCTGCCTCCATACTGTTACTCTTACATCTGATCCCGTTCCTGGTGTATTGTATTCTCAAATTTCGCGATCTCTGAACGATTGCATGCCGGACGTCTATAACTACCGAAGGACTGAACGTTCAAATCGTTCATGTTCGAGCTTGAGTGCAATCCATTTTCCTATCCGCCTATGAACTGTTATAATTTGAACTTAACATATTCGTATTTCGAAGTAATCAAATTTCAGCTCTATCTATTCAAAATGGCTGCTCATCCATGTTTTCAATGGTATACCCAATGTGTTTCAAAGAATTTTATCGGAGAAATGTCGAACGAGGTTAGACATATTGTGAAATATGACAAAACTATCTAAATATATATTTTTTCAAGGCAGTATTTTACTTTTCGATCTTGAACATCGTTCAAGTATATTTTCTACCATTGGTAGTCACATTATTATGCTATTCACTTATTTTATGGAAAATATCAGCACAAACAATTGAAAAAGAAAGTAATATAGTATGTATAAGATGAATACTATATGTAATGATTATAGATTTGGAAAAGAACGATATGCTATTACGTCGAAACGGTGTTAATACGTTAGAAAGAGCACGAAGTCGTACATTGCGTATGACGTTTGTTATCGTTTTAGCATTCATATTCTGTTGGACTCCATATGCAATTCTAATGTTTCTTCATTTCCTCACAAAAACTGATTGGTAATTCAGATTTAATATTGTAATTAACCACATGATATATACTGATGCTTTTAAGGATACCAAAAGATCTTCGAAAATTTATTTATGCCTTCGCTGTATTCAATTCAGCTTTATCTCCCTATCTGTATGGATACTTTTCATTTGATGTTCGGCGCGAATTAAAGCTATTAATGACATGCTCAAAGCTGACAGCATCTGAACGAAATTTATCTTGTTCAACCAATGTATCTCGGTATGTCCTTTTATAGTTTTTCATTACGAATTAAGTTATATTATTAAGTTGATCATGTGAGCATGAAACTGAATTGCCTTGAAAGTAGATTTTTTGCTCGTCTTAACACACTTTCAATACATATATATACATATATGTTTTTTTTGTTTTATTTAATAGAATTTGTAGTTGAAAAACAATCGAATTCATTTTATACGACACATTTTATTCTATTCAAACACACATGTCTTTACTAAGTTAGTTAGGGATAATGATGCAAACCATGTCAAACTGAGTCCATAATTTATAATTTAGTTTAAGCTTTAAATATGAATCTTCTTCACACTCTCTCAATAGGCCATGCTCTCTCTCACACATACTCTTGACATAAAAAAACTATAAAGAAAGAAAGAAAGACATTTTTTTCTTTTTCTTCCTCTCCATGCTTTTTTTTTTTATTTCAGATCGCAAAATAGTCAACGAATGCGAAAACGCAGTGCTTCAGCATATGACTTGGATAGTGGAAGAGCTCTTCTGAGTAAAGAAGAGCCAACTCCACCTGCATGTAATCGTGGCCAATCTCTTCGTAATCCTAAAAAGGCTAATCACTTATCTGTACATCAGTCTTCTGCACAAAATTATAAATATCGTTCAATGATTTGAGTTTACAAACCGAACAGGTTTCTCTCATATTTTCACTAGATGTTCCCAATTCTCTCATTTTCCCACTGAAAAGCAAAAAAAAAAGAGAAAAACGAAACTCAGAGCTTAAGCTCCACAAAACCTTTTTCATTATTTCAAATAGAGTCATATGTGAATCATTATATGCCAACCAAATGAATTCTGATTGTTTTATTATTATTAGAAATATTTATCATTTCTCTTATTTCCGCATGGTACTCCAGATCTCATCATCATTATCATATCACGTTTTCATTTCTATTATCAAACGTAATTTCCTTTTATGCTTATGCTACAAATATGTTTTACTCAATTCAGTTGAACATTCAATACTCTGAATCATTCATATGTTCCAAATTATTTTACTAAATAAATGATTTTATTTTCATTTTCACAACTTTTTGTTTGTTTTGTTTTCTTGTTTACATGTTGTTTATTATGTTTTAGTCATATTGATTCGTGTATGTCAAGAATGACTTTGTTTTCTTTCTTTCAGCTTAATATAACTATAGCGGGCTTTGCTATCAAGCAACCACCACGTGACTCCGCCTTCATTGCCATAACGAGCCACTCCCCTCTTAGCCTTATGTCTCTATCTCCTCCTTTATCTCTCGTTTCGGGAGCATTTTTGACAACTCTTTCTCCCCTTTATTCATCCATTTTACTATCTGATTCTCTCACTCTCATCGTATCTTTCATTTCAATCCTTTCTGCTTGTGAAACAAAAAAAGCTTCAACGAGCAGCGGAGTTTCACTGCCAGTCATAGCTGTATTAGAAGCTCTCTTGCTCTCCCACTGTCCATCTCATCTTTGAAAATCTTCAGTTTTACATTTGGGAAACTTTCCACATAAGAAGTACTACTGAGTGAGAAACCAGTTCCCATAGCAGCATCATACTATTTAACTTCATATCGATTTATTGACTACAGAAAAAGAGAAAAAAATCTTGTTTGAAAATGTTTGGCTTCCGCTTGATGTTTTTGAGGAAGAATTTCAAAAATTAAATTCAAAGCTATTGGCTGAAGAGCATTTGTTCATTCTGCGATGCCGACCATAAGGAGCTGACGCTGCGTTTTATTCTCTTTATAAATTCTCACACAACTGCCTTTTATGAACAGGCAGTGTAATTTTCCCGGTTACCTTGACATCAGCGCATACTAGACGTTTCTATTCATCCGACAAACAATTTCCATTGGAAAAGCAACTAGCAAGCTTTCTTCTATCCGTCTTTAACGCTCTTTCTCCCTTTTTCTTCCAATGTACATCCGTTTCTTTAGTTCTCCTTCTCAATCTTCATTTTTTATTAAGAAAATCAGAGTTCCATGTTAGAGTTGAAAGTTATGCATTTTGAAATAGTCGGATTGAATTTCCGTTTGAAAAGTTCTTATCGGTTCCGCTACATTTTATATAAGCCTATAATCATTGCAATATCAAACAAGATCATTCATATGAGAACACTAAAAAGTTTCAAAAGACAAACCGTCTAAACAACTATTGATATATGTTTTATGCGTTTCACCTGTTCCCCTCCAATATCAACTGAGGTATAATCTGCCATTTCGACGAATAAGAGCATATGGCTTCCTGTTTCAATTACTGTCTCTTGTGTCAATCTGAATATGCCGATGAGTTGTTCCTATGGGACATAATGAGGAATGACTATAGACTGACAATCTATGTGTCACAGATGTAGTAGAGACAGCTATTTCACAATATTTAAAAATCCCATTTGGTAGTCTTCAATTCACGTATAATCTAATTTCACGTGATTTCAACTTTATTTCTTTTGGCGCGGACTCAAGGGTCAGTTCTGTGTGTATCTTCATATTTTCCCAGTCCAACATTCCTATGTTTATTTCGTTTCAAATCGTTTGAGAACTTTCTCCAAAACATAAAATAAATTGTGAAATCTATTATCTTATCTTTCAATATCCTGTAATCAATTGATGATCCAAGACATATTATTAGCTGGTTGTCCAGTTCTATTCATAGAGAACATACGAAAAGCTATCCATATTTGACTATTCAAACCCTTGGCAACATTAGCCATTGTAACCTGAACCCTTGCGCAAGTAGCTTTAGCAGTCAATGTTACATAGCTTTTAGTATTCGTGAATCACTAATTATGTTTTGTTTGAGAACATGCATGACCTAAAGCAGTTGTGACCAGCTACTTAGCCATTCTTACTTTCATATTATCTAATTTCTCTTTGTGAATACATAGCTTTCACAAATTGTTAACCGCTTAATTTACAGTACTCTCTCATACTGTTTGAAGAACGACCATGGCCGCCGAAAACGCTGAGTTTAACTGGGATGGCAAAGAGGTCAAAAAACGGTTTGACTATAAGTTAACATTTTATAATTATTCCACATGCGTTCAGCTGGGATGCGTTTACCAAATTTGGTTCAGCAACAGCGACTGAAATGACTGGGAAAAACTTCGACAAATGGCTAAAGGATGCAGGAGTAATCGATCCAAAAGGCGTCACAACCACGATGACGGGAATTGCTTTCAGTAAAATTACCGGGTGAGGAGGGATATCAAATCGCTTTAACTTGTATTTAGTCCTAAGAAGAAGGCAACCTTCGATGAGACGAAAAAAATTATCAAGACTGTAGCAGAAGATAGAGCCCGCCAATCGAAGAAGTCTGTTCAGGTAAGATCATGTCTACGTCTGATCACAATAATTATCTATAGGATGAACTGGACTTCATAACGAACAAGCTTGCTAATTTGGAAGCGCCCACTGTTAATAGTGCCGCCAAGTCTGATGCAAACGGAGTGTACAGCAGACTGACCGACCATACCAAATATACAGGAGCTCACAAAGAAAGATTCGATGCAGAAGGAAAAGGTGTGCAACCTCAGCTCAACTTCCCAACCCCATCACAATTATAGGAAAAGGCAAGGCTGGACGTGAAGACACGGTGAAGCACACTGGATATGTCGCGTCTTACAAGAACAAGGATACCTACGACAAAGCACATGGAAAACAGTGATCTCGCCGCTTATGTATTCGCGGAAATAATAAACATTAATTATTAACAGATTTATAAACAAAACAGACAACAATTTTTTACTTGTTTTCCTCAGCAGCTTCTCTGGCTCTCTTCTCACGCTTTCCGATGTACTTGGCATCAGCTCTGACTCTTCTAAGAGTGCAGAAGATCTTAACCTTTCTTTCGGCCTCAGTAACGGCTCTTGGCTCCTCAAAGACTGGAGTATTCTTGACTGGAAGAATAGTTCCACGGAGTTGAGAGGCGATCTTGAGTTCAGCTTCCTGTAATATCAAATATAGAGAACTTTCTATCACCAGGCACGTTATGCTTATACTAAGTGTCAAACAGAACTCTTTATATAATTTCGCACAATCTTGGATATCGTAAGGAAACGTCCTTAAGACAGCTGAGTTGTGCACCTCTAAACATTTATCAATGATAAAATAACTTACGCTGGAGTCTCCCTTCTTTGGAGCCTTAAGCTTCTTGGGGAAGAGGATGAGCTTAGATTTGTATTCCTTCAGACGCTCAGTGTTAGCCTGAAACAGAAAACTAGAAAAAAAAACTTAATTGTTTTCTTACCTTAAGTCCCTCAACGGATCTGTTGGTTCTGCGGTAGTCAACAGCGATACCAATAGTTCTAGCTTGAGTCTTTCCGATTCCGACGGTCTTAAGCTCTTGGAGAGTGAATCCACGTCCGAGTCTAACTTTAGCGTTGTGGCGCTGAGTTGGGCAACGAACGACAGGTCTTAAATGAGTACACTAATATAACATGCAACTAATTTTTCCCTACCTGAGAAGTCCGGCAACTGGTCTTGGAGCAACAGTAGCAGCCTTCTGGAGACGGTTTTGTCTTCTGCGGAGCTTGCGTCCTGGCTGGTTGAACCAGGTACGGATTCTTCTGGTCCAGTGCTTTCTGAAGTGGGCATTGCCCAACATTTGGTTACCGCGAGGTGCCATTTTACCCTCTGATAAATAAAAAACTGTTAAAGCGAGATTGAAAAAAAACACAAATGCAATCGAGGTATAAAACAACATTTAGAGCTTCAATCAATAACATTTCGAAAACCAAAATAACGCCAAAATATATATTTTCATAAATTAACAACTAGTTATCGAAAAACAAACCAAAAATTAAGCAAAAAGTTGTTTGAAATTAAAGAATTTTTAGGATAGGGTTCGCTGCAGAACAAGCGCCATTAGGACCGCCGCTCGTCAGCATTGAATACTCAGTCGGCAGCCAAATTTCTGCTGAACGTTTGACTAGGCGCGTCGTGCCGGGACCAATTTGTGCGATTAAAGACATTGTTGCAAGCAAAATGTTGATTCTGTTATCTGATAAGGTTTTTTGGATAAAATGAAACAAATGGTGGTATTTATCCTACGACGATTGATAATTTGATGTTACTTTGTAATTTTCAAAGATATTTAAACAACTCTGCAATCAAGAAAGGATAATGGTTTGTATTGGATGTATGTATATATAAATAAAAATAAATTTTTTTATTCATGACTCATTTTCCTTGGAAGTGTTCATTTTTTCGGGTCATCGAATTCGATTTTCTTCAAAATGAAGAAAGTGACGTAGTTAGAAGGGTAGAATGAAAGGTGGTATGGGATCTCATATCTCGAATAGCATTGAAAGAAACGGGAACTTCAACAAGATTAAGCATCGATGATATGCTTTTAAATGGGAAAAACACTGTAAACAAACATTCAACCAAGTTTTCTAACACTCGTTTATTATAAATAATGTACGGTATTAATATATAGCAACTTTCTCGTGTTAGTTCATCTTGGCGGGAAGATATAGTTTGATAGACTACGGCTGGCTCAATCCATGATCCATTTTATCTGTTACGATTTAGTCCGAATGCATGTAAATGATAATATGATTGACTCCTTTAAATCCAAGATTTGTTCTTGTGTTCCATTGTTGGATTTACGGGCTAATTTGCTAAGAACCGGTTGCCCTGCGCGAGACGTCGCTGGATTAGAAAAGGCTGAAAGGTTTTGCTATGCTGCTGCACTTCACACAGCGAGTGCGGTTCATACTTCTAACGTATTTCCATAAATTCCTTGAAATATATGCTTTGTTGAACGATATGTATGTATTCGAATTTTGATTTCAGTCTGATGAGGTTTGATTGGCTGGAGAGGCGGATAGCCTCAGGCTTTAATCGCTATGGTCACTTCTTATCTAATAACCCGTTACCGTTTGTAGTTTTTCCATTACTGGTCACTCTGGCCATGACAGCAGGTTGAACTTCTGCGTCTTCGTTGCATTCTTATCGAGAAAAGTACATCTTCAGGTTTCTTACATTTGGATCCACTAACCGATGCTGTTTACTTGTTCACTCCTCTTGGTTCTCCTAGTAAATATGAACGTCAAGCTATACATGAAAAGTGGCCTCTAACAGACGATAATTATATTCCTGGAAGAGCTGTAACGCAAAGCAGAGAAATTCAGGTTATTTTTTTTATAAACAGTACTTGCACTCGAATCGTTTTATAGGTTACCGCCCTTGCACGTAATGGAGGGAATATCCTCGAAAGCGAGTTCGCGGAAGCAGTCTTCCGCCTAGATAGTTATATACAGAATAGGTAGGACTTATTTAACATTTTTGTATTCTGGTACCTTTCTTGCAGAATTCGGGTTCTCTTCAAGGGAAAATATTATACCTATAGGGATTTATGTTTACAATTCAAAGGTTTCGCCCTTCCTTTCTTTTGTTATGTTAGGTCTGCGTTTAAGGGAGCGGCTGTCCTGGAAATAAACATATTCACATTCTCTCCGATCTTTACAATCATGGATTCAACATTACATTCCCATATTTCCGTTTTGGAACAGAGTTAGTTCACACGTCATTTTCATTATCATTTTTTTATCAGAAGCGGATACTTGGGTTCAGCTATGGGCGGAGTTTCGTTGATGAATACAGAGAATGGTACTTCTATTCTAGCTGGCGCTAGAGCATGGTTCATGATTTATCATCTTAAGTTCCATCCATTAGAAACAAGTTACATATCAGGACTTTGGGAGAATGTAAAATATTAAGATTATTTCAATGAACTTAATAAATTTTCAGGAGCTTGGAAGACATCTACAGAACTATCCTGAAGATCCTTATATTTCTATTACGTACTTCCATTCTCAAACGTTAGCAGACGAATTGAAAAGAAATGCTGACTCTTTAGGTAATTTAGATCGTATGATACACACTCGGTATCCGAATATACTCCTATTTTCTTTTTCGAAAGCTAAGACGATTTTAAAGTTTCAACCTTTTTCAGTTCCAAGATTCGTGATTGCTTTCACGCTATTGGTGATATTTTCTGCTATATGCTCTATCTCTTTCATCGAGAACTCATATTCCATTGATTGGACATTGAGCAAGATGGTTTTATCCGTTTTGGGTGAGGTTTAAAAAATTATACGGTAACGAAGTAAACTTAGGTGTGGTAAATGCTGGAATGGGAATAATGAGTGGAATTGGCTTACTCTTACTCTGCGGAATGCCTTATAATGATATTGTCGCTGTTATGCCTTTCTTGGTCGTCGGTAACTGCAATTTTAACTTACGAAAATTAATAGAGATCTATCAGCCGTCGGTACGGATAATATGTTCTTGATGGTAGCCTCGGTTCGTCGCACTCCTCGTTCGCACTCTGTTGGAGAGAGAATGGGCGAATGCATGGCCGACGCTGCTGTATCTATACTGATCACAGCATCCACAGGTACGGATAACATTCTTGGCGAGTTCTTCAAAATTTTTTTAAGATGCCTTCTCTTTTGGGGTTGGAGCTATAACTACTATACCAGCTGTACAGATTTTCTGTGTTTACACCGGAGTGGCCATTATTTTCGCTTTCTTCTATCAAGTAAAGAGGCTCTAGCTGTTATTTCTAATTATCTATTCAGATTACTTTCTTTGCTGCATTGTTAGCCATTTATACAAAGTATGAAGAGGAAGGCAAAAACTCCGTCTTTGTTAATATCACAACTGTCCCTGGGCAGGAAATCAAGGTAGGCTTAATCAGATCGCTTCGTTTTTGATCAAAACAAACTAGAGCGCTTCAATCATCCAAAGAATATTCAATATGGGATCCCGTGTCAGAAAAGATGTCTCTGATCACAAGGATACCATAACTGAACCCATCACCGCAAAATTCTTCAAAAATTGGTATTTTTTATCTTTTTGTTCAAAGATGCCTTGTTGTTTCAAAGGTTTGCTCCAATGCTAATGAATCCCATCATCCGCTGTATTTCAATCGCTTGGTTTATAATATATTTGATAGGAGCTTATTACGGATGCACACAGCTCAAAGTAAGTATTATTGTATAAAAACCGTGAATAAAATCCGTTTGCAGGAAGGCTTAGAACCCATTAACCTCTTAGTGGAAGACAGTTATGCCATCCCCCACTACAAACTTCTTCAAGAATATTTCTGGAAATATGGTGCAACATTACAAGTATGTTCATTTCTCTTATGTCTTTTCTTTTTTATATTTTCAGATTGTTGTTAATAATGCTCCTGATATGAGAAACTCAACCTCTAGACAAAGAATCAAAGCTATGGTGGGAGATATGGCTACCACCCGTCACTCGATAGGAATGGAGTCTGTGCAATTTTGGATGGAGGAAATGGAGAGGTTTTTTGATACCCCCAAATTTTTAACCAATTTTCTGTCAGATATTACTCGACGCAATTAGACATGGGTATAAATGATGTTGCCTTCTATGGCATGCTCAGACATTGGCTTGCTAGTAAGCATAATAACATGTTCACTGAAGATTTGGTTTGGGGACATGATACTGTTGGAGAAGATATTGTAACGGCTTTCCGGTTTGTGATTTATACTCTCCACCAATCATTTTCTCTTCTAGATTTGTTATTGGCATGCGCGATATTGCTTCTACCACTGATCAGACTGATGCGACAATGCTTTTCCGAGAAGTAAACCTTTGCTTATTTCATGTCTTAATTATTCATGTTCAAGGTAGCGGGAAGATGGCCAGAGTTTAATATAACAACTTTCATGCCTCTTTGGTTGTTCACGGATCAGTATGTGATTATAGTTCCAAACACGGTAAGTTTTCATTTTCACTATTTTTGAATTCAATTCTTCAGGTGCAAAATATTATTATCGCCTTATTCTGTATGATTGCTATTGCGTTCTTCCTTATCCCACAACCTATGTGCGCTCTCTGGGTTGCTTTGGCTTGTGCTTCAATTGACTTTGGTGTCATCGGGTATATGACGCTCTGGGGTGTAAATTTGGTATCTGAAATTCTTAAACTCTCGTTACAAATCGTATTCTACAGGATGCCATTTCTATGATCACGATCATCATGTCTATAGGATTTTCTGTTGATTTTTCCGCTCACATTACTTATGGATATGTAGTCTCTCCAGAATCTGATCCTAAAGAGAAAATTCGTGATGCTTTAGCGGCTTTGGGATGGCCTCTGTTCCAAGTTAGATTTCCTATTATTCCTTCGCTTAAAATAACTTTTTAAGGGTGGTTTGTCTACCATTATTGCTGTTTCTGTTTTAGCTGATATCCCCGCCTACATGATTGTTACGTTCTTCAAAACCGTAATCTTTTTTTTCCAATCTTGAATATGTGAGTCTTTCAGGTTGTTATCTCAATCACACTTGGACTTCTCCATGGTCTCATCTTCTTACCAGTTTTACTTTCAATCTTTGTGAGGGGCTGTTGTATTGTTGATGCTCCAAGCCATTCACCTACAGTTAAAGCAAAAGTAGGTTATTGAGTGAAGTTGTCATGAAGTCAATTACAATCTAGGTTACGCCTATGCTTGAAAAAGGCTCATATTATTCCAACAGTTCACCCTCTACTGGCTACGGAACAGGTCCATCATCCATAAACGATGGGTCACCCATAGCTGGTTCAATCATCCCACCACTACCAGAGATCAAATTTGACTCACCAGCATCTCTAAGCTTTGAAGCTAGTCCAGCAGTCCATAATAGGTCACGACAGTCAACTAAATCGCCTAATCATTGTGAGTAGACCATTAGAATTAATATTTAATAGTTGTAATAACATAACTTATTACATTTGTAAATGTATACTATGCTCTAATCAAAATTGCATCTTTCTTACTATTTTTACAGTCAGTTTTAGCTTTCCACTAACTTTTCATGCCATAAAAGATTCGAAATAAATATAATTATATTTATTGATGTGTAAATTAAGTCAATAACAACATATTAAAAATTTGCACAATTGGCTAAATCATCGGCGAGTTCTATGAGATTGGTTAAACCACAATTTAAAAGTGAAACGAATAAAATCAGATATTAAACTTCCCGCATCTGATAAAATGAATAGATATACAGTAGATGAGATTTAAGCTACTGGGAAGAAGTTATTAGGGACCTGGTTTGGTGGGCAAGTCATTTGATGAGATGGTCCTCCCATTACATTTTCACATTGATTGATAGCTTGGTTGGATACTGTTTTCATGAAGCTCAGTGTTCCCCTTACAGCGTTGTGACCGAATCCATGAGTGAGCTAGAATGGATAGGATCATAAAATGAACAAGTAAAGAAAAATACTTACAGAGCAGAATCGATTAATGGCAACTTCTTCAGGTGTTGCTGGAGTAATTTCTGCTGGGTTCTCTGGCATATTGCTGTACAAACGAAGGAAATAATCATTCACTTTTCTGTGAAAAAATAAAGATAAGTGAACTCTAACTCAGTCAATGTTGTACCTGAAGGCGTGGAGCTCAGCTAATGTGATTGAGGAATTCATGTTTGAGTTGATTACATTATTAGCAATTTGTTGAGCAATGGCTGATGATCCTCCCTCTCTTGAAAGAAGGCTTGAATAGTCCTTAGCCAAAAGTACTGCTTCTTCTAAAAATTTACAGTGTTAAAATAAATATCACATTAATCCTTATACCTTCACAGAATGAAGTGAAACCCGTGGTAGGGGCAGTCTTTCTTCTTCCACTAGGAACTACAATGTTGTATGGCTGGAGTTGAGATCGGAGACGCTTGCCGTTATCCTTGGCCTTTCCTCTGAAGAGATTATATATTAAACGAAATTTATAATTGGCTAGTTACTTTCTGAGCATTCCATTGATAAGGCTAGCATGAAGAGTCTCTGGTGGACTAATGCGTCTGAGAATCTCTCCAACTGTTACTTTGTACTTGGTAGATCCACTCAATAAGCACAGGCGGCCACTGACTTCATCGAACTTTTCAGACAGGTTAGATGGCACTTGATAGCTGTTGGACAGTGAGTTGAAAGGCATGCATGCCATTGGGCCGAAGTCAGGTTTCTGTTCCTGTGATGGCATCATTGGAGGTGATGGAACAGCTGATGGTGGTAGCATGGGAGAAGAACAAGTGGAGGAAGCCTATATGAAGAAATATAAAACTATTACAGGAATTATAATTGATACCGAGGTGTTACATCCACTATCGAAGGAGTTGAAGCTTCCAGAACTGTTTCCACTGCTGCTATTAGTTGGGCTATGGTAGGAGAACATTGGATGTTGGAGCATTACAGAATTGCCAGAGTGGAAAAATTCCTGAAAAAAACTGTATCAAAAGAAAGTAAGATTGAACATACATTTGTATTGATGTAAGGAATGCTAGTGATTGGAGTACTGTGAAGCATTGACCAGGGATACATAGAATTTCTTGGTACAGGAGAAACTTGCTCATCTTCGCCAGAATAGCAGAGTCTCTTAGCTGCTGGTTGACCATCGAAACAATTGTTAGACATATTCGCTGAAATGACAACAATGTATTACGAAATCGGATATGCAAGAGAAAGATAAGAGGAATGATTGACTCAACGGATACATGGCTTGTGTTCTTCGTCCTTATATGGAGGTTGATGCAGTTCACCTCCTAAGTGTGAAAATTTCTTTTTTTCTCTAGACCATCTCATTTTACCTGTACTCTGTTGTTCACAATCATTATTGCTTGACAGCCTTAACAGCCACAATAGCGGCTTGTTCAGTTTAGGCAGCCTAACCTCCTTTCCCATATCGTTCATTGTTCAAATTTTAATTAAAACTGTTCTGAACAACCAGCCTATACTGTTCAAAGCGTGAATCCGTCTATTGTTTCCTATTTCTAAGAAACTTTTTCTTGTGACCACTGGCTAATGGAGCAAGCACTAAGAGCTATTCGAAAGTTCTAAAGTTTAATCACCAAAAAGACTTGTTATATCTTTGAAGGTATGATTGTTTCAAAATTCGGACAGTAATTTACAATTAGCGCATATCTCATTGGCGCAAACAACACTCCGAATTACCAAACGAAAACATTTTCAAATCTTTTTTCGTCTACAAGCTGTGATTACGTAATCCACGCAAAAATATTTTGATTTCTTAGTTCGTGTTTCAGATTTATTCTCACTATCTTAGTTCAAATACTGCATTATAAATAGTATGTTGTTTACATGATGTTATCATGGCTTTTGGCTATATGAGGTCAGAATCTTGATACGTAAACTGATTGATGTGACTGTTATTCCTAGTTAATAAAGTGTATATTGAGTCATCTCTCTGTGTTCGTACGTAAAGGACAAACTCAAATGCAACCACTTGTTCGTCAACTGTGCTGCTGAATCAAAAGAAAGTGAGAAGTCTGCGGAGCTTAACACTGCCAGTGTTCCCTTTTTTCTATGAAGATAATCTCAAATAACAGTGATCAGTTAATCTAGTACTTTTTATACAACCCGAGTACATAACATGAACATGAAATTTAGAATCTCATATATGTTCGGAAGTGCAGTATAATCGCTGGACCACTGAGACTCCCATGTTTCTGAATAATATTATACTAAGAAACATTGTTTCATTATACTTTTCCTATCAGCAAAGGAGAATTCTATGAGAAAAAGTTTGCTGAACAATAGTTAAGGCTTTTACATGAACCACTTCAACAGAAGCTAATTACGTACATGCATTCATTGGCACGTATCAAGGAACTGAAACGCAATAAAAATCATTACAATCATAAGTTGAATTAAATAAAAACAATTTTGAGATATTTTTTCGGGTTGGAATAATATTTTATCCCACAAGTTCAACCTTTGCATAAATTTGTAGCTACTTCCTTTTTCTTTTTAATGTTTCGCTCTTTGTAGTGAAATGGCCCGGCACAGATTAATCAACAAGAAGTATTATGGTTTGTTGGTTGATTCGAATTAAGATATTGCAATATGAGTTCAGAAGAAGACTTTGAAGATGATGATTATGATTATGGTTCTCCTGAAGACGAAATCGCAATGTCGCCTAGCATAAGTCAGTTTTGGTTGCCAGAGTGTTGAGTTAAAGTTAGCCTTTTCAGTGAACCAATACGTTCTTAATAGAAATTCGGACAACTCTTATAGCCGTTATCAAAGTAGTAGTAATGATCATGCAGAAGCACATAACACTGGTGTAGAATCCAGTGATGGATTACTGTTTTCAATGGATGATGGTAAAATGGTATAGGTATTAAATAACTGTGTTTAATTTTCTAGTTGGGGGTGAAGAAACTGTTTCTATGGCAAGACCACCTGGACTCCCTGAACCAAAACCGAAGCCATCAGGGGCGAGCAACCAGAAACAGATTGGCAAAGTATGATAAGCATCATCTATTCAGTTTGAGCCAAAATTTAGCCTTGTAATCCCAACATATCGAACCTGAAAGTCGCTGAAATTGCTAGAAGTACCTCCAAATCTCCTTCTCGCAAGAAAAATGATGGTGCAAGTAATTCACGTTGCAGTACCCCTACTCAAGCAGCTACTTTAACCAGTAATTCTAGTTCGCATAGGCAAGTATTCCCTCCGTCGTAACTTTTCCAGTTAAATCATTACAGGTTGGCTCAACTTTCTCAAATTACACAGCAGTCAACTCCTAAAAGAGAGAGAAAAGTACAAGAACAAACCAAAGACTTGATTAACCTCGTCGTTGTGGGGCATGTGGATGCTGGCAAAAGTACTTTGATGGGTCATTTTCTTGTACAAGTAAGTAAAAATCATTATGTTCTTAGTTCTCATTGAGTTCTGTGTTCTCGCGACACGGATAACCATGTCGAATCGGCATGTTTAAGAGAAAATTCCTTTTCTAATTGTTCTTGTTTAAGCATGGAAATGTAGAACAGCGGTTAGTTCACAAATACAAACAAGATGCCGGTAGAGCGGGAAAAGCTTCTTTCGCATTTGCATGGGTACTAGATGAAACTGAGGAAGAGAGGTTAATATCCACAGTATTATTGCTTTTATAAATAGTCTACTTCTCTTAAGATCGCGAGGTGTTACAATGGACATTGCGCGAACATCGTTCGATACTGAAACCAAAAGGGTCCATCTTCTCGATGCTCCAGGGCATAAAGATTTCATACCAAATATGATTACTGGTTTAACGATATGATTGGAATTCGTTTAATTACCGCTCTTAGGTGCTTCTCAAGCTAATTCTGCTATATTAGTGGTCAATGCGACAGTCGGAGAATTTGAGACAGGATTTGCGAATGGCGGCCAAACTAAGGAACATGCTATGCTGCTACGCTCCCTTGGTTTGTGCACACCTGTATATCTTATGCTAAACAATTTATTCAGGAGTATCCCAGCTAATTGTTGCTATAAATCAATTGGACAGGGCTGAATGGAGTAGAGATAGATTCGAAGATGTAAAACATCAACTCAATTCTTTCCTCACAAAAATGGTAATTACACTGATACGTTGATCAAAATTCGATATTCAAAACAGGCTGGATTTTCAAACGTCAAATACATTCCACTATCAGGTCTTTCGGGTGAAAACTTAGTGAAACGTTTCGAACCTTCTCACCCAGCATCAACTTGGTATCAAGGAGAGTGTCTGTTGGAGCTCATTGGTTAGAATACGTAAAACAAACTTTCTAATTGATATATGTTAGATAAGCTCCAACCTCCTAAACGATCAGCAGAAGGGAGTCTTAGGATAGTTGTGAATGATGTGATGAAGGTATTGTTCTTTTCTCTACTCTCTCTGATTTCCAAAGTTGTAGTCTATGGCAAACACCATAACTATATCTGGAAAATTAGAATCTGGAGAAGTTGAAAATGGGGATAAAGTCTATATAATGCCTAATGCCGATGCTGCTGTTGTGAAATGTATGTTGATAAAAACAATGATCCATTCTTTTTTTTTTCTTTCAAGCTTGCACAGTAGAAAGCCGCAGTGATGGAACAGCTACTGCAGGAGACGATGTATTGATGACCCTAACTGGAACTTTTGAACCCGACACTCATCATGCCGGAGATGTTGTTGTTCGAGGCGGTGAGGATACATTGATACCGGCACGACGTTTCAGAGTTCGATTGATGGCCTTAGATATAACTATTCCTATCATGAAAGGTATTTCACCCGGAATACCAACGAAAAGACTAAACGTATTGTTAAGGAACGAAAGCTGAGTTATATTGTCACTCTTTGTGTGAACCTTGTACAATTGTTAAAATAGTTTCCTCTTTAAATAAGACAACAGGAGAGGTTTTGAAAAATAAGCCCCGGTAATATTTGTTAAAAACCATATTTGTTCAACAGCTTTTCTAGGTGCCTCTCGCGACATATGCATGGGATAGTTGAGATTGAGACAGACCATGACGTTGCCATCGAAGCTTACACAAATTGCAAGGCTTTAGGTCGCATAGCTTTAAGGTGTAAAGGAGAAACAATAGCAGCTGGGATTGTTGAAAAATCCACTACTGTCATCAAGGGAAATTGATAGTTCCTTGTGTAAGATATGTTCAGATAATAAAAGAGGGTTTATCCAGTAATGCTCGAACTCATCGTCAGTCTATCGAGTTGAGCTTTGCTTCATTGTTATGTTCAAAATCTGCCAAATTGTTTTAAAGTATTCTGCATTGATATTTGTAAAAAATAAAATCAATAAAACATTTTTTTGGGGCCAATGTTTTGTCAGACGACATTCGTACAACTTACATTCAAAATGTTTTCCAGTGTTCCAGTTCCTCATTTCAGTTCAAAAAATTGATAGTTTATGAGTTCTCCTAATTATTACTTATTACTCTTTCTAATTATTCACAGCTATGCTGCAGATTTTGAGCTTAGCACCGCTAAATTTGCTTTGGAGTTCGCAGGTATGTGATTTTTAACTTATTTTTTGGTAAGAAGGGTTTCAGCTGCTGCATATTCGGAAACACCCACGGATTGTGTAACAAAGAATAATGGAACTGTAGTCCTAAGGATCACGCAGCCATGTGATTATCTGAAAGATGAGGTAAGTGAGATAAGTTTGAATGCCTGCACGTGGCTCTCTAGTGCTGGGGACTCGTAACCCTCACCCCGAAACACATAGTTATCTCTTTCCGTGGGACTCGTACGAAACTCCAATTAATCACAGAGCTTGTAGAGACAATGAGTGAACCGAAGAAAAAGGTTTCTCTTCTGTTTGTTACTCATCTCAACAAGTAACTTTAAGCTACGAGCAGGTGGTTCAGTCCAGCATTATTTTTATGTGGCTTTATCGTCAATTTGGAAACCAATTCAATCAGTTGTACGGAAATTAGCTAAAGTTCATTTGTATAAAGTTCAAAACCATAAAAAATTTGTTATTAGGCTTATCCCGATAATGATATCATTTTTACTGGTCATTCACTTGGTGGAGCTCTTGCTAGTCTCGCTTCGACTGTTTTCGCCTTCCGACATCAAGATTTGAGAGCAAAGTAGAGAGAAAACATTGATATATTGTATATTATTGACTATAGAATAATCCTTTGTACGTTTGGACAACCAAGAGTTGGGAATTACGAATATGCTGAAGTACACAACGCTTTGCTTGAGAAAAGCTGGAGAGTAGTTCACAAGTATGATATCGTGGGTGTACCTTTATTACTGACGTTTAATGATTGTAATGACTGATTACAGGTCGCTCATCTCCCAGCTTGTGCTATTAACCCTCTCTCTCGTGCTTGTACCAGTTTTTTCAATCACGCTCCTTATCATCATGGAGTTGAAATTTGGTATCCAGGAGAGATGAACGACACCTCTCTATATAAACAGTGTTCGGGTACTCCTGTTGATGAGGATCAGTCTTGTAGGTGAGATGAAGTACTGCACACCTTGAACGCTGACGACTTTAGTAATGGGTGGTACTTACATTACGGAATCAAAGACCATGTTGTATATTACAATCACTATGTTAGTCAATATGGGGTTGATGGATGCGTTGATCTGCCAGAGAAACCTAACTAATGCTGCTTCTAGTCTCATGTAGATACTTGTATGATAAAAATGTATACAATAATACGTTTTAAAAAGATACTCGCTCGAATAATTGTCTTTAGTTCTCACGAATTGTTAGACTGAAGCTTAATCTGAGTAAACAAGTAGGCTTCTTCTTCTCTTAAAGCTCTTCGTTGTAGAAGCAACTTTAAAGATAAGAAGAGAACGAGAGTGAAAGTCACGAAATAATTTCATAAAATAGGGAACGTTGAGCCCGTGCACTGCAGTGCTGGCGCATTGTGAGGTTCATGTTCCACAACGTTCACGCAACTGAACATCGCTACAATTCTATTGCTCTTTCCTTCAGTCTCTCTATTCTTCGATCTCACTTCTGTTTTTTGCCTATTTCTCTTGAATTCCTCTACTATTTCTAATTCAAATTTTCCTTGTTTGTGCTACTTGGTCAATGCTCGTTGATGTGACTAGAGAAAGAAGAAAAGAGAACTAGAAAGAGGGGGGCCCAGCTTGTTTTTAACTCTTTGCTGCCTCCTCCATGCCATGTGTACTAAAAGTGCGACATTCGATCCACTCACACTCCTCAGGCATAATAATATTCCCTGTTTTGCCCTCTTTTCAACTCTTTTTCTCTCTTATTCTCTCTCTTTCTCGTAACTTGCTTTTCTCCCTCTTTCAGCCTGCTGCGTTCTTGGCGTTCAATTTTTTTATTTCGTCGAATTTTTTTCACATTGCCAGTTCAGCTTAATAAACCATATTAAGCTGAACAGATAGATATCTAGTTGAAGCCCTGAATGAGCTTAGATATCAACTTCCTTGTCATAACTTCTCTTATTTTCTCCTTAAGGCTCTTGTAATGTTTCTTTTTTGTGCTAGTAGTACATGGCCTGAAAAAAAGCACTTTGTTCTCATCGATTTGACTTGGTCCTGGAAATACTAGCTCTTCTCTATAACTTCGAAGTCAGAGAGATTCTTTTTTGACGAAAGCTAGCGACCCAGCATTTTTATTTTGGAGCTAATTATGTACATCCACATTTCCATGTCTTCATCATCTGAATGAATTATTGAGCATTTGATCTTGCGATCTTCAGTTTTCGTTCTAGCGACAATTTTACTGTGTCTCGCAATCTCTCTATTCCTATCATCTTTAACCTTACATAAACTCTCACTTAACGATTATAATTGGAACTAAACGAAAAAATGAAAATCCATAGTCTGAATAACGAACTATTACAGGTTTCACATAGATAATGTTTTCACAATTGGCTACTCTCGATCACACTGATATCTTTTCTGATGTAGCCGGCACGGCACTTGATGATCTGTTGCGAGAATCGATTTTTGATTCACCTCGTCACCACCACCATCCCCACAGTCAACAGCAGTCTATCCTGGCCCACCATTCTCAGCAGTCCCACCAATCCTATCATCATCAATTGAATAATCATCATTCACATCAACCCCATAGTTCTATAGGATCTTCCAATATTAACTCTAACACAGCGGTGACTAGCGACACTGCAATGACGTCAGCTAGGCCACGAGGTAGACGAAGAAACAATCAGAACAACCTAATATGTGTTGTTTGCAAAGATCAGGTTAGAATTATTTTTTATTTTCGTTTTCCTTTGTTTTCTTGAGAGCGCATCTATTCTGAAACAACAATCAATAGTTTCGTTTGAAATCTTACGCACTTTCAATGAACTTATAAAAAAAGCATATTAATGAGATTATTGTTCATCACTATTGTTATTATTCTATTCTTATAGGCTTTTGGAAAACATTATGGTGTAAATGCTTGTAATGGATGTAAAGGATTTTTTAGGAGAAGGTCGGTAACCATTTCAATCAATGATAACATGACTATATTTAAGTGTATGGAATAATCGACAATACATGTGCCGCTTCGATGGCCAATGCTCAATAGCCAAAGGTTTGTTATTTTTTGCTCCAAGTTCACAAAACTCTTTTATAGAACACCGAAACGTATGTCGGGCATGTCGTTTGAAACAATGCTTTCTATCGGGAATGAATCCTCGAGGTTAGTTGTTTCATTAAGCTTCTTTTTCATTCAAAAGATTGAATGTATGCTGCTTGCGTACATTTCTCCTATCTTCGAACTTTTCGTATCTTGTTTTCTCATATGGGAGCATATGGAAAGATTTGTTTTTCAGCTGTTCAGTCGGAAAGAGAAAGAACAGTGGCAAGTGAGGTTTCCGTTTTAGATGACGATCAGGACGATAACGACGAAGAAGATGACTTACCACCTTCAAGGTACAATAAGAGCATGAATAATTCATTTTAAAATTTAATTAAGAAGCACTATTGGTGTACAAACTGATTTTGTCCCCGTTCATAAGGCCGAGCCTCTTCCTAGTCCTGAATGTGATTTAGCTGGGTAAGCCTTATTTTTCATTCAAGCCCCATTTCAGTGTAAGCATAGGTCAGAACACTAATAAAAAATACTTCTAACTAACTTAGAAAATAGACAAATTGAATTATTACTCGTGAGCTATTATATAAACGCTGAAATTGACGCTAATACGAGAATACATGTTTGTGCTTTCGAAATGAGAATATCGGGCAAGCGTTCCCAGCTCTCTCAAAAAATGAATGATTCATTCAAAACATGATGTGGGAGCTAACGTGATTCCTCGTGTGTGTTCGAGGACAATGTGCTAATTATTTTTCTTTCAGAATAGCTCTGCAATTGGTTAATATGCACCGAGAAGTTTGTAATCGGCTAGACTTGACTGAAACTAATCCGCAATGTGGTAAGTTACAAGGACCGAGTAGCACTACATTCCTCTTTTTCAGAAACTACCTCAACTATTACTTTCGTTACAGCATTTTATAATCCGACTTTAATATCTGCGCGAACTCCCGTATGTTTTTATGAATATTCCTTGTAAGTACTTATGCTTCTTCAGCTTTCAATAACAGCTGAACGCGTTGCGACTATGAAAGACGTACTCCAAGACTGGCGAAGAAATTTCGTTCTTTTCGCTGATTGGCTTCACGCCCTACCAGAATTTAATCAATTGAATATACATGATCAAGTAAGTTTAAAGTCATAATACTGTTACAAACGTCACTGTTGTAAACATTGTTCTTTATTAGTTTACTAGTTCTATTGCGCATATTCTAGGTACAAATAGCCCAAAACCGATTTGGTCCTTTCTATTGGTGGTTATGTGCTAATTGGTCTGTGGAAACAAAGTGTAACGGAGTTTGTTATGCAAACGGAACTTATTTTCCGTCAGATGAAAGACTTCAATGTGTTGCTGATGTCAGGTTAGCTTTCACTGCCCTTTTGTTCGTTCACATTAGGCTTCATTACAGAGGAACGGCATCAAAAATGGTTACTTCCTTGAAAGATCCTTTAAGTGAATTGGAGTTAGACGAAACAGAAAAATGTCTAATGCTTGCAGTAATAGTCTTCTGTGAAGGTACTTAACTATTGAAGGATATGATCAATTAATAAAAAATTACTTTTTTTAGAACTATCAGAGCTTTCTCCCGAAGGAAAGGAACACATTCATCAACTTAATAATCGCTATATCCGTGTGTTACAAGATCATATCCAACGGAAAGACTATGGAAGTAATTCTATGACTCCCGCTCAAATAGCAGTGCGAATAACAAAACTTATGATTTTACTCTCAGCAACCACGGTAATTTTCTGTTTTTTGATTTTTTGAACTGCTGGACCTTTTACAGAATCTCGTCTATCTCACTAGTGATAATATACGTTTAATGGATGTTTTACACTTGGTGGATTATAGATCTATTCCCGATGATATTTTCAAAAATAGTTATCGAAATTTTTAAATATATTTAAAACTTGTACAAAGCTTTGTAAATAAAAGAGATATTATTCAGAATTTCTAATTGCGGTCATCAAACTGAAGATTTACGCATATTGCCTTACCTACCTATTCCTTAATGAATGCTTGACTGAGACGTACATTTTGAAGAAATCCCTGACTTTCATGTCTTTGCTGTCTTTCGAGGGCACCAGTGAACAACCCTTTCTTTTCTTTTTTACCTGAATAGTTCGTATAAAAAAATTAGGGGTATTTCCAAAACCGAAATTTTCTGCGTCTTCAATGGTCATTGGCAATGGAGCGCCTAAAGTTTCAGGCAGGAACCAAGTGCAAACTGCTGCTGAAAGAGCCATCAAGCCCAAAATTATTAGTGGAATGATTTTCATATATGATCCCTGATAATGTACTTGTAAGCATTAAAGAATACGTTTAAATGATTATTACTAGTTTAACTATGTGTGGTGCTAATAGAAGGCCTGAGCCAGCTATCATGCTACTCATTCCCATCCCTATTGCTCTGAGCACTGTAGGATAGAGTTCACCAGCGAATATATATATTACAGCAAATCCTGATCCTACCCCAAACTTTCCGATGAAAGAGGCAGAAGCCACTGCCCATGGGTATTCTTCAAATACAATTCAAAATCAACATCAATCAAAGTCGCTCACTAACCCGGAGGTACAAACATGCATGATACACATCCAAATCCACAAGTGACCATACATAACACCATAGTCCACCTGGAAATTGTTTATAAAATTGATTCGATCTCTACTCACCGTCTTCCAAGTGTTTGTAGGAGAGGCCAAACTATGAAATAGCCTGGTAGCTCAACTGCTCCGTTTATTATGAAAGACCAATAGTCATCAACAGGAAGATTAGAAACATTAAGTGTCAATCCATTGTAGATGATTGCATTCATAACCCTGGAATCATGAGAGGTAAAGTATGAGAGGATATATTTACCATATATATGTCACAAGAAGCGTTTTTTTGCGCAAGTTTTCTGTTCTGAAAAGATCAATAACATTATAATGTTTCTGATTGTTGACATCATCCTTGTGGTTGTTTTCAAGCTAAAAGTTGAAAATGTTCATAAGAATCAAATCTTCACTTACAGCATCGACAAGACTTCCAACGTCTACATCAGATTTGCCGTTCGCTTTTGCTATTTTCCCCAGTTGCTTCTTAACTTCGGGCCATTTGCCAGCTGATGCTAGCCACCTGGGGGATTCTGGTAAAAAGCTGAAGAAAAAGGTTTTCATCACAATATACGCTCTCACAAGTAATAAACGAATAGTGCTACGAAAGGAGCATTGCACAGTAGTGTTAATTGTCGCCATCTTCTCGTGAACATGGCCACAATACCAAGAAGTGTCATGGCAACTCCATAAAACAAATTTATCATTAGACCTGAGAAAATTCTCCCCGATGGACCCATGAATTCCATTGCTATAAAAAGAAATTTGTACAATAAGACTTTTTCAGTTGTACAAACCAATGATGAAGGGAATTTGAAACAATGCAGGAAATGGTAGTCCAGTCAAAAAGCGTAGTATGATAAAGCTTCGGATATCAGTAACAAAAGCATTCGCTGTTCCAAAAGTGACTAGAGCAGCCAAAATGATGAAAAAGCTTCTTCTTCTTCCATAACTACAAAATCCGAAAGTTACTCAACTCAGAAGTTGAACATACGTATCAGCGATGAACCCGAAAAGATAATTTCCAATGAAACTACCTACATAGAAGGAGGTAGTGGAAATTTCAACCCAAGACTCGTCCTCACAAACCAAATTGAACTGGAAAAGCAATAAAAGTGTGTTCGTCTTCTATTTGTTTTTACTTCAGTTACTAAGCTGTCTAAGTAGGTACTGTTATCATAAATCCAACCATTCTGACATGGAATAAGCGATACTTCGTCCCTAAACACGCATTGAGAGGCAAGTTGAAACTTTGTCTTACTTATAGTAGGTTTCGAATGGCGCTGTAGTGAAAGATTTGAACCTTGACACTTCTGTTTCATTATATTGGAAACAACTGCTTATTTTCTTTAAAAGTTATTTTTAAACCAGTATTATATTTTAAGTTCTGTTACCGAGTCGTTTGAAGAAGGTAAAAGGTATTGCTGGTCATCTGGAACTCGGCAATGATGTGAGGGAGATCCAACAACAAATGGCTGAAAACAATTACCGAAGTAGCTCCAATATCTTTATACCTGATTGAAAGCCGAAAACGCTGATGGGATACTAGCGGGTAAACACATGATGAAGAAGAAAAGAATTTGATAAAATCCAAAGTCACCAACCTAAATTGTTTTTGAATTTTGAATTTGTATAAGTTCACCTCGAACAACACCAGATCGAAATCAAAGTGTTTCGATGCGGAGAAAAGGATCTGAGCACTGACATCCATGACATTCTCCTCCAAATATATAAATTTAAATGGAAATAAAACTAAACTGACCATTTCTTCAGATCCCGTTTGGGATTGACGACAGCTGGATGCGAATGAATATGGTCAGCTTACTCGTATTCAAAAAGGTTCAGCACAATCTTGAGATTTGTGCTATGATGAGCATTGAAGAGGAATCGAAGGTCATTATATTTATCAAAAATAAAATTCAATCAAGAATAATGTGTTTTTAGCCAGAACACGAAATGATTGAGGATAGGGTGAAGGAAGCCAACTTCAAACAGATGAAGTCAAGGACGCTTCAGTGCTAAGCGTTTACAATCAAGAGTAAAAGCAGAATTACTATAGTAAATAAAGCAATCTCCAATTTTTTGAAAACTCTTGTCGTATATATTTGCCGAACACGTTAACAATGTATTTTCACCCTGTGTTCACAGAAAAGTTGGGTTTTTTATTAAACAAATTGAAACGATAGTATGTTTTGTAGAACATGTCCAGTACAATGTATCGGAACGAAAGCAAATAGCTTCAATAAGTAAAAGTGATTGAACAGCTCATCTTAACTTTTTGTCTCCTCCGATATATCATTAGCTATGTACTTCTAACAACAAGCAAAAAACGCACTTAAGCTTGTTCTGCCATATTCTCATCTAATTTCTTTTTCTTCATGCAGACTACAGGTTTCGAATGTTTTGAATCCTTTTTTATGGGAATCTCATCAAGTTCGTGGATACAACCATAATGAGATGGCTAAGATAAAATGTACCGGCAATGGCTTATATGGCTACAGCAAAAGAGAAACGTCATTCAAAATGAAAGTTTAAGAAATGAATGAAACGTTGTTTTTATAATCCCAGTTTAATGATGGTACAGACCGTTGTTGAAAATCAATCGATATATCCCTCTACTTATCTGATAATGTATCATAATGCACATTCTCATTTGTAATGTTGCGTTACGCATGAAACGGTTGTGTTTCAATCACTGCACTTTAGATCCCTTTTATAACCTTGTGTACGTAATGTTGTTTTGATTCTTTTCCGATGTCACACTCATATTACATTAATTGTGAAATTGAGGATTGAACTGTTTATTTCAGTTTCTTTTTGAAAGGATTTAGATGCGAGCGTATCCTTGGCTGGCTGGGGTATCCTCAGCAACTGCGGCAGTACGTGGTGGGCATGGGCAGTAAGCAGCATCTGGTCCTGGGAGTCCTGGAGATCCAGCTTCTCCGTCAGTTCCTGGGTTTCCGGCTTGTCCGTCCTAAAGCATGAAAATGTCAACTGGCTCTGTTTAATGTAATCTTTACCTGTCCGTTTGGTCCAGCTGGTCCTTCAGCTCCGTCTTGTCCTGGGTTTCCGTTCTCTCCTGGGGCTCCTGGAGCTCCAGCTGGTCCTTCTGGTCCTTCTGGTCCTTGTGGTCCTGGAGCACCCTTTCCGCGTTGTCCGTTAGCTCCTGGAGCTCCGGCTTCTCCGTCTTGTCCTGGGGTTCCTGGCTCTCCAGCATCTCCTTGTGGTCCTTCAGCTCCTGGGATTCCGTCAGCTCCTGGGGCTCCTGGGGCTCCTGGTTGTCCGTCTGGTCCGGCTTCTCCAGCAGCTCCGTCTGGTCCTTGTGGTCCTGGCTCTCCAGCTGGGCACTTGATGCATTCTCCGAGGATGCTTTCTTTGTAGGTGTTAACTCCAGGGGTTCCTGGGTTTCCATCTTGTCCATTGTCTCCGTCAGCTCCACGCTCTCCTGGTTGACCTGGTGGTCCTGGTGGTCCAGGTGGGCAGTTGTTTGGTTGAGCTCCACAGTTGCATGAACCGCCAGCAGCTCTCTTTCCACGGAGGAAGATGGATGGAGCATCGCTAGAGTGGCGCTTAGTGGTAACAGCGATCATAGAGTTCCAGGCATCATTGGCATAAGTCTATAAATAGAACAATATATTACGATTAAGTTTATTTATACTTACACGGAAGTCATCCATATCATTCATAGCGTCATCATAGAAGCTGTTGATGTCTTGGAAGAGAAGTCCAACGTAAACCAAAGTGGCGACGATGACGATTCCGGAAGCACCGGAGGCGAGACTAATAAGGAATTTACCCATGTTGTTTCTCAGAAACTGATGATTCAAAGGTATCAGTTGCTTATATAAGATTTTTGAAACGCCCCAAGGCAGTTGTAACACAGTCCATTACCTGTCTTTTGGAGGACACTTCAAAAAAACTGGCATTGGTAGAGGTCTTCTTCGACGCTGCATATCTTTCATTTCGGCACTTGATCACATGAAACATGCAAGGTACAAGTGGATAAACGGTGAAAAAACTGTTTTTCAGATCAAACTGAACGTGAAAGATCGTAAAGAAACTTAGTTTTATGAATGCGTCGATGGAGGATAAAACGATTAAAAGAAATGTTTATGTTTTCCAACGAACAAAAAAAAATATTTTGTTTTCTATCATCATCGTATTTCCTTCACACTGGGACTTCAACCTTTGAATTGAGAAATGTTTCTTTCTTGTTTTGAAGATGACAGGTCACATAAACCTGACTTTTCCGTTTCTCTAAAGATTATATCAATTTTATTTCCTTAATGTTTCTGATTTATAAAGAATCCATGAGAAGATGATAACAATGTTGGCACAAACGAACATAACTTCAAAGAAAAATTTAAAAGATAAACATTAGTTTAGAATATGAGAGAATAACAAATTAGTCATGAGAAAATCATTGCACTAAGTACTGATATATTAGGTAACTACTTCAGACCTACATAACGAGCTAATACTTGAAATTGGAATGAAATGAATAACTAAGATCATTAAAATATTTATGAATTTGCTATGCGCTCTTGGAGAGGCCTTTCCTCCGGATTTTTATGCTCAACTTTCCCGTCATCTATTACCAATTGGCAATTAAGAAGCCGATTGAAAAAATTTGATAAAGAATCTGCAATAATAAACATTTAAACTTTGAAAGCATTAGCCACTAACCATTTAATGAAACAATATACTTTGGAGAACTGGGAGTCTTTACTAACAAGAAGTATAAAATAAGTCCACTGAATACAAACACGACGCCAATGATCGTAACCTGAATTTTCAAAAATAAAAGTAAAAGAAGACCTGTCCTACCAGAGTTTCTTCGATGAAAGGAACAAATACAAGAGCGATACTGATTATTAAGAAAAGCACTATTGCAAAGAGAGGAACCTTAATAGGATCTGAAAGAAGTTGTGTATATATGTCAAACGATTCCAGCTTACTTTCTGCAACAGGCATCTTCTTGTAACGAAGGTAGAGAAGAGCAAGTATGGTTACGGCCCTTTGTCCCCACATAACAAACGTAACATAATTAATTAGAGTGTCAATGTCGATGAAAGATACAAAAACTGTACAAATTAACTGAAGAAAAAAAAAATAATTAATCTTCTTCTTCAAGTTACCAACCTGTCCAAGCAAGGCTGATCGTGGGCTGTCAGATTCTTCGTGTGTCCCACTCAAAAATGGAGGAAAATGACGTTTCTGGGCGGCAGCTCTCATTGCTCTTTAGAAAACATTGAAAAACGTAATGAATGTGTTTGAACCTCGATCCACAGAAAATGTTACTGTTCAAAGTACCAATCAGAAGAATAGCAATCATGAAAGGTATAGCATAAGAACCATTTCCCATACATGCTTGAGCGAAGTCCTAAAATTTATGATGAGATTTGCATATCAGATCACGAACTTACAGCAGCCACAGCTGTGCTATTTTTTACTTGTTCTGGACTGAGAACAACAAAATAAGAGAAATTGATAAGAACATATATCAAAGTAACCGCAATGATACCCGTAATCAGCGATAAAGGTATAGTCCTGGAATTCTGTTTCGATCGTGCTAATAAGTAGTATATACCTTCGTGGCTTATAAATTTCTGGAGTTCCATAGTTAAGAATGTCCCATCCTGCATAGCTCCATAAACCACCATAAAAGGCTAACGATAGCTTTCCTGGGGAATAAACACTACCAGCCATTGGATTTTGAATGTTCTCAAAGTGCCCTATCATGGCAATTGTATTACAGGAGTCTCTTAGAAAACTACCTTGGAACAGCTGAGCGAATCCAAAACCAATGATAACGAAAACGATGATGACTTTCGCAAAGCTCATAACTGACTGGAACCTTCCGGCATATTTATCAATTGAGAAGAAGTTTAACGCTGTCAAAGCAACTAAAAAAACAACATTTTTTTAGCCTCCTTATCAGTTTGCTTACTCAAAAGGACAAGACCGATTAAACGTTCAGCAACACTATTCCAGAAAGATTCCAATGTGAATAAGGGTGATAAACCGCCCACTAAATCCACCTATACTGTGCTTATGAAACATTTCTTACTCAGATATTGACCAAATGTTTGTGCTTGAACAGCAGCTGAGGCGGGATATGTTACCAGACAAGAGACCCACATGAAAGCAAAAGCTAATGCCTCCCAACCAACATATGTTGTGTACGCAAAATCACACCCAGGATCAGTTATTGAAGTACCCAACTCAATATATACGATAGCTCCTGATACGATTATGGTAAAGCAGAAAGTATGAAACAAGTTACCTAATATGGAGATAAGTCCACATCCAGCCCATACCAGTAATGATAATCCAATAGAGTTTGTATATAAAAGAATGGAGGTAGGTGTAATGAAAATGCCTGATCCAATAATGTTATCTGAAGCATGTGAGATGAGATTTGGACTGAGTAGAAGTCCCAACTGATTATGTAAGATGTACACGTTATGAAACCCATTTTATTCCTCGTTGTAGATGAATTCTCAGATGTCGTCACGGTTTCTCGCCTGTCATTTTCCCCTTCTGAGTAGTCTGTCATGACTAAACTGAAATGATTTTATCTTGAAATTCATATTAATTATGTGATTAGAGGAAAAAACGACGAGATAATTAAGTACATAAAATCGGAGATTTCTTTCCAAAATCAATCAATGACTCATAATCAAATCTTAACAAAAGAAATAGTAGCCAGAAGTACTAGGCGTTCATCAAACAGAGAACTTCTAAGAAAATTTATTTTCTATGAAGACTATACATAAAACGATCTTCCACCAAACAAAAAAAAAAGAAAAAACCAGTAAAAATATCACAATGAAGCAGATTTTAAATTATGACGAAGGAATGGGATTGTACAATATGTTTACAGAAGGAAGTATGGGAGGTAAGTGCTAAAAACTGTTAAATTCAGTAGAAAGAAAGGATTTTAAATGTTAAATATTATATAAAATAGAAAGATTAGTTGTAGATAACAGCTTAAGTAGTTTTAAGACGATTGTCTCTGAACACTATTATGTCATTCTTCATCGCGATCTCCCTGTAGAAATGAAGAATACAGGGGCTCTGTAATATCTCATAATAAACTTAATGTTTTCAAAAACGTTGTAAAAAAAAACAAAATTTAGATTATTATAGAATGAGATCGTTTAAAAATATAACAACTGCTGATGGCCGTTTAGCCATTGTTACATCAGCTCATTGAAAATTCATGGCTTTGAAAACCCTTTTGAACCGTATGAGTTGTCTCTTATTAATTAATTAACAAAAAGCTACAGACGATAAACGTCTAATGAAAGGGAATTTAACCTTTCGGTAAGCCAATGATTCTTAACGATCGAGCGATTAATGTGATAACATATCAAAATGCCACGAAGAAGACTTACAACGCATTTCACTCTGACCAGCAGGAATAGGTTGAATAGCTGGAGTTGAATCTATTGGCCCTAATAGAGAGCTCAACAAATCCTAAACAAACAAATATTAGGAGAGAGAGCTCTATAGAGCAACGAACCAAATTACTTTGGGGTGCAGCTTGAGTGGCTGGTGTACTGTTCACATTAGACGGCTAAATAATACGAAAATAATGATAAAAAGTTATATTTAGACACCTGCACTGCAAACGTTTGCTGAGTTGTTGGAGCTTGATAAACTTGAGTTACTGGTAGATTCGCACATGTATTGCTTGCATTACCATGCCATGGAGAAGGATTCTAAACAAACTTGATAATCGTAGGTTCTCTAGTTTGTTAACCTGAGGAACTGTTTTATGCCAAGGAGAGGGATTTGTATTGAAAGACTGATTCATCGGAGTAGAGAAGGAAGATCCATTATACATTGGTTGCGCTGTTGGTGCAGTTGGCTGCTTATTCTGCTCATGGAAATTCGTAGTATTATTGGAAATGTTTCCTGGGTTAGCAGGAGGCACATGCGGAGATGGACTAGCAGAGTACGGTGGATAGTTTGCATAAGGACTTTGGTAATTTCCAGTTTTTCCAGGTACACCATGATTGATAGAGCCATTGTTGGGTTGTTGTGAAGGTGATGTTTTTGGTATGGTTGGCTGCTGAGGAACACTTGGAATTGAAGCCACAGCGGGATGTTGTTGAATCACAGGTTGAGAGATGGGATATGTTTGAATATTAGATACTTGTGTCATCCCATAGCTATTGGATGAAAACTGCTGAGCTGCGGACTCATTTGTTCTTTGGTGAGGAGCATATATACTGTTGTTCAACTGGGTTGGTACAGGAGGTACATACGGCCTTTGAGGAACAGAAGTATTTGTACCAGAAAAACTGGCTGAAGGTAATGGTGGACCTTGAGTAATGTTAGATGGTCTCAAGATATCTTGCTGATGAGGATGATGCGCTGTCATCGGAACTTGAGGTTGCTGTTGATTGATGACAGGCCCATTGAACTGTTGAGCATTCCCTGTAAATGGAGTGTTTCTCCAATCCATTTGTGGCGTAGCTGCATACGTAACATCAGTAGGAAATTGATTGTAGAAATTTTGTGAAACAGGTTGAGATGACCAATTTTGTCCTTGAGCCACAGATGTGGGACCATCTAGTCTCTGGGTCGAAGGAAGATACCCATTACTATGCATTGAGACAATATTCCCGTTAACTGGAACATGTTGTGGAACATGTTGTGGAGCATGTTGTGGAACATGTTGTGGAGCATGCTGAGGTGCATGTTGTGGAACATGTTGTGGAACATGTTGTGGAGCATGCTGAGGTGCATGTTGTGGAACATGTTGTGGAGCATGCTGAGGTGCAGTCGTTGGAATATGACGGAAAGAAATTGAATCTTGAGGTTGTTGATACTGTCCAGGATAATAATGTTGATTGGAGTTTTGTACTGGCGGCCCTCAAAAAACAAAAATAAAAAGTTAGTGAAGAGTAAAGCATACTTTCGACTGTTGGACTGAAGTGGAAATCACAGACACTACTAGGAGCAGGAGAAGGAGGTTGCGTAGACCCCCCACTAGGGAAATGATCCTGTTGAACACTTAACTGCGTCACGGGAGTAACATTTCCCATATTCTGAGGTAGACCCATCTTGCTTCGGAAAAACTCCTTATAATCTCCAATTCTACCTCTTCCTCCTAAACATATTAGATGGAAAATAATCATACATAAGACAGATACCTGAACTACCAATCGAAGGTACAGGGCTTGGTCGACCCATATCCATTGAATTAGGAACCATTCCAGGATTAGGGCCCAAAGCAAAATCGGATAAGGCAGATCTAGCCTCCTGCGCTGCTCGCAGAGCTTTCATTTTCTCTTCTAATGCTCTCATTTCACCCTCCCGTTTCTGCTTCTCTTCAGCATCTTAATTTCATTTTCATTTATATTATTCTCTTCGAAGATTCATCTTACAAGCACTTTCCATTCCTTTCACAGCAATTCCCAACCTGTCAACTCTGTCAAGAAGCTTTTCATAAAATCTGACAAAGATCAATTACTGTTCTCAAGTGAAACTCATTACCTTTTTCCTTCATCAACTTTCTCACAAACATCAGAATAAACATCGAAAGATTGAACTAGATCAGTTATCTGCTCGGATCTCCTGCAAAGTGAATAACAATCGTGAAAACACTGATATTTGAAAAAAAAAAGTACTTAATGTTCCCCTCTTGAATTTTTTGCCGATGCTCAGCAAAATCAGCATTGGCCTCAGTCAATCCGTTCAGAATCTTTTCCTGTGCTGTCAGGTTTAAACGAATATACTGGATAGTCTGGTCATGCTTCTTCAGCTCCTTCTCGAAAATATGCTAAACTCATTGATAAGTTGTTCTGCTGTCTTTGATTTACTTTGCAATTAGTGTCTCTTTCAGCCAGCAAACGTTTGGAAATATCATCGGAATCTAATTCACCCGAAAGTCTTTGTGATAGTTTGGATCTCTGATTAATCATTTCTTCGACTTTATCGAGATATTTCTTCAGAACAAGACCTTCTTCTGTTGAACCTGGAAGTGTAAAGCACTAATTGAGATCGATATCGATTTTCTAACCTGGATTAGAGGCGCAAGGATATAATTTGTTTCTCAGCTCATATAACGGCAAAGTTAAAAGATGCAGATTTGCTGAATGAGCAGCTAAAGCCTTATGAAGCTCTCCATTATTTGTTCTGAACGCAACCGCATAAACAAGAGAATAGGTATTTCACTAAACCTTGCTTGTAAATGATGATCATTTAACCTGCTCACTTCCTTAGATATAGCCTGATAACCTTCATCAGATTTCTAAAAACCATAAGATTGAGAAAATCATCCATCAACTCAACTAATTCAGGCAAATCAATCGCTGCTAATCGGTCCTGGAGACAACTGATCTTCGTTTCGGCCTGCAGACTCCTCTCATTAACTCCTGAATTCTATAAACTTTCATAAACACTAATATGTTTCACCTTGTAATTCTTGAAGAATTTTGGGAACAGCATCAGGTTGAGAAGCCAATGACGCATTCCGTTCAAGGAGTATATCCGGTACATGGAAATCCTCACTACCCTCATTTAAGCCCAATTCATTGACATTTAAAGCAATAAGGAAGGTTCTGAAGAAATATGGTCTTTTGATTGATTTTAACTTTCTTACTGTAGTTCCTCATTCTTCTCTTCAATCTCTTGCATGATCTCCCGACGAAGCTTAGCCTTCTGATCCTCATACTCGGAAACTGTAGCCAGAACTGATGGCGGAAGTAAAGTGGAAAAAATATCTTCTCCTCCTATAGATGGATCTAGAGGATCAAATCCCAACGGCTTAACTTTACATAAACCCTTCAAAAACAATTTTTAAGTTTTAAAAATAGAAGAAAAATACTTCAACGGAATTATTCTGAAGCTCCTCAGCTGATGGAACTCTCTCATGATAGATCAATCTGTTTTCATCGTCCGCATTTTTTAATCTACAAATGAGGCATTAAAGAACAACTTTAAGCTACAAAGCGTACTTTCCGTTTACGACATCACTCAAAAACTGAATGGAGTCTTTCAAATCGAAGAGGTTCTTATCATAAGCACTAACCATATTGTCAAAATGGGTCTTGGCGATTTTATAATAGCCTAGCCTAAGAATACTCTGATTAAGAGGATCATGAGGAAGATTCAATACCTAAACCCATATTTGGTTTCTTCCTCGGAATTCATTCCCATATAGAGCATTGTCATACAGGCGTACATCTCCATCTTCATGAAGCATAATGTTGCCCATAACTGAAGCGTTTCAATAAAACCAAAGAAAGTTGAGAGCGAGAACGAACTTTATATTTTTTTGGGCTGATGCCTCCCGACAAGTTCTTATCGATATGATTCAAACAACTCTTGTATAACTCTTTCAAATAAATAGTAAGCTTGGCGACGATCAGATGCTTGCGGTGATCGTTCACACTCTTCTGTACAAGGCATTCCTGGGCTTGCGCCTGTAAGTAACGAATAACAGCCTTCCTGGTGAAGCTTGGCTTACCAAAAGGATATTTACATAAAAAGTCAGAAGATCTTTGTCAAAGTCTAAACAGTTAAACTTCGCCAATTCCATATTATCTCTCATATATTGAAATGGAAAAGCAGCATATTGGAAATGCATGAAAGCATTTTTAATGCTCTGAATTCAATCTGATTATTGAGATATTTTTGTATCTTCTCACATCTTCTTCCGTTCTAGGCTGTTCGCTAGCAATATGAGAGTGAACAGCTCCGATTTGATACATTATACAAGCCAATTCATAGTTGATATCATAATGAGTAACAACAGCAGTACTTTCTGTTATCTGATCTTGCCTGAACGGCGGAGAATTCGCAAAAAAAGGATTGATTGGTCGTTACCAAGAGAAAGGAATGCATATTTGGTCTCCTGATTCCATTGGAAATCGATTTTTCATCATAAGAATTTGAGAAAAGTATCGTTTAAGAACACAGGTTGTTTCTACATCACAGTAGTTGGTATTGATGTTCTAAAGTTAGATAAATAACATAATTTTAAGAAATGCCAACACTAACTCGTTTCATATTCTTGATTTCCTTGAAAGCATCCTCGAAAACATGTGGATCTGCTTGATAATGTAGCAAGATATACTGGAAGCCAGTTTCTCTTACTGATTATGAATAGTACTTACCTCTTTTAGTTGCAAGTCAAACGTATCATCATATTCATTCATGGGAAGTTTTAGAATAGGCTCAATATCGGGCAATCTTGGCATTCCTTCCATTTTTGACTGAAAGGAGTTTTTACTGATTATTCTTATTATGCATAACAAAGGAAAATGTAAAATTTATGGCATGAGTGCCGAAGAAGGTGAATCAAGTCAACCATTCTTCTAGACGATCCCAATGACAACAATCGGTTCGCACGTTGTTTAACGCTACGAACCTGCTAGTTCAAAATTTTATTTTTTTGAGTTTACGGTTTGAGAAGCGGTGTGCTTCTTATTTCCAAGATTTATCTCCAGGTTTTGAAAAATCTTGTAAATGATCGATTGTAAACAAATTTAAACTCCATTCTGTTTACAATTTTTTTGGTGTTTTCCATTGTGATTGTATTACGCTTCTGTTTGAGTAAGCTTTTATTACTACTCATGGATTTTAAATGAGAAGCTGACCTTTTTGTTATGGATTTTAGAATGATGGAATCGATTGACAATGTTTGTGGAATCCAGTGTTTATTCTCGATTTTTGTCACGGGTTTCATGTGGGGAGCGACCAATCCACTTATGAGGCTTGGCTCGATATCTGCTGTGCAGCCCAAATACGAAGGTTTCCATATTTTTAGTTTTCTTTTTTTATAGTGTTCTTTATTTCATGTGGCATTACTTCCTTCTTTCTTGATATCATATCTCTTTTTAAATGTTGGAAGTTCTCAATTCCGTTCGGGCTAAATCAACTTGGTTCTGTACGTGTCAGTCAAGTTTATTTATTATATAATGTTTCTTAGGTGCTTTTTCACGCTTTGATCGCCAGATACCCGTTATCTGTGATAGTTCCCATAACTAATGCAGTCCAGTTGATATCGGCTGGCGCTATTGGTCATTTGCTAGGCGACAATCCACTAAGTTCTCGAAGCAAGATCGGTTGTGGAATCACAGCAGCTGGGATAGCTCTCATGATTCTTTCTGACTTGCAGTAACACGTGTGCTTTACAAACTATTTCAAGTTCAGTATGTTACTTCTTCTGAACTGCTATACATTGTTTTAAACTTACTATTAATTTATTTTTCATACATTCAGTCTTTGAACTTCATCGATTGATGAGTAATTCCACTCTCAATGTTTGTTGTCGTCATACAGCCTCAGTTCTAATCCTCCAGTCACTATTATTGATTTGTTTTTTTAAGACTTTAGTGTACTGAACTTTCTAGTGCGAAAAGACTATATCCTGCTGATTATTCAACAGCAAAAACTTCAAGCTGCTCTCTCTTTGTTGTCATGTGTGCCCGCGCGAACATAGCGCGTCGCGTGCGGTGTCTGCACTGGCCACCAGCCGCTATCGATGGCGCCGCCCATTTGCTCTTTTCGCAACCACCGCCACCAACGCATTTCTATTTCTTTCATTTCATTTTACTTTGAAGAAAATTTGAAATCTGTCGTCTACGTGTCGTTCTCTGTACAAACTTTAACAATGTTCGCATTTTCTTCGATATCTTTATTCCAATACAGGTTTACTTGATAATTTATAAATTTTTAGACATCGTCGGTGTCTTCTTTGGTAACACATTCTTTTCGGATTACCCGTTCTTCACGCTCCGAGGGAGAGAGCGTGTATGGACGTAGCCCACTGCTGTCCCCACTGTGATAACAAAGATTCTTTCTGAGGAATCTTCAGAACCGTCTATACCACCCTTAGCGGGTTTTGTAAGTTACATATTCATAGAAGCATGTGTCAAATTAAAATCTGAAAGCTTAATGATCTTATCAAAAAATTTGCTTTTTATCAAACCTTATCTGCGAAAAATATTAAAACAATCGATCATGTGAAAAAGGGTCGAAGGCCCACATTGCTTTATTACGTTTGCGCAAATATATTACGTGTTGTGTTTCAAACCAGCTTGTAACTGCTGTTTCATACTTCATAATTCTCTTTTTTCCAGAACGACGAGGTCTTAGGCGTTTTCTATCTAACGTACGCCCAACCTCAACTTCGAGCCAGTCAAGTACAGCTCGACAAGAACGCTGAGCCTCCCTGGGATCCCGATCCAGTTTTCTGAGGTTTGTTCTCGCTTTGATTTGTTTAATAACTTTTCGTTTTAGGTTTCAAGCTTTTCGCTCTCAACTTCTCTGGTTAATTAATAACCAGCGTGTACGCGACCGTTTTTCGCGTTCACGCCTTCAATCCTCTTACCATATATAGAGCATTAGCGCGCGCTAGCTCGCGCGCGGTAGACTTTTTTGGTGGCATAGCTACATCACAGCCAATACTACCTTGTAATTGGGAATCGCCTGAAGAAAAAGCTCGTAGGGCGAGCAATTATCAACACATTCCACCCTAACTTTTTCCACTAGGTAATCACTGAAGTCGTTGAACAAGTAGTTATGTGCCATTCAGATTTAAGTTTATTGTTTGCCGCATGATTGAACGTCGTCGTCTCCCTTCTGCTACCTACCACTCTGCCGATGAGGCTTGGTCTCGCGATTTTTTCGCTGAACAACCCATCTGTGTCCATCCCAAGCAACACGATGCTGCTCACGTTGCTCGTAAAGTTGCGTCTCAGCAGGTATTTCAGAAACACTTGAATGTTTATAAGCAAACTGGTTTAGATCACTGGAGCTCCATTCTTTGTAATGGATGTTCCTTCAGTTCTACGCTCCGTAGACGATTGGATGGCAACACTTCCCCGATTTTCACCTCATTATGCATTGAGATGTAACGCTGATCCTGTACTAGCCCAACTGCTCGCAGATCAACGTGATATGGGTTTTGAAGTCACCAATGTTTATGAGCTCCAACTGGTATCTAAATTTATCTTTTTTTGTCATGTCTTATTTTTTCAAGGCTTTGGAGTTGGTAAACCCATCCAGGATAGTATTTACTAATCCCCTATGGACCAGAAAAACAATGCGAATTGCTGGTGAAGCAAATGTCGGTACTGTAGTTATCAGTCGTGAGAAGGAGCTTTTAGATGCCGTTTCATACACCCCTGATTCAAAGTAACTTTTTCTTGACTTTTTGAATTCGAACAATTTATCTATTCAGCATACTCATAGCCGTTTCACTCGGTTGCCCCATCCGCGGAGAGTCTGTAGCCACCACATCTGGCTGTTCTTCCGATGAGGCTGAACAGCTCATCATTTCTGCTTTTGAGCTGAAAGCTAAAGTTAGAGGGTTCAGGTTTGTATTTACTTCAAAGTAATTGTTTTTACTGTTTCATTTAAGCTTTAACATTGACAATAGTGATCCTTCGATATACTATAAAGCTCTGAAAGAAGTTAGGAGACTTTTTGATTATGCTGTGTCTTGCGGATTATCCCCTAATACTGTTTCAGTAGGAGGAGGTTTCCGTTGCCCACGTGGTGATGATAAACTTCGTTTCTTTGAGGTAGTAAAGCTTTTAAGAATCTATATATGTCTTGACTTGCAGGTTTGCGACTCTTTGAGTGGAGCAGTCGAGGAAATGTTTCCAAGTGAATTGTTCCCCTCGTTGAGATTAATAGCTTCACCTGGCCGATTTTTCGCAACATCCGCTTTTTCCCTCTGCACAAATGTTGTGGCAAAAAAACCCGTGGATATCAATATGCCTGAATTAAAGAGTACTATTTCAGTGCCGTCTTGATATGCTTTAACATTTTTTTTTACAGATAACGATTCAGTAAACAGCGTTGCGTTTGTTTATCAAACCAATGATGGAATTTATGGATCGTTTAGTTGCCGTTTGGCTGATTGTGACCCAAAATGCCGTCCTTTAAACGTAATGAAGAACGCTATGAACGAATTATACTTTATACATTTGTAGGAAAAAGAAAACGATGGTTCTTATCATCTCGGAACCGTCATCGGACCATCCCTTGAAACTATTGATATAGCTCAAAGATGGTTCTGTGGTCGACAGTTATCTGTTGGAGAATGGCTATTATGGGAAAACATGGGAGCCTACTCAATGCCACTTGATCCTGATTATCAGGCGCCTCCAGTTTATTATTATTCTGGGAAAGATAATTGGTAAATCGTCCATTGTTTTCTGATCATTGATTTATTTTCAGGGACTACATCCTTGGTAAAGGACGATCAAAGCAATCTGCCTCATTTATGAATGAGTCTGACAACAACTCAGATTTTGCCAGTGATGTTGAGAGCATATCCTCTGATGAGGAATATGATTTAATCACTCGATTTGACAGTTTCTTCGATTAAGTTCTATTAATATTTATCTCTTAACCCGAGTGTGTACGCTTTTTTCGCGGGGGAATTTTCATAATTTAGTTGGGAGTAGGTTCATATCGTCTTCACATTTCCTTCGTAACCTCTTCCATATAACTACTCACCAACTTTCATCACAATTATCACTTTTGTGCAAAATTAGAAGTAGAATCCAATGATTTCTTTTTTACCACTCACGTGGTTAATGAATAAAGATTGTTCGTAATCTTTTTTCCTTTTTTTGGGGGGATTGAGGTGCAGTGAGTCATGGGCAAAATAAATCCTAGGAAAAAACACGGAAGGGGTTAAATATTAGTATTCCGAACGAAGTATTCTCATAAATATTGTCTCATGAGAGCTGATCTCTTTCTTCTGTTTTTCTTTCCTATCCAGTTTTCCAGGTCTAGTTATGCTTGGCTACTCCTACAAACGTCATAATTCTTAACGGAAACAGAATGAAAACAACATTGCAAAAGCTCTCTTTCTCTCTCCCTCCATCTGTCGACAATGATGACACATTTTTTGAAAATTTAATAAAAAGAGTTTCTATCTATTTTTAGGTTTCTTGTGTTTGTGTCCTGAGGGACATGGAGGTCTTGCGACATCGGCGTTCTTCTCGTCCAAGGCTGATGTACTTTACAGAAGGACAATTCAGACACTTTGCGTAAATACTTCTGAAAAGCTTCATTAGAAATAAACACTCGTAGGAATATATAATAGGAAATTTATCTGGGGGAGTTTTTTTTCTGACAGATAGCCTGCCATGACGTCATTCGGGTGTTCCAAAAGCGGATAAAACTGTTTTCCAAAAATCAGTCGATAACGATCTTATGATTCCTAACAGCAAGTAATTGATAATGTAAGAATGCTAGTTGATAATGATTGTGTGAACTTTGATTTCTTTCGCAGTGAGAAATTCGTATGAAAGAGATCAATAGAAGTTGAGCTGTTACGAAAGTCGAGAAAAAATGGTAACTTTCATGGGTTTATTTTTAGACATTTATCGATCGTGAGGTGGAACAATGGGTAACTTTGTTTTCTTTGTTCTCCATGGCATATGATAGGTATTTTTTAAACTGAACAATCGACTTCTTATTGTCACCTTGACCGGTCGTACAATTTTTGCTTCGAATTTGGTTATTTAGCTCGAAACTTGAAAACATTTTGTTCAAAAGCAATTATATATGAATGAAAAGGAAATTGCAAATATATACTATGGCATTTTGGGTTTGCCGTCAATCGTCGTGAACGACGCTTATGCTTTAGGTATATTCAGAAATTCCTCCGCACCTTTTCCGGAGTTTATTTCTAGCATGTGTCTTGGTATTCACTAAGAGCTCTTTGTTAGATATGCATGTGAGACACCATCCAACACGAAAAAATACTTAATTGAAACTAGAAATGAAATCAGTGAAGTTATCTATTCAAATACGATTTTCTAATGAATTTTCTAATTCCCCAGAGTTGTTGTTCTGAGCAGATGGAAAGTTGGAAAAAGCGAAAGATTCTTGAAGTTATTAGGCAATCCAGAACTTCTTCTCTTTCTTCCATCCTTCTTTTCTTCATATTTCCACAATAAGACATAATCCAACGACGTTTTATGTTTCCTATTCAAGCCCATCTTAACCCCATGAAGATGATGTGAGTGAGTGCTTCAGCTTTCCCTTCTCTTAGTCCTTATTAGTTTTTTGTTCAAAGTATGTTTCGGTTTGTAACTATCATATCATATCTCTAAAACGCACATTTCCTTTCATCCGGAGGGAATATTGTCAAGAAATAATAATAGACGACCGAATTTGTTCTCAAGAGACTGACCAAAAGTATAGAAGGCGACACACGCACATTTTGCCGAGCACGAGAAAGACGTTGACGATGAGCTATTGGAGAGAGGAATATATGAGATACAAGCTTATTCATATATGGAGGAAAGCCAATAAACATTTGAACATCTAGATGAGAAGATCATTGTTACCCATCGTTATAATAGCTTTTCCTTCAAACGGCAGTCTGTTATAAGGATGCTCCAACGTTATTACTACGATTTAACGGCCCTCAGTCAAATTTAGTTTTTATGCATTTTTTGTTATTTAATGTTCATTTTTAACTGTAGCATATAAAACCATCACATATATCACTCGTTATTTTCTTCACTTTGATGTATTCATCAAATTGACTTGCAAAAGCTTCGTGAATTTAGTCGCTTTCTAATTGCGTCTTTCAAAGACAAAAAAACTGGCGATTTTTGCTTGAGCTATGTGCTATGGCTGTATTTGGCCGGGCCAGAATGTCGCTGGCAATTTGTGTCAACTTCTCAAAGACATGCAAAGCCACCGGCTTTGTGCCATTGTGAATTGGATATTTAGTTTTTGAAGATATATTTCATCAGTTCATTTCGTAATACCATTGTCGCATCGAGCTCCTTTGTTTTTCAATCGTCATTTGTGTATTGCGTGATGTCTTCCATGAAAGTTCCATTATATTCCACATACATTCTTAAACATGAGGCATACAAAACGCTTTATTATTTTCGTTTTCATTTTTTTTTAAAGACAACAACTCTTTTTGTCAGCAGTTGGACGATTTACTAAAATGTAAATGTCAATTGAGTGGATGAGGCCGGTTATTCATGCGGGCTCTGATATGGATATTCCGTTGCCATCTATGATCTTTGTTTACAGGTGATTGAACTTGTTAGTTCAATGTTTATATTTTAATTTATTCATTGCAGCACTCCGGCATTACTACTTTTGCTCGTGATATTCATTGTCAAATGGCGTCCATGCTATGAATTCAGTGGATTTGCACATTGTTTTAGGTATCATATTTGCATACAAAATTATTCAATAGAATTGCCGATTTGGTGAATGTGAAAAGCAGAAAAACAAAAAAACATTTGATGTCTATCAGTTCTATTTTCCTGTCTTGAAGCTATGAAAGGATATCGATTGAACCGATATTATCTCTCTAGTTTGGGCAAAAAAAAAAAAATCCTACCAACCGACGATCAATGTCTATGCGAGAAATGAAATGAGATGTTACGGATAGGATTATCTTACGTGGATCTATCACGTGAATAATGTTCATTTTCTATTTCATCTGAATCAATGAGCGGTCGTTCATCAAAATTCGCCTGATCAAAGTGTGATATATACAAACAGACGGAGAAAGAAAACATATGAACCATTAAATCATTATTATTTGAGAGGGAATTATGTCAAAAATCAAATTTCAGATGGTACATCTTGTGCTGCAGCAAAGAAACAAAGAAAGAAATGATAAGTATTGATCGACAACGCATTCTCACAATTGATGCTGAGGTGCAGCCTAATGCTTTTTTTTGTTTTGTAATCCCTTTGTTTTTCAGAGATTAGCTTCTGAATTTGAAAGTGCTCCTGATTCTCCGAAAAGTTGCCCTGATGTAGAGATGCAACTGATATCAAGCAATGTTATTATTGAAAATGATTAATAACGATTCGATAATGTTATAATATCTGTGATATAACTCTGTATATTTAATAACATTTATTAAAAATTTGACAAAAACACATCGTTTTACGTACACCCGTATGTCTTTAAGGTCAATCAAATATAATATATTATCCTGAACTAATAATCGATTCGTTCAAACATCAAATGAAACATTCTACTACTATATATAGAAATTTGGTTCTCCTTATTCTTTGTTTTTATTTTTAATTTGGAAAGAAATACTGTATACGACAAGGTTAACCGGGTTTGACCACCTCATAAGTGGGTTCATCTATTATAACTCTAGCTTTATCAATTTTCAGAAGCAAATCTTAATGATTTCCGCTATTGACCCGTTAAATTGAAATGAAGCATCGTTTAAGCTTGTCTTGTGACCAAAAACATTGCTTAAGAATGGACGATTAGATGGCTTCCGATAAATAAATGACGTTTTCAATGTCACATTTCCAAACTTTCGTTTATTTAATCAGATGGTGGTGGATTTTTGGGTGGTGGGGGAGGTGGTGGCAGAGGTACTTCAGGCAGCCGTTCATACACATTTTCTATTCTAAACAGTATTTTATATTATTAATTATAATAGTATAGTTAGCATACCGACGTAACGTTTCGTTTCCCAATTCAGGAGGAAAATCATAAATAGGCTCATGGTCAAATGAATAAAGTAACTGAGAAGGAGTTGGTGATTGAGCGTTAAAGTTTGGAATTTGAGGCCTTGTAATAGGGCGACCGGCAACTGAAACATGAAATTACTCGGGAATTCATATTTAAATACTCACCAATAGGCATAGTTACATGTATATTTCCATTAGGTAAATGTTGTAGAGATAGCATATGTGGAGGAATTTCCATTTGAGTCATGGCAGCACATGAAGCATAGTAGATCACTGAATCTCCTCGGACAGGGTTAGGCACGGCTGTTGGAGTAGCATATATAACAGGGTTCATCTGAACCATAATCAAATTCATTATTGGAATATGCAAATTGAACAAACTTTATCTAAACTCGGTTGCACTACAGTTGGCCGTGAAAAACGGAAAACTGCCACAACCAAAAATGCAACTAGAAGAACAGCTACGAATGCTAGAACCAAATTACTATCAGAGCCATCCCCTTTCATTTGACGAAGAGTTATAAGATCTAAAGATCGTGACGTTTATGCCCTTTATTTGAATTGAGCCTAACCGTAACAAACAGGAAAATTTGGCTCCCAAGCTGCTTTTTCAGAGCAATGCAAGATGTCATGACCAATGAGACGGAATCCTTCCATACAGGTGAAGTTTACCTGAAATAATCATCTTAGTATGCCCTACAGAATGCTTTGTTACTTGTGATTGGTATGTTGTTTTTATATAATGAGCATTGCCATTCGGAATAGAAGACGGCTTCCCGCAGTCAACTTCTGAGATCAACCAATAATATAAAGCATAATTTAGCTTCCTCTTACCCCAGCATTCTGGCTCCACTCCACTCCATGACCCATCACTTTGACACTGACGTCGTGTTGCTCCATGAAGAACATACCCCGTTGAGCACCGATATTCAATCTGTACACAATTCGAAATAATGAAAGCAATAACTTTACTTCACTCACTTCACTTTCATATGTAGTTGAGCCGTTCAAGAGAATTATTTCGCCCTTCTCCCAGTCATCCAAATCTCCACATTCTTTTCCTGAAAACTATACTTTGAGTTATTGATTCTATAGTTGATCATACGATAGCAGTGAGGTATTTCGCCACTCCATCTACCACTCTCTAGACACTCTCTTTGATTCTTTCCTCGTAACTCATATCTAAATGTAAAATAGTACTCAGTTGTCTAACTCTCACAAACCCTTCGTCACAAGAATAATAGCAGTATGTTCCGATTGCGTAACTATGGCTTGAGAAAACTACACGTGAAGCCTCACCTACGCCCGGAGATGTACAGAACTTTGGTTCTTAATAATAATCCCATAAATTCTTGTAAATATTGATATGACTAACTGCTTTGACATAAAAAAGCATTATAAGCTGTTTGGGCAGCTGCAACCCACTTCCATCCCAGAGCTCTTGCTAATAGAATGGCTTCTGATTGTCCAGGGAAGGGGGCTGTTTTTCCTGGCCAATCTGATCCTAATAAAACTTCTGCACCATCAGCCCATCTCCACTGTGTAGTTGAAGAAGTGACACCTGCACGAATCAACATATATATTCAGCAAAATTTGCAAAAAAAATCTTTACCGATCCAGTAAAAAGCTTTTTGGTTAGGAGTTGCAGACAGTGCGGAGTATAAGCCTCGTTTGGCCGATTCAGATATTCTTAACGGTAACGAGGCTCCTCTTCAAGTAAATAGTATGATATCACTTTGAAAGCAGCAATAATTACCTATCAAGACAACTCCTTTGCGCCCCCAGCCAATCTGTCTGTTCATCTCTTGAGGCAGCAAAGCACATTGAGTCGAAAATGCCAACAACATCCATAGAACCTTGAGCACATTGCCATGATGACACTAAAAACAAATTCCATAACTATGCCAATTTTTGAAATAACTGTCACGCGCTGACCAATCAACTGAATTTCATTTTTGTTTACAAATGCATGGAGCGGTTGAACTCTATTGAAATGTTAATTTATCGACGTGTACAGAGCAATTTTAGAATATTCAAATACAAGAAGAGCCCATGAGAACAAATGAAACATGACATTGCTTTTGAGTTCAGTGAACAAACAACATAAACCAACCATCCCTTTCTTTACCAATACTTCTTACCTTACTCTCTCTCTATGTTTAATTATAGTACTCTACCCATTTCATGACTTTCCGGTTCGTAAAAAAAGAACCGGAATTTATGGGGTTTGATGTTGAAACTGGGCTTCGAACGTTTCTGGTGGCTGGTTCGAAACTTCTGTCTGGATTCAACGATACACTAGCTCACAATACTGTCCATTGAACGGAGCAGATCATTTAACGGAAACCGAACATTAGCTTTCATCACACTCTTCTATTTTCCATTCTTCCTTCAATCGCTGCTTCAGATGAATCTGTTCTCGGAATTTTTCTTCGGAGAAAGCTGTTGAAGCATTGGCTAGGTAGTCCACAATGTCAGCCGTTCTAACGGTCATGGGATGAGTTTAAACTTGATTTGAAGAATAAAGGATGATGAAAGCCGCCGTCGCCTCATCTCCAAGCTTTATAACATAGCTGGTTTTATGAAGTGTTGTTACATGTCACCTCATTCTTTCTTATTTTTTTTAACTCCAATCCCGAAACGAAAAAACACAAGTTATTCAATAGGCACGCTAACGCCATGATCTCTCCCCCTCATATGAACTTCTCGATTTCAAGCTTAAGGATCTATTTGCGACTATTTTTTTTCACATCAATAAATTTCGAGTTAGATCAACATAAATGGTCACCTCATTGTTCATTCATAAATGGAAGGTGTGCCTTTCTAGCTTATTCAAATACGGCAATGGCCGGTTCATAATCAGTCTTCTTAGGTGTTGAGAAAGACTCACAACCATGTAAATGATTAGAGATACTCAAAAGTGAAAATTCCGAAAAGGGAGAACTTATTGAAGTGAAAGAGAACAGAGGCCGATCAACCACAGTCAATAGCGAATAAAGAAAACATTGAAAGAGAATATAAAAAGAACGAAGAAGATATACATAGGTAAGAAGACATCACCGAAGAGCAAGAGCAAAAGCAAGAGAGAGCAAGAGAAAGGGAAGAGAAAGAATTTGCAGTTGAAACGACACTGAGATGGAGATGACACTGCGCTTCTCTCGATCTGACGTTCTGTATATTGTCGTGCAGCTCTTTCGAAGATCACAGCTTTAGACTAAGACTATGATTGGCCATACAATCACAATTGCTTGAAGAGAAGACAAAAGAGCTTGTTCACGCAAATGTTGAACTAACAAAACAATATCATTTCCAAACATATTTCTCCCAACATTACATTCTAGTCGTCGGACAGAACTTATTTTTTTCAATCAAAGCCTTCCAAATAAAGCTAACAAACTCTCTTGAAAAAAAAAACACTTTGAAGTTCGTTTCGAACATCCTAGATGAAGTGCTAAAAAGAAAAAAAGAGTATGCGAGTGGAGAGAAAAGTAATGAAAAGCTCAAACAGTTTTTCATCATATTTCGAAAGCCCAAAATTGAGAATAGGATTTTCTAACTGTTTTCTTGCTCATTAGGAAGATGCAATAGAGACGATTTAACAAACGCGAAGAAAAACGGATCAAAAACGGAAGTAAAAGTGTCAATTGCGAGACTGATTGATTATCGATGAGAGTACAATGAGCAAAAAAAAAGAAAAATACTGACCTGCATCAGTTGCGTAGACATGAAAATCACATAAGTGAAGTTGTTGTCTTGTAGTTACACGTATCCTGCTGACATTTTTTTGTTTACAAGAAATTATTGTTGCTGATGAGTTTCCCGCAGATAGGTCGATCGTTGATATATCACAAAGCTTAAAAAATAATTTTTTAGTTCACTTTTTTTCTCACTTTTTCGTGAGTGTCACAGATACCTTAATGTCTCCGTTGTTCAAAGTCAGTTCTATTGTGGAAACGACAGATGATTGTTTACCTAATCGAATGGAAATCGCGTGAACTGAATATGATCCCAACAGATCAACATCCCTTCAAATAAAAATTTAAAACAAAGAAGGGAGATACTTCTTAATAGAAGATTCATGAGGAAACAAGGTCAGGAGAATTACAGACGAAAGATAAAAAAGTGTTTTAATATGAGTGAGAATCGTTAATTTTTCATAAAATCGTGTTGAAGTTTTTTATTTTGTAGGTCAATTTTGGTTCAGGACACTTGTCGGATAATAACATTCAAGAGAAACATACCACCAAGAACTTTTTTCATTTTCTGTATTTGTACATAGTCCTTTGAAAACAACATCAGAGGTAGTTCCAGTTGACTTAAAATATACTATTAAAATTAGTCTTGTTCACTTTCCAACCTGTGTCGTAGGCTTATTTGCAGCAACATCAACCGCGCATATTGGAGCTTCATTACTCCAAGTTCCATCGGATTTACAGACTCGTTCTTCTGGCCCAACACGTTCAAAACCAAGAGCACAACTGGAGCAGAATAGGAAATGTTCCTCAAATATCAATTACCTATATTTTGCTACAGTTTTAGGTGTATATGGCCCAGGCTCATTGAATATCACATGGCCATTCTCAGGAACGAATGGCTGAAGGCAAGAATGGGCTAATGCTTGCCTTGACAGTAAAATAGAAAAGAATAATATTCTAAGTATCATGTAGATCTGTTTTCACAGAATACTAAGAAGCATTCAGCCTCTCTACTCTCAGATGTTGTTGTAGAGAAAAGTATACAATGACCACTGGTGAGCCTAATTAAAGCTTGGCGCCCGGTAGCCTTATGAGATGATAGTTATAACGAGGGATGCGGATAGTTGGTTAGCTTAAGAGTATATTCAAGAGTGCTTGAATATCCGAAGCTCTTCGTCACTCTGCTTAAAGGTCTTGGTTGCGGATGACAGAGACGAGAACAAGAAGAAGAGACAGAAGGGACCGAGGGCGCAGCTAGTGGAGCACCTGACAGACCACGCCCCGTCAACCTCTCATGTCCACAAACAACTGTACCAACGGTACGCTTGCGCAATGCAACTCACTAACATGGAAATTAAAAAGATGAAAATGTACGGACGACCTCATAGCCATCATGATTCAATGATTGAATGTGTTTTTGTTTCAATAGTCTACTATCTATTCTCTCTTTTGAAACATAACAATGTAGTTATAATGTGTTGCTGATTCAAGGAAACCATGAAGGTTTTTCTCATTCATCCAAAATATGGTTTGCGTAATGACCACGAAGCATGTTCCGACGAAGAAAGTCAAGAAATATCAATATTAAGATCAATTTACTTAGGCCGCGCTCTAAAGCAAAAACGCGCGAAAATGAAACGTAGCTTATTGAAATTCAAACGCTGATTGTGAACGGTTGTTCTCACCTGAAAACTTGAGACTTGAATCTTTATTGGTTCAAAGTTTTAAGGCATAAACATGGGTGATGAACTAAGAGTAATAAACCGTATATCCAAGGATGTTTCATCTAAAATATGTACAGCTCAAGTATAGTTATTTATCCTATTCTTACTCATTTGTTTGAATTTGAGGTGGTCTCATCGGCTTCAGGAGCCATACGCCAGTTGATTGATAATGCTATTGATGCTGAAGCTAAAGTTATAGGTATCAGTATCTTTAATGTGATAGAGAGAACAAAAGTTGATTGTAGACATAAAAGTGACAGACAATGGGTTTACTTCCCTAGAAGTAGCCGATGACGGTACTGGAATAGATCCTTCGAATTTTGATACCATTTGTGAGTCCAAAACTTCTTTGCTGTCTGTACGCTACATTTGACTATGTTCAGGCCAACCCCATGCTACTTCAAAATTATCAGATTTTTCCGATTTCCAAGAGCTTACTACTTTGGGTTTTCGCGGAGAAGCTCTGAATGCCCTTTGTGCTTTAGGGTATGATATCTAGAATGATAATTTATTGAAATTGTCTGTATTAGACAACTGACTATATCAACACGACATAGAGAATCGTTAGTCGGAACGAAACTGCAGTTCGACCACAAAGGACAACAAACTAATAAAACTAATATGGCAAAGCCTGTAACAACCTAGTTTGTGTTGATTTGATTTATATTTGATAGTTTTAGGTTGGGACCACAATTATTGTGGAAAAATTGTTTGAGACACTCCCTGTTAGAAGAAAAGAATTTGAGAAAACTCAGAAAAAGGAGATGGGTCGAATCATTTCGACTGTTCAATGTTTTTGTCTTTCAAGACCAGACATACGTTTTATTTTGAGCAATACTGTTGCTGGGTAATTCATTTGCAATAAGGTTATTCATACAGTGAGTTATAGCAAAAGGCAACAAATCTTGTGTACACCTGGAAAGTCTGGATTGAGCGAAGTAAGCCGACCCTTGTTCTTTTTGCTCAAATAGTATTAGGTTGTTCGCAATTTGTTTGGTGGTCGTACTGATAAAAACAAAATGTTGGAAATAGAAAAGTCACATCCTGATGATGAAATTTGCAACCTATATGGATTAACATCTTTCAATGAGAACGACTTCAATGCAATTACGTATGTTATAACTTCTGTTCAGTAGCATATAATTTTATTAGGCTCTCGGGACACATTAGCTCCTGTGAGCATGGCTTTGGCCGGCCCTCGGCAGATCGACAGTTTATTTATGTTAATAAAAGACCCGTGGATTTCCCCAAAGTAATTAAGCGTGTTTAAATTACAGTCAGCTTCGAAGAGGTTTTCAGATTTGTCGGGCTATCAACGACGTCTATCAGCAATATAACAAATCTCAGTACCCTACAGTAGTTCTATTCATCGATGTTCCGCCAGGTAGTTTTTATGGAGAAACTTTGTGATTTAGCTTTTTTTGATAGATACTATTGATGTCAATGTAACACCGGACAAGAGAACCGTCTTCTACGACAAGGAGAGAGTTTTACTCGCAATTGTGAGAGCATCTGTAATCATTTCTTTGAAGCAGGTGCTAGGTTCCTACACTGTGGTGGAAGGTAGAAGGATTTATATTGGAAAAATTGTGAAGAGTGATCTTTCTTCCAGAGCCTCGTAAAAACATAAACAATAGCATGCTCAATTCGTCAACTTCTTCCGATTTGAACTGTTCCAGTAGCTCCATAGTAGAAGGTGTTCCCAGTGTTTTCGATTTGCTCAAAGCCGCTAATGTTGCTAGCAAACGAGTATCAAACCAAGGAAATCCATCAGCTAAGCGATCAAGAGCGAATATATCTGAATCAACGATTAGAACATTGGAATCTTTTTCTTTCGCTCCTTCGCAGAAATCTCAAGATACAAACAAGTCCAATACGAGTAGTATTTTCCCCTCACCACTTATCACACGTCTCGGCTCAAGACGTCTAGGTAGTTTATTGGGTGAAAATATCGTACATTTCCTTTTATTTTTTTTAAAGAGAACATACCTTCAGAAGAAAGTGCGCTTACTGATACTACTATCCCGGTTGTTATAGAAAATCATATACCGGCAGAAGCATCTGCTTCCTTGTTGTTGGATGATGATACACATTCTACTGTGCTCACCTCTAACTCACCAGACAGTCAAATGGTTTCTGCTGTGCTCACCTCTAACTCACCCGACGGTCAAATGGTTTCCACAATGCTCGTATCTACACCTGAGAGAGATGAAGTTCATTCTACAGTGATCACATCTTCCATAGTAGAAAAAATTTCTCCCATTGCGGCTATACGAGAGCTTTCTACCTCTCCAATCATGGAAGGGCTTGCTGCAGAAAATGAAGTAAGTCTTGTCAACGCTCATTTTTATATTAGTTCATTGTAGCGTGATGATATCTTGAAAGGTAGACTTTCTCTAAGTTCTCTCTCTCGGGGATTCAATAATGATTTGGATAAAGACGATGATTCTGTTTTCAAAAACCTAGAAAATCGAATGAATTCGGATGAAAACTCTAAAGATGACAGATCCGAAAACGACGCAATAGTGTGTTTGACTCCAAAAGTTGAGGTTTGTTTGAACACATAAATTGGGGTACGTAGTTTATCATTCAGATATTCTCTCAAAAACAAAGCAACGGTGTATCTTCTCAAGTTGCAGATGGAACGTTTTATCGTCAACAACAAACTGTTGTTAAAGCTATCTGCCTTTTTCTCATTTTGCTATTTCCAGGTTGCGTTTGATTTAAACAAATTTGAGGAACGTCTTGAACAACTCAGTTGTCGAGCATTTACAAAGCAAGAAGTACTAAGGTTGGAAAAATTGGTTCGCCTTTAAAACGTTTTTCTGAAGTCAGACAAATGATGCCCTGTTTGAAGTAGGATTGGAACCCGAAGAGCAAAATAAAGCGGAGCAAGAATTCACTAGAATTCTAAGGTTTGAAGGAGCACCGCATCTGATTAATGAGTTTTTTCCACAGTAAAAATGATTTTAACGAAATGCACATTATTGGGCAGTTTAACAAAGGATTTATCATTGCCAGATTGAAACAAAATTTGTTCATCATTGATCAGCATGCCTCTGACGAGAAATTCAACTATGAGCGCTTCCAAAAGAAAGCGTGTATTGAAAACCAAAAGCTTCTCCAGTAAGTAAAAGTATGATTAATGAAAATTTGCGTTTAAGACCCTCTCCCTTAAACTTTGGTGCTCTCCAAGAATCGGCTCTCCAGGATAACCTCAGTATATTCCGATCAAATGGATTCGATTTTGAATTTCGCAGTCAAGGTAAAACGAAGCTAATTAGACATGGTCCAATTTTACAGATGATGGTAGTTCTTTGGCTTATTTGACATCAGTACCAGTTCTTAATAGTTGGCAGTTCGATAAAGGGGGTGAGTGTTGTATATTATCACTCTGTAACTCTTGGTCGTATAGATATTGAGGAAATTCTTGCTTTTGTTCAAGAGTTTCCAGGAGAAATGTATCGCCCGTCAAAGCTGAGAAAAATATTTGCATCGCGTGCTTGTCGAAAATCCGTAATGATAGGCACCAGCTTAAATAAGAAACAAATGCAGACGGTTGAGCTTTCACACTTTCAGTTTTGTGATCGTATTTTTCAGATTGTACGTAATCTCTCAAAACTGGATCAACCTTGGGTTTGTAAGATGTATTAATGAATGCATTAATTGGATTTTTAGAACTGTCCTCATGGTCGGCCAACACTCCGCCATCTTGGAGACATAAGCGATATTGGAATATTTCCTGACGTTTGAAGAGTTAGTCTAATAATTTTAACACATTCTGTTTTTTATTCGCGTGTATTCTCAACTAATCTCTCTCGTCCGTCTTAAAAGTGCCAGAAGTTTTAGTAAGTATTGCGGCAAGGATCATTGCCTTCTGTCTCTTATCTAACATAGGTTTCACTTGTCCCGAAATGCATCTCTTTTACACCTATTCCTTAAAGATATCACAGAAATGTACGAGATTTTATTTTTTTCGATGCTAGTCTTTTGCGGTATTTGAATGATGAGCGTTACATGATAGATTGGTTCATTTTTTAATGAGATGCCGTTTTTGGTAGATTTTTTTTATTGCGAATCGTTTTCTTATTTTCTCCTTTCTATGATAGATTGATTAGCTTTCTTAAAGAATATCAGTCATTGATTGTGTCGATTTCCGTTAAATGATGCGTAAACTTCTCTAAACTATTGTTTTTTAACAACTTATAATCGAATACCTCGCAACTAACAACATTAAGCGTAGATATTTTTCCTTTTTCGCTTAAAAACACAATATACACTTCAATCACCTTTTTTTCCTATTGAATCAATTTCTTTACAACCAGCTCTTGATGTGCATGTATATTGTGGCCTAGATCATAATTCTTCCTGATCGAAGCAGGTTTCGTTCTCGATATCTTCATCATATCGTTTTGAATTGAAAGACTAGACTTTTCATTAAATAATTTACAATTCATTTAATTATCCAAAAGAGATTATTTTCCTTCTTATTTACTTATAACGAAAGCTTCAAACCAATCGCGTTTGTAATGAAAGACTCATAGAACGGTTGATTTTGCGATTGATGTAGAATCTGGAGTAAAAAAATTTCATTTTTATCTTTTGTAGGTCATTACAGTACTGCGATTCCATTAGTTGGATACATCTTACATATTACAATATAATTTGATGGTACAATCATGCATTCAAAAGGATTGTTGCAAGTCATGTGAGGTGAGATTTTTATTGTTTTAAAAATTTATTTCTTGAAACCAATTGTTGTGGGGAAATTGTGAGTGAGATTGAACGAGCCTATTCCGAACATACTCCACTTTTCGTTCTACTGATCGACGTCGTTCATCTCTGCCTCACCGCGCCTCCCCTCTTCTCCGTTATTTCTCTCTCGATTCATCCCTCCCTCACCCTGAAACGCACAGCTGACAGCCGAGGTCCGTGGTTGTCTCGTCACACACTAGACAAGCAGGGTAGTGTATGGGGCTTTAGAAGAGTCAGACACGCAGACACATCGATCGCAGCCCACCCTTACGACCAGCAACAACAGCCAGCAGCGGCAGCCGTCGACAGCGACTCACATACTTTCATACTTTTCTTCTAAACAGTTTTCTTCACAGTCTTTTCTGGACTGTTTGTAATTAATACGACCTGATTGAGTACTGAGCATCGCGTCTCGCATTTCGTCCTATATATAAGCTTTATACGAATCTGCTTTCTATCATTATCGCTGTTTTTGCTCGTGACTTCAACCAATTATAATCATATACAGTCCAATACATAGTCCACCGGCCGTGCCGGCTAGGCTGATGGTTGAGCTGTGCGAGCTTAAACAATTTGTTGAAGAAGATCAATGGCCTGCTGATATTGATACACGTATTGCCAACCTTGATTTTGGTGGCGATAGCGTGCTGTTCGAAAGCTTCGACCCATCTGTGAGTACGGATTCTTTGGATTCTGCTCAACTACGTGAGCAATGTCGACCTCGTACAGATGATTATCAGATGGCCTTTGCCGATTCTGGGCATTGGCAGTCAGGCATCGGTTCAGGTGGACCTGCACCTCTCACTACTTGGGGCAGGATTCATTCTACTGAACCATTGGATGATAAAACAGCCTCAGCTCCTGATATAGGACCTTCTATTCATACTGGTCTCAACGGCACTGTCGGAATCAATTTAACTAGCAACAGTATTCATACACGGTTGAATTCTCGACCCAGAGCTCGCCCCACAAGTTTACTTGCTAATTTTGTGGATAATAGAAGATCAGATGCTGCTGCACGATACGTTGATATTAATGATAACGAGATAGTAAGTCCCGGATTACAAAGAGCTGATCGATGGAGAGCACCTCGGGCTTCTACTGCTCCAGCGAAACCACGGAGAACTTTCGCTGATCTCCAGAAGAATATTGCTCCAGAACTACACTTTTTAGCTCTCCCACATAAGGTAGACCAAAAAAATATTTCTAATTTAATTAAATTTTATATATATGTGATGTTTTCAGATGCCTACATTATGTGAGTCTAGCTCCATGTCATTGAGTGATGTTTTACTTAAAGTTCGTCGAGAGGGCATTCCTTCTATTACATCAGATATTGATTTACATATACCAAATCTACTCCAGGTATTGTTGTTCTTATTAATGCTAAACTCTAGTTAATTATGTAGGATGATTCTCCCGATTCTGGGTTTGCTTCCAGCGGACCATCACACATTGAAGACTGGTCATCACTGTCTATTTTACTACCAAAGTATGTTCAATTTTTTGTTTTTGTGAGATTATTAAGTTTAATTCTTGAAAATCTTTTCTTTCCTAAATATTTACTGCATCACGCGGATGTGAATACTTCTTCTATTTTAATGCTGCTCTTGCTATAGACTGAGAATTTTCTTCCCAATTTCCTATCGATTATACGCCTCTGCTGCAGATTTCGTAATGAGTCTTAGGACATTTCCATGCGACAACAGGCTTGGGGCAATGAGAAGATGGAGTGCGCTTCTCCGAAACGTTGAGTATTAAAAACCTCGTGTTTGCCTTTGAAAGCTCAGTTGTTTATGAGTGATAATAGGTTTCTATTAATGCTCATCTGATTGCTTTCAAACAGAAAAGCATGTTTTGAGTATGAGAAATGCTTTTCAGCAATGGCGGTGAGGAGAAAGTGCAATTCGATATGCCAAGAGATGGTTGTTAGCTCACCAACTTATGTAGCGTATCTTATTATATCGTTACAATGATCTCTATCTTTCTCTCAATTGTTCTGGCCTCTATTATATGCATTCATTGCTGCTAACTTTATTGAAGTAGTATTAGTGCCAAATTGTCTTTCATTAATAGCCAAAACACAAGCCAACTAACTTTTGTTAGAACTTGTTCGTGAAGTGTAACTAGAGAATTGGTTATTATAGCATTTTTTCAAAGCCAATGACCTGATGACATTTTATTCATTTTCTTTTCTTTTTTGAACTGTGATTAGGTACCCGCAGGTGGGTACGATTTTCATCTTCATCTATTCAACCCACATGTCTTCTCCATGTAAAGATGAAAACGACATGTGGCTGTACTCCATTTTTTGGAATCCGAAGAATGTGTTTGAAGCAAGATGTTGTCATATATCATGTTTTGTATACGAAATGAACAAAGACATCATCGTTTCAGATCACATACTAGGCTTGTGTGAGTGTATGAGTCATGATTTGTTTCTGAAAACTGTTCCAACAGCATTGCTGGAATAGTCAATCTAATTGATCTGCAATTTTTCAATCACTAAGTTCATTTCATTGTTTTTCTCTCCAGCAGTTTGAAAGTTGTTTTTTGATAAGTTTGGAATGACATTATTGAACATTATTAGAACGTCTTGAGCAGTAATTTCAAACTTAAATTAGCAAACAAATAACGAGGGAAGACTGTGTTAGTGAGAACTAGAAAGACAGTTTGTCACTGATCTGTACATCTGTCGTTTTGAGTATTGGCTCGAAGTTTTGACGTTTAGATGCTAGGATAAGAGATATATGAAGCAGAAGGAATTGTGAAGAGAATATCGGCCCAAGTTTTATCTAAGCAGTGTTTGTATAAAAGAATGCTCCCGTGAGACCGGAAAAGTTTTGCCTAGCCAAACAGTGACGTTTAGCTTTTCTTATGAGAACTGCTTTTAGTTTGTTTGAAAAAAGCCAGAACGATGTTTGAATACATTAATATGTTATAGAACATAAGCAGAAACCAAACGTATCACGTCTAATGAGTTCGTGACATTTGTTATCTTTAATGGTTTTTGTTTCATTTCTCTGTTCTCTTCGAGTCTATTTTTCAACTAAGCTCGTTAAATGAGCAAAGCTCGTTAGGAATTAAAGTGCCCGAAACTGAACTTTTAAAGATTTGTGTAATTAGGTTTGGGCGTTAATTCGGGAGATTATTACGTGGGTAACATCTTGAAAAACGTCAGTGTTGATATAAGTAATCAATCTGTTTGATCAATTTTATCAATGTTACTGAGAACAACAGATCACTGGAGTAATAAGATCTTTGTCAAAGATGACAAAAATCACCCTCCTCATATCATATTACCTTCATCTGTAATCTATCTTTTTCTACTTATCTTTAATGAAACTCATTATTACTATCATTTATTAATAGGTCAACAACCTTGTAAATAGCCGTTTGAGTGTAAAAAACAATAAAAAATACTTTTTTTCAGACACGTCGCTGATGCTTGCTCTTTCTTCAAATCGAACGCACAGTTGTTGTCTTCAGGACATCCGTCGAACTGTATCGAGAGAAGTAGACGATCCGAACCATGTACAACTTGTTTCCGAGTCCGGAGGAAGTTAGTTTTAACCCTACTTGATTATTCAACAGTTCTGGAGTATTTCTCAATCATTAATTTCAGAGTTCATCCTCCAAATTGGGCTCAATCAGCAACTTCACGTCATGTTCTATGTGACTGCTCTAGTTCTGAACACTTGGAATCTAATGAATTAATGCCACGAATCAGCCGGTGAGTTATTTGATTTCTTCAGTTTTCAAAAAAGAGCGGGTGTGAGGAGAATGAGATTGTGACAACAACGCAACCGTTCTCGCCGCCCAATTATTTGAAAATGAAAAACGCTCGCGCGTGAAATGTTAGTCCAATAAATATCATATCGTTCAGACCATCCACTTGTCCACAGTTACGGAGTAGAGAATTGTCGATTGTGGGACTACCTATATACTCTGTGAAAAGAACTCTAGTGGAGGCTGTTGTGGATGCAGTGGCTGGGATAGCTAGAGGGGAAGATGCTTCCGGATTAGTTCATGCTATGGAAGCTCTCGTATCCGATGGCTTATCCTCTAATGTAACACTTTGGGATATGATTAAAACTGTTACGGCTCCTGGCCCTGCTACAAAGGATGTTTATTCAATTGTGAAAGCATTGGATAACAGCGAGAAGTCCAATAATTCTCGTGTTGAAATTTTCTTCGAAGAATTAATCAAGTAAGATTATTTATCATGATGTTTCGAAGTTACCCTTTAATTACAGAGAACATTCACTTGACTGTTGGCTTAGTTATGTTGTTCTGAAAGAAAATGTTCTAAAAAAATTATATGAAGATGGTGCATTCCTTTTAAGTTGTCCATCAGCTTATAGATCTCTTCTCTGGCGCCTCATTGACTGCTTAGCCATAATACCAGGTATTCAATTGCCTTTTTCACTTCGAATACCTTTTTTTTAAGTTTTGGAAGCCAGAGATCCTTTGCAAACACGATCCATGTGGTCTCGTCCAACGAGAATTGTTGGAGATAGTCGAGTACCGAAAAGTTCATCAGTGCCTGCTCGGTTATCAGTTCAGACCATTTATCGTGTGTCTAGAATTCCATTAGCAAAAAAGTGGGTTTACTCATTTGTTTTTGACATATAATGTGTCTGACACATTTTATCATTTTGCGACCACGACTAACCAACGTTTTACAGTCGTCCAACAATGACTAGAGCAGCTCCAGCTGATAATCTCATTGAAGCATCTCCGATGGCAAGTATTATCGACGATGCTGAAGGCGGAGCTGGTCAACTGTTCGTATCTCGTGGGGAACAAGTAAGAGTTTTATCAACCAGAGGAAATATGGCCAAATGTTGTCGTGTAAATCCACGGAGAAGTCACATCACAACTGGATCTGTTCCTGTTTCTAACCTCATACTTCAAAAATGATCTTTTCTGATTGTAAATATGTGTGAATTTGGAACAGACTGTATTATTTCCATCTTCAAGTGAAAGTACCCGGTACTATTGTCTGCTCAGGCCATAATCCCTCAATTGTAACATTTAACAACAGTCGAATAAGGGCGGAGTAGCATTGTCGAAACCTTGCCTTAATCGCTCCCGTGATACTCAACATCTAGTCATTTTCCCAGTCATCAAATAATATATTAAAGCAGATCTTGGAATAAATCTTTTTGAACTATTCTACAATTGGAATTGTTTATATAAACTTCAATTACATATGCGTAACTGCTAACACAATAAACCTCAATTCGAGCTCGGGTCTCCATCAGATCAAAAAAATGTTCGAAAACATTGTAACATAATTAACAACAAATATTTAGAAGCGTGTAAACAAAGATCATTTAATTAGCCGCGACATCAGTTTTTATTTCTTTCTTAGAAGCGGCGTGGATACTTATTATCATATTCATATCTCATTCCTGTATTTGAATTGTATCCTGACCAGTCTGTAAACATAGAATCAACGAGTCATTTTTAAAATAATGAACCTGGTGCATTTCGTCCACTACTACTGTTTCCGCTCGATCCCCAGTTTGCATTCACAGCAGCTGAAGTAGTACCGGAAGTGTTCGAGTTCGACCAACTTTGACTGCCATATGAATGATGATTATTATTCGCACTCCAATTGGAATTGCTTATAGCTCTAGATGTCGAATAGTTATTATCTCTGGTAGCTGAAAAAAATCAATGAGAGGGCGTTGATCAGATAAAAACTAACTGCTTCCCGAATTATATGAATCTCTTCCGCCAAAATAAGAATTCCCTATGGAATTGGAAGCCGCTGTTTCCCTGAAACTGCAGAGTGAACGCAAATTTGAGATTCAAAAAACCTGTTAGAAGAGCTGAAGTTTTCTCTTTCAAATGTCCTAGTATTAAAATTAGCAGCATTGGCAGTTTTAGAACTGAAATCTTCTGTTGCTCTGACGCCACTTCGATCTCTTTCTTGAACCGGAAGACGAATAGAGGCACCATTGCTACAACGGAACAATTTTCTTGAAAACAAAAAGAAAAAGAATTACCGCTCTCTACGTCTGTCGTCCGCTGGAGTTCTGGAAGTTCTTACTAAATGCTTATCCCTTTGCTCACGTTCTCTATCACGAGGACGGTCTACACGTTCTCTGTGCTCACGGTCACGATTTTCACGTTCATGATGATCTCGATCACGTTGTCGGTCGCGTTCTCTATCACGGTCCCTTTCACGGTCACGGTCTCTATCAGGTATACGAGCATGAGATGATCCGCGATTCCTGAAAAAACCAATGTTCAAAAGCTCGAAAATATTGAAATAACCTGTTAGGCTCTGGTGGAAAACCTTCTCCTCTTCCACCCTGGTTTGCAATGGCCAAAGCTTGCTGTTGAATAGCAATCTTGAGCTGTAGTTCCAACTTCTCCTTTTCATATTTTTCTCTTTCCATTCTTATCCGTTCTTTCTCCAATTCAAATTCTCTTTCGCGTTCACGAACTCTGCGTACATCTTCGCGAAGACGTAAGTCCATAACTTCTCTTGGATCTGGGCGAGATGAGCTTCCTCCTGATCTGGGCAAATCTGAGTTGTGACGAGATGGAGCGGAAGCTCCATTCCGTCCATATGGGCGAGATACACGATGGCTCAATCCAGGGCGGAATGAAGATGATCCACGGAAAGGTTCTCTTCTCGCGGGAGCAGGTCTGCGAGGTGGACGTCGTGCATTGTTCTCCTTCGCAGATCGGCGTTCTTCCTTCCGGGGTGGTTTGCTGTCCTTCTCTAAAAAAAAATTAATTTAAAAGACCGATAAAATAAATGTTCAATGAATAAATGAGATAGTCAGAAAAAATTAAGTTTCGATACGACTCCGTTGCATATGCATATAAGTACCGACCATTTCCTCGACGCGGTTTGGTATAGATAGATTTCTTCGATTCATCGATTGTGATGCGTTCGTGCTTAGATTCCTTTCTTGTTTCATTCTTCCTTCCATTAGATTCTTTTTTAGTGTCTTCTGTTTTCTTGACATCTTTCGCGGTACTTGTGGTTGGGTTCTCTACTTTGTCATTCTCAGTTTCAACCACGGCTTGCTTCTCTGTGGGAGACGATGTTGGAGGAAGTCGAAATTTGATAGCCTGAACCATTTAAATTTAGATAACCGGATTACGTAGAGAAAACAGCTTCTGAATTATTATGCCGACCTTCTCAATAATAAGTGTCATGTTCCTCCATACTAGCTTATGTAAATGGTTGAGGCAGTTCTCTAAGCTTTCCAAATCTACGAGAGTGACATATCCATAACAATGAAGATCCACTCCCGGTTGTTTCTTGGTAGTAAATATCTTAGCACGGAGAACTTTTCCATATTCAGCAAAAAGATTCTGTAAGTCGTATCCAACGTGTAATCCCATGATCTAAACCCAAACAGAAACTAACCTTCAAATCAGCCGCCTTAACTGTGATACTTAGTCCTCGAACCCAGACAGAACGCTTGGACAACTCCTGCTCATCTTCCTTATCTTTTGATCCTGGGGAATCAGAACGTTCAGATTGGGCAGCAGGAACAGGAGATGTGGAATCACTCTTCTCTTCAGCGTCATTGAGCGGATCATCTAATTCTTCCTCTTGTTCGTGATGATCGATTTCGTCAGTTTTGCTTGACGCTATATCTTTCTCAAAAGGCGAAGAGCTCCCAGAAATTGGTTCTGCTTCACCATCTTTTGAGTTTTCAGCAGCGATATCATCATCCATAATGAAATCTGTTCCACTAGCTGTAAAATTAATTGTCGAATTCCTTAAAAAGGTTAATCTCGTACTATCAGCCACTCTGAGAGATCCTTCTTCTCCCGTGGAATCGAGAGGCTCGGCTGGATCATCAATCTCCGCATCTACTTGAGATGTTGAAACAGAGTTGTCAGTCGAAGCGGATTGTGAACTTATGGTTATCGACGAGCTTGATGGGCCTATTTGAAATTTGTATGTGAGCGGATCCAAACCTTCCGCTTTCATAGCCTATAAAACGCTTGCTCATATTTGATTATAGGGCTTTTCTTTTTTTTGCCATTTCAGATGGCCTGCCAATATGGGGTGGTCTTCACAACAACAAACAATCAATGCCTGGCGGGTGCAGAAGAGGCGTGGTTCCTCGTCGTATCTATCTTTCCACTCGGTCCAACACAAGTTTCTTCTCCTCCTTGAAGGCCTAGCTTCAAGTTCATTTTCTTTACTTCATTATCTGCTAAACGGTTCTCCTCAAGCATGACGGATCTAGTTGAACTTCGCTGTGCCGGAGGCACCTCTCTATCTACCACCAAAAACACCCTTTCTCGAGTTGCTTATTCTCGCTTAGCTACTGACCAGAGTGCCACTCAACACTCTGATCCAAACATTATTCGAATATTACTAGATGCCCTTAGAAGGCCCGACATGCGGATAGTTACTCCTGAACGCTTCTCAGAGTGGTCAACATTGGCAAAAGAAGCAAAAAACCTTGGACTGCAGACAATTGTTGACACTCTTACACCAAGTACTATCGTCGTTGCATGTCATGCAGCGTTATCAACTGGCCGTCTTAATCCAGAAGTGACATTTCGAAAGGTTTTACGGGTAGTTATTTCGGGAAAAGCTAGCATTTGTCGATCAGTTTTCGGAGACAGCTTAAATGATTGCCGTGATGGAGGAGGTACAGATTTCGAAGAAGACAGATATACTTCGAGGTAATAAACTTCTTTTTGTTTCCGCGTCATAAGCTAATCTTTCAGATTATTTTTAAAACATAACAATCTAGAGAAAGCATTCGATACTTTGGCCTCAAAGGGGTTTGTTCTCGTGCATTCGAACACATTTGCTCCTTCGTCTACTACTGTCAATGCAGCGGAGGATTCCCAATTCATACATCACTCCCAATACATTTTTCAAAGAGATTTCCAGGTTGGATATATTAAGTCAAAGAAAAGCGCTGGGGTAGTAACTATCTTGTGTACAAGATAGTAGTCACGCGAGCTAATCTAAATTTAATTAAGTCTACCAGAAAATGTCTGAAATGCCATCATTTCTTTGCTGATACGCTAACGAAGTATCTCGTTGTATTTAGTAATAAGCAACAAGAAAAAAAGAAGAAAGAGACAGAGAGCGAGGCTTCCCTTTAACACAAAGCGACTAATGAGCATTCAGTGAAATGGTTCGCAAAACCGCATGTCAATATTTTATAAGAACGCATTGTCAAGGCGGCAGCTCAAACTGCTGCCATACATGGAAAGCCTGGATATACGTCTTAAACAAACACATATGCCTCGAAATTACTTGAATTAATCATCCGTGAAAGAAAAATTAATGTTAAGCCCGACATGATATTAGGGATATCTAGTTATTTGTCAGAATCATCGTAACCTCGAATAATTTCAGAAAAACTTACATTCTGAAGCCGTTCAACCAGCATTATTTTGACGCCATTTTTATCCAAGTTTCGCTTTTCCAATTCATGTTTCAATTCTGTCACACGCAAATCAGTTAGCAGCTTGCTTTCTAGCTCCGCTTCTGATGTCATCTGAATAAATTTTTTTTATAAACATAAATATAGCATATTCAAACAAGTATTCGTATACGAAAAAAACGTAATAATTCAGAGGGAGAGCTGATAAACTGCTTTATAATAATATAACAACCCGTTGAAACTAAAACATCTAATGAACCTAGTCTAAAAAGCGACTGATGGAATCTATGAACTCATTGGGATACTCGGCATGTACCCAATGTCCTGCGTTTGCAATTGATTCAAATTCTACTAGAGGGAACAAACAACGTATGAGCGGTCGATCCGAGTCTGGAACGTAACCAGAAATAGCTCCATAGAGAAACAAAGTTTTCCCTCTGAAAGCGCCCGACGGGACAGAAAAACCAAGCACATCTTCAACGTATTTGTCAATAACATCCATATTGCATTTCCATTCGAGGCTTCCGTCGCCTTTAGGTTGCAGATTTGTTATGAGAAACTGACGAACTGCTAACTCTGGAACTGCAGGCTCCAGAGCATCAAGTATTTCTCTCCTTGTCTTCCGTAAATCAACATTCCTCATTGCTTTAATATAATCGCGGAATTTGATATGACTAGAGGAGTATCCTTTCGGTGATACATCCTCTACAATCAACTTATTGATTAAACTTGCGCTGATAGGCTCTACAGCGAGGCGCATTGCGGTTTTTCCTCCCATTGAGTGACCAAGAAGGTTGACTTTGTCGAATCCACATTCCGTTCTTCGATCTCTAATGAATTCAGCTACATCAGCCGCCATATCAGCATATGTCATGGAAGGCGCTCGTGGAGATGATCCATGGTTTCTTAAATCAACACAATACACTACTCCTTTTAGCCGACGTTGGAGAGCTTTGCCGACGCTATTCCAGTTGGTTTTTTGTCCAAAAAGGCCGTGTAGGATGACCAGAGGCGGACGTACGCGATCTGTTGATGGATCTCCAAAAATATTGTAGCTCAATTTGACAGGTTGGACATTATGGATATTTCTACATTGGAAGATGATGTTGGAACGAAAAAAAAGAAGTCCTCTCATCTATTTTTCTACCTAAACATTCATTGTTCAACATAAAGTTACTAGGCTAGAAGTGTCAAAATGCGAAAGAAGTCAAAGTTATTTTCCATCACTCAAATTATTTTAATTACTACATTAACAAAGCGGAAAACAAAAGACTTTTAAGGAAATAAAATGGAATAATAAAAGCATCAGGTCAATTATAATATATAAATAAAATAAAAGTAATGAATGAAGAAAGAAGCACGTTGTACTACCACGGAGGATAATAACTATCTTGTTACTATAGCACTTGACGCCACGAAAAACTGCGTACTGGCGTTAAATTGAAAATGTCATGTCATCTACAAAGATTAGATTGTCTAAAACATGACTGCAGATAGTCTGTTTCCTATGCATTGAAAGTTGAGAAATGTAAACAAAAAAAGAGCAATAAATAAAACTTTATTAAATTTGATAAAACATTTGATTTTAAAAAGTTAAAGCATCATCCCTCATGTATCGAAAAAAAAAAAATAAAACTCCGAAGTCATATAGAGATTTCTTAAATGCGTTTTTAAGGTATAGTACAAGAAAAGGCAAGGCATCGAAAAGACATAGACAGGCCTGTTCATACCCGTGTTTTATGGATGAAGACAATTAGTTTAACAAATCTTGTTCATGCCGAGGGTCCTCTGGATTCTGAAAAATAAGTTCGACATGAGACCATGGGCATTTAACAAACATCTTCCAATGTGGGTTCAGATCCAGTCTTGGTTAATAAATTACTGACATTATCAGAAGATCGCCCAGATTCCCTCAATTTTTGTAAAATGGCGGCAGTGCTGGGTGAAAATTTGACTGTTGTTGCAGGGGGTGCCACCGCAGTTTCAACAACAGGATTCTTTTCAGTTGGGGATGGTCCCTGCTCTCTCGTTTTGGAAAGTATTTCCGCTATACGAGCCTTGTAGAAACTTTCCTTTTTTGGCTCTTCGGCATTGCTGTCATCATTCTGTAACTTTTACGAATCTTAGTAGCATTACTATTCACGAAAGGGATACCTCTCTCGATTTTTGTTGTATAGGGGGAGAGGGAGGTAATGATGAAATTTTGACTTGGTCAGCTTCAGGTAAGATTTCAGGTTTCTCCAGTGATGACTCATTCACACTCTGAAACACAAGACAATGAAAACGTTTCTCATTTCGACATACAATGTCCATTAGGTCAGAAGAATCGTTATCGTTTTCAGAATTAGATAGTTTAGTATCATTCTATAAAAAATAATTTGGTCAAGATCTTATGACGTCCAACAAACTTCGTTGACGATTGCGGTAGGATGCTCATTAATGGGGATGAAGTCAGTTGGGTTAGTATGCTGAACGATATCGAAAGCTTGGTTAACAACAGACAAAACAGTCTGTTCTGCGGGAGATTTAGAAACTTCCTCGAGATCGAGGAGGTTTGTTGTTAAATCTTTGTTATTCTCATCCTAAAAATTGGGAAGGATTAGTCAAGCAGTGTACGAGCACAAACCATAACACTAGGTTTAATTTCTTCAGTGGAAGAATTACCTACGTTGTCTATTTCATTGGATGATAGGTTAGAGCAGATCGGCTCAGCTGGAGCTGTATCCTTAAAACCACAAAGTTATGACAAGAAAAGGTTTCTCAATAGTACCATAGCTTCATATTCAGTATCATTAAGGTTGAATGCGACATTAGTTGTATTTTCAGAGACTGGAAGCTGGAACATTTTTAATTAGATTTGAAAAAGAAAAAAAACTGACTTCAGCAAAGTTTCCAATTGGTTTTATGTCATCCAACTCGTTTTGCAAAGGATTAAATAAATTTTCCCCTAGTTCTTGGGCAAGAGATGGAACAGGAGCTTCCCCTTGCACAATAGGGAAAACTAGCGACTGTTCGAATAAATCGGCTTCTACTAAGGGCTCAGGTGAGGCGTCTTTTACAGTTTCCTCGATAGTACCGATTTCTACATTCTTATCCTCATCTTTGACAATCAGGCCAACTTCCTCAGGAGCAGCTTCTTCAATAGCTTGGGTGAAAACAATGTTAGCGAGCTCAGTTTCTAAGCTATCAGCGGGAGGATCTTCGATTTTCTCGACAATACTCAAATTTGCAATCTCTTGTTCGAGAGATGTAGCATTAAGATTCTCCTCAATATGAGTAACTTCTTCTATCTGCTCCGTTACGGTATTATCAACATGTTCTTGGGCAGTGTCTGGGATAACAGATTCGTCCACAATTTCAACAATAGGTTTAGTTTCTTCGTCTGTCTGGATAACAGGTTCCACCTCAGTTGACTCTGGACATTGAGACATATCATCATTTTCAAAGATTTTCTCAGATTTCAATTCCTCTGTGATACGTTCAACAGGTTGTTCTCCAGTCGGGGTGCTCTCAATCGGAGCTGGTTCAACATTCTCCTTCTTTTCCTCACGGGACTTGCGAATTTTTCCATTAGGAGTCTTAATAACTTATGCTACATGGGAAGCAGATTCACTCACTCACCTCCTCGTTCAACTTTGAAGATGGTGGTGTCTGTCTGATAGGAGATTTACTGTTTACCTACAAAAAAGAGTGTTAGCGAAAACAAAAGATTATAGTCTTACACTTTCACTCTTCGTATTTGTGTCCAGTACACGCTTTGAAAATTTCAAGCTATTAGGGAGAGGAGGCTTTCCAGAAGCTGTGGAACCAACTTGTGATGGACGAGGTAACCTTGCTTTTGGAGTAGGTGTTGATCTATCAGTGCGAGTATATCCTGCTGAACTAGTAGTGCGTGTGGAATAAACAGACTGTGTCATCAAGTTAGAATTCTTAAACGAGTAAAAATTAAGAAGAAACTAAAAATAAATATACTTTAGGAGTGGTAGGTTTAGGACTAGGTTTAACACTGCGGGGTGATGGAACATACATGGAGCTAACCATGAGACCTCTTCTAGCAGAGCTCGGATTTTTAACAGGAGTTTTCATATCATAATCCTGTAAAATTTATTGAATTTGCTAGAAATGAAAAAAAATTACCCTGGCAGGAGATGGACTAAGCTTCTTCTGACTTTTGGGAAGCCTATCAAGATAAGAGAGCTCTCTAGGTGTTGATGAACCAAAAGCTACATTTTTGATGACAGCAGTTCTCGAAGTAGCGGCATGATTACGGGCAAGAAGCTCCTACATAACAATTAGAATATGCATACTAATCGGAATACCTTTCTTCGCTCTTCGTCCCTATTCAGTCTTTCTAAATTTTTCTGCATAATCTCTTGTTGTCTTCTGAGCTCCCTGGCTTCTTTCTCTTTTCTTAAAATTTCCCATATCACAAGAAGGGCCGAAATGACTCACAATTCTCTCTGTAATCGAGCATGATCTTCCAAGTCTTTTCTAATTTTATCCGTGTGCTCTCTTTTAATAACGTCGTGTCTTTCACGCATTTTGCGTTCGGCTAGCTCCCTTCTGCGCCGAATCTGTAATATGGGAATGAGAATAGAGTTAACTTCAAACGGTTACGTCATCGGGACTGTCGACCAGTTTTGCCGGAGTACTTTTTCCGGATCTCGAAGACATCTATGAAATCATGAATTAGGAGAAAAATGGTATACTAATAAGGTATAGAAAGCGTGAAATGACGCGAATCGATTAGGAGGTATAAGATAAAGTAAAAATCTTTTTAAAACAATCAACAACAACAAGCCAACAAAAACAATAAAAATACTCGGAGAAACCGGATAATAATCAAGGTTACACATAACAGGAACTGATCAGTTATTTCATATGTTGACGGTGAGCTCTTTTCTTCACGTGCTTTGGAGTTTTATCTTTTCTACCCTCTCTTTGTTCTTCTTTTATCTGTGCTTTACGAGCTTTCCGTTCATCAGTTGTTTCACCACGATTCCTAAATGTGCGAAATGTCATCACAACAGAAAAAAATGCTTACCTTTTATACAATTTGAGCCTCTCTTCCTTTTCTGGATCGATAATTTTCTCTTCTTTCTCGGGCACTATTTCGTCATCATCTTCGTCTTCATCCTCATCTTCATTCTCACTATCATCATTGTTTTTCTTCGAGAATCCTTTTCCTGTATTAACCTACAAACAAACAAGTACTACCAGATTAAGAAATTAAAATTATACTTTGGAAACAATGTTTTGGAAGGGATTGTTAACTTCGTCTCCAGCCTTCTCTAACCGACTATCTCTTTCGAAATGCAAAACATGATCCAATTTATGAGGAATAAAAGCATTCATGAATACAATATCATCTGCATGCTCATGAGATCTTAAACTTTAAAATCAACAAAAGAGAAAAAAATGAATAAGCGCACCTTTCATCAAAGTACGATTCTACTTTACTGTCTCCAACTAGCGGATCGACAATTAACTCGAATAACTTTCTCAGTGATAGAACAGGAACACCCAAATCTCTGTAAGATAGAAGAAAAGTAATGAATGAACTGAATGAATTATGTGATTACTTGAAGTATTTGTTGACATTGTTACAATCCATGCGTAAGAAATCCAAAGCATAAGGATGATCATGTTCAACAGATTGGGAAACATCAATGATGTACAACTTTCCATCAAGCACGAGGGTGTTAAATTCTGATAAATCAGCATGAACAAGACGACATACGCGATATAATGTGCGCATATCACGGACTAGTTGTAGGTACATAGGTTCAGCTTCCTATTGGAATAATCATCATTAATCAAGCTTCAAATTTGCACTTACTTCAACAGTTACTGATGCGTTTTTGAGAAGAGGAGCAGGCCAACAATCTTTACCAATAAAATCCATCACTAATACATGTCCCTGCAAAGATATAAACTTATAAAAAAGACGGAGTGATGAGTCACTACTTTAAGAATATGTGGTTTAGGCACTGGAAGACCTGCTTGATGCATGCGAAGCAAGTTACGCATCTCTTTTTCAGCCCAGACGGCCACCATCTTACGAGGATTATGTTTGCAGTATCCATTACGATATCTGCATGCGAAGGAAAATTAACTGGACGAGTATCAAGAACGAACCTAAATTCACCAGCCACATATCTTTCACGATCTTTGAAGGTTAAAATACTGGTTTTGTAAATTTTAATGGCGAGACTTTTATCGGCATTAGTGCCGTGATAAACGTTGGCTTCTTTTCCGGTAGATATGCATCCGTGTAGGTTTTCCAAAATTCCTCTTTGTAACAAACGGAACAGTACCAGTCTCGTTCGGGGGTCGAGAACCTGATTGGTTTACTATTTGAAACGCAAGTAAGTTGGTTATACCTGTTCAACTGTGGCCCTATCAGCTCTGTCTTTTACTCTTTTTCGTTTTCTTTCTTCATGATTATCAGCTTGTTTCTCAGCATCTAGAGAGGAATTACAAATGTTAAGAATTATAAAGTTTCTTACGATGAACTCCTTCCGTCTTTGTTTGACAATTTGGGCCAACTCTATTTGTATTTAATTTTTTCGTGAAATCTAAATCAAAAATAAATAAATGAACTGGAACTTTCGATAAATACCATTTGTTTCATCACCGAAATCGTCCAGGTCATCTTCAAAATCGGAATCGTTAATCTGTTCTGTAATATGCATAATGTACAAATCAAATACAGAACGATGTACCGTTAAAATCAATTTCATCACTAGAAGAGCTCGCATCACTTAGAATATCGATTCCATCTAATATATTTCTGGAGTTTAAGTTGAGGATTTGATCCATGCTCTTGAATAAAAAGTTCTAATTGAAGAGTGCAGAGAGATACGAAGACAAAAACAATGAGAGAGAACATCAAGTTGATAAACAAAAGCATTTGAAACCCTCATAAGGCAACTGTTTCAATATGAAACCGAGAAGACAAACGGAATAGCAGGAAACTTTACTAAAAAAAAAGAAAATTGACCATCATACAAAGAGAGAAGCTTAGAATGCTTACAGAATATCCGTTACAAGTTTTGTTTTTAGTAGACATAAGGCTTTAAACACCTGAGCAAGGTGCTTTACCTTTGCTCCATAGTTACTAATCACTATGCGTTTTGGGACCAATTTAATTTCTGACACATAGTTAGTATAGTTAGAGAGAAAACAGTTGAAAAAAGAACGAATGAATTAAGAAATAATACTTGAGGGAATTATCGACTAATGGGTAAATATGTGGAAAAGACTAAAACCATTAAGGGCAGACTTACTCGTTTCCGATTTTTGCGTTTAATGAGACGCACGCAAAAAAATCGATATGACAACGAATTTAAGTGGAAAGGATCAGAGTTGAATAATAACAAACTTAAATCTTGAGCTGAATTGAAGTTTTAAATTGAAAAATATACGTGATTATCAGAGACAAACCACACAAAATGATTTGTTCCCACGACATAGGATGTACGTTTGTTTGACTTTTGTTTGAACAAAAAAAAAAGTGATTCCTTAATATTTGGATATATAAATGTCTAAGAAACTCGCAGTTCTTAAAATTAGTTTATTGGAAAATGCTGTAATTGCGACCACTCTTACGGAACGTGATGGAGGACAGGTCGATTGCCCTTGGTCCATCATAAACTGAAGTAATAAGATATATTCTTCATCTCTGTAGAAACTACGTTGTAAAGATATTGGATTAATATTTAGGAAATCTATATGTTAAGAGAGAGAAAGAGGAAAATATGTATATATGGGTCCGGGATTTCGGGAGCAACATAAGCAATTCCTAAGAGACTACGAAGATATATGTAATTTAAAATCTCATGTTATGAAATGTTCTTTCTTCAAGTTTTGTACTTCTTCCTCGAAGATATTCAAATATTAAGGTTGTATTATGATTGCAGCTTACCATGTGACATGTACGATTGATTATTGATAAGGGTCGTCCCGATTTTCAATGATATTTCTGGTTAGTTTGCTTCATAAGTAACATAATTCACGATTTTCTCTCATTATTATCGCTAGTTTTTTACAACTTTTTTTTTTCATGGAAGCCCCTTGCCAATCATTCGTGTTGTCATCGTTCTGTGAACTTTCTTGATTTTCTATTTTTAAAAACGTTCCTCTTTTTTTTTTAAAGAGTTTGTTAAATGGAAGTTATATGTGCCATATGCGGTGATAAAGCAACAGGGAAACACTATGGAGCCGTCAGTTGTGATGGATGTAAAGGTATCATCGATTTTGTGTACGATGACAGCATTTCCTTATTTTAGGATTTTTTCGTCGAACAATCAGGAAAAGGCATAACTATGTCTGTAGATTTAACCACGATTGTGTAGTTGATAAAGGTATTACTCATTAATATATTGTAGTTCAGCTTGTTTTGATACAGATAAGAGAAATACTTGCCGGAAATGTAGACTTGATAAATGCTTTCGTAGAGGAATGCGGAAAGAAGCTGTTCAAGCTGAAAGAGATAGGTGATCTTTTCTATCTTGTCATCTTTGGTTTTACTGTTATCATTAACTAATATGATTTGCTTCTTCTCATTTCTTATCAATGTTTTAATAACAGAATGATGTCTTTACAGAATAAGACCTCATGGTACTTCTCCTATACCAGATGATCCTCTTTTGGATTCCCTTTTACAAGCTGAAGCAGCTGTACGACAGTTAAGATCAACAGTTATAACAAGGACGGCAGATGCTCGGAGACAAGCTACTACAGGAGATGTTACGGATAGGTAAGAACGTATTAGATAAACCGTGCTTAATTATCTTATAGTATGAATCAACAGCTGATTCTAATGGTCGAATGGGCTAAAAGTTTAGAACAGTTTCAAAGACTACCTATGACAGCACAAATAGCACTCCTTAGGTAATTAGTAACACATTTCCTCTCTCATATCGTTTTTGAAGGCATTTTTCTGCTCAACATTTGGTAATGTGTGCTGCTTTTCGTTCGATACATATGAACGATGCAGTATGGTTAACGAATGAAACAACTTTACATAAAGATAGTCCCAAAGTTCCGGATGTCAAGTAAGAAGATTGATTTCAAAACATCAATAATTTTGAGTTTAGTCGTGTAGCTGCACGTATAGTAGATCACTTGACTCATCCAATGAGACAATTACAAATGAATGAAATCGAATATACAGCTTTAAAAGCTATAGCTTTTTTTGATCCTTGTAAGTTTATATTTCGCTCTTTCTTACATTCAGCTGTGCCGTTAAGGGGCCAAAGGCTTAGATGGTTCTCATTCCGAAGTAGATGATATGAGGCAAAAAGTTTAGTCATTTTTTCTAAACGTGTTCTAAATTTTTGTTTTCTCTAGGTTATTGAATCATTAGAAAAACATGTGAGGACAGTCTCGCCCTTAAAGGATATGCCAAGACGATTTCCTAATTTGTTACTCCTTCTACCACCAATGTTAGCAATCGCAAGAGATTTAATAGAAGTATCGAGCAAGGTTTCAAAATAAATCTAATATATTCTTTCATAGGATGTTCAATTAGCTAAACTGTTTGGATTAGCAGCCATAGATAATCTCATGCAAGAGTTGATGCTACCGCCGGATAGTTCAAGTGACAAACAACAATAATCATATTCCATACTGGTTCTTTCATTTCATAGTGCCATGAATCATGAAATTAAAATTTTTAAATGTATATCTATATATATAGAAAGATTTTTAATAAATTATGTTCATTCTAGTTCAAGAAAAATCGTCAGGAGCAAGTGGAGTTGTTTCACCAGAACTAACACTCGCTTTCACTCCGTCACCTATCATTTGAGGTTCATAATCCTTCTTTTGTCTGAAAGATGTTAATGGTTTGTCTGAATTGATGCAAAATGATTTGACTTATGTGTTTCCCATAGGTTTTCAATGATGTCAGTAGCGATCACTTCAGTTGCATGAGATCCAATGAACTTTAGTAGAACGACCAAGTCGCTATTGACACTTCGACGGCAAAAGTCTAACATGAGTCCTTCTTCGGAAATGTCGTTCTTTATGAATCTGCAATGAAGACAGAAAGTTAGTTATTCGAGAAATTTTAATACTTCCGTATAAAAGTGATTTTATGACCTTCCGTTCTTGTGTCGCGCAACAGCGATAGGAGATCGACAAGAGTAAAAACTCCAACTAACACGAACCTTCGCACACTCTTATAAAAACAATTTTCAGTCATGCACACCTACCACCAATAAAGAAACAAAAAAATCTTCTCGTTGAACATATTCAATGAAAGAACACATTGGATGGAGTATCTTTGGAGATTTCCTAAAACTCTAACCTGTAATGATAAGGGGTACTTACACCTATTCAAGATTTTCTTACTTGGAAATCACACATAGCAATTCTAGGGAAGTTTCCTACAATTAAGAAATTTCAGATAAATATTGAAAAATATTGAACGAACCACTCAACTCCCAATCGGTACCCGCTAGAATATCACTAAGAATGTGGAAGCCCCACCAATGGTTATTCTGACCGAGGAACTTATTCATCATCAAAAATTGTCCGATAAGATTCAATACATAAAACATTTTTGTGAGTGTATATAGACTGAAACTAATTGTAAAATATTGAAACAAAATTGTTATTATACTTCGCTATATAACATCCATCTAGTTTTCCTAAGTTCATGAGACGCATTACAAGATTGCTTCCTCGACTACGGACCTTCTGCAGCTTAATACTATCTCGGATATGGCCGACAATGATGTCGACTTTTTTTCTCCGACTAGTTTCCTTCAATTAAAGTTATTTTAAGCCAGATACATCTTCTCACATCTTCCTGCTCAGCTTTTTGAGCCGTTTCGACAATATTAACTATATTCAATCCACTTTTATTACTTGTTTGTCCCCAAAAGAGAGCTGGAAAATAGAAAAACGCTGCTTCTAATCCCATCAAAAATGGGACCCATTGGTAATAGATGAGTTGTTGAGCAACTCTAAAATGATTTTCACTTTTATTCACTCTCTCATAGTTATTGATAACCGTTCTTCCACAGACTGCGGAACGTTCTCTCCCGGTTTGACCCAATACGTATTGTAGACGAAACAATAGTTTTCTGCATATTGTTCCCAGGCATGTGTAAACTTGAATAGTTATCATTTTGTTGTTTCTGAGAACCGATCACTGATACCTGCGCTGGTACCCAACATTGTAATGGAGCACCAACATACTGTTTGGCAGTGATGGTTAGCGAACAAAAAAGAATAACCATCGATGAATAATAATAATTAAGACGATCCATTCCACTATCATCTAGTCTAAACAACAATTTGAGCAAAAACGTTTTGTTTAAACAAGGATATGAAACATAATGTTTCTTGCGAACATTGAGGGCTATCGTTATATATTTGCCAACTCTTCACAGATTTAACAACAGTGAGAGCATCTCTAATTTCAAAAACTAAAACTATATTTTTTGATAAGATTTGATAATATTCTAACAAGATATTTATACGTGAACGTTTTGCATGAAACAATCAAATTATAGCATGAAATACATAATTAGTTTTTCAGTTTGTTTTGTTTTGATCGTACCTGGGCTTAATAGCATTAACAGCTGGACCTAAGAAGTTCATCTTGTTTCTTTTTTAGTTAATTGAATGATGATAATAATATAGCTAAAGTACGTGAATGGAGAAAATGAAGATATGATCACAATCACAGATGAGGATAATGAGCTTGTAGGTGGGCTGTTAAGAGGGCAACTCTTGACAATCAAATACAGGGATCACTGAAGATTCGAAAGCATAGCTTTTTGTCCATCTTGAAGTACGAAATATAGTATGAGGTCATAGTGATAAAGCTTTTGCAGAAGCATATAACAGTACAAGTTCCAGTAGTAGTACAAGAAACGAAAACGGAATATTCACGCTTATTCGGAATGCCACCGAGATTAATATTATGACATTCCTTTTTGGCAACAACATTCGGATCGTTACCGGCAATGAACATTTTGTAAAACTCATCCCAGAGTTTTTCGCGATCAAGTTTCGCTAGTTCGTCTACGAAAGTCTCCACATCGGAGATTATCTGTGCATAGTCAGTGGTAGAGAAATTTCCAGAGCCGTAAACACCGTATGCATTCTACATATATTTAATTATTTGAGTATATAAACTTAAACAACGTACTTTTCAGCTTTGATCCAACTATCATGCAGGCTCCAAAGAACATTGTTGGGTAAATCCGCTTGTTTTAAGGCGAAGCGATAGAAGTACTTCAATGAGTTATGAGAGTTTAAGTCGATGCCTCCATATGACAAAAAAAGCTCTTTTACAACAAAAACGGCTGCGAGTTATAGCATCAAATTGTATGTTGGACACAACTGTGCTTTAGAATTTGCTTTTTGCATTTTTATGAGTATATTGTTGAAGATTCTATAAACACTATGATCCTTCCTTTTGAAAATAAAGAATTTGACTTGTGATGAATGGGATAAATTCAATGAAAACAAAGTTTCCTATTCTTAATGTAAGATGTGATTCCCAGAATCAGTTTTCAGTTCTAACTTTCGTAAACGGTCGTGTAAAATCATTTTTCATTTCGGCCTTCTACAAGATTTGAGCGGTCGTGCAGAAGTTCTCTTCATTTTCGTTCTTCATGCACTATGAACGGTCGTGCACGAGTTCTAAGTTTATGTTTCATCTTTGTTGCACATCTTCAGGCAAAGGGAAGACTGCGACCATTCTTATTATCACAGTAAGCACAATCTCAAATATAGAGCCCGAAGTGTTTCATGTGAACGAAACAAACGTGTTGTCTTGAAACTACCTGCACGTTCATAGATGGTTGCTTCGACTTCTGAAGAGAGATGCCTTCGTTGAACTATTGTTTGGTAACAGATTTCTTGATGACTAACAAGAAGTTCTGACCTCTGTCCGATTGAATTTCTTTAAATCGATTCATGTTAAAGTGAAGTATGTTATGGGGCGAGAACAGCTGTGTTAATGGATATTTTGCTCTTACTTTCAATTGGATTACTCATCGAACGAGTTCTTAAATTGAATCAATATTGATCAATAAACCTTTAATGATTGATACAATCATAGTGTTTGAACATTGCTAAGATGAAGGTTATTCTCACTTATTTTGTATATATTCATATATTCAATATAGTTTGTTATTCACGTTATATAGAAGATGGTTTGTTATACTTCTACTAGAGAATTAAATATTTCATTTTCGTTCCTCTTAGATGGAACTATTCTGTTGCCTGTTCAACATGTTAAACAGGAAAATGGAATATACGTAACATATAAGGATGTGCAAGTTGGTGATCCAGACTATCCCGAAGTGTCAGTAGAAGAAGAAGCTAAGAAAGTTCCATGCATACCACGTGAGTATCATAATCTCATTATTCCTAATCAATAATGCTTCTTAGGAGATCAAGCGAACAAATTCAAAGAATCTTCTGAAAGTCATGAAACACAAGGTAGTCTATAGTAACCTTCAAACTTCTGTATCATTAATTCTTCTTTTCAGAAAACATGTTCGTCTTCAATGATACAACACCATATAATGGTACGGATGTTAATGAAGTAATGGAAGTGCGCATTTTCCGACCGCTCTGTGATGATTAATTCGGAAGAAAAAGAAATTTTTATTATAATAATTAAAAAATTAAAAAAAAAAAAAGAATAAGAAACGAGAGAGAAAAAGGAAATGTATAACCTGTAAACGAGTTTGAAAACAATGTTATACTGATTTACAATAAGTACATAAGTATTAACAACAATGCTTCCTAATAAGATGGTTTTGAAAACTATTAATAAATCATTTTTGTAACCAACACCCGGTTTCTACATTCTGAATGAAGCATTTTCGTATAAATGATATGATTTTAACAACGTTATAAAGATGGCAAGAGAAGTATCAGAGAAATGCTTATAATATTATTATATTTTACTCTGTATGCAAGGATATGCTGATATGCTAGTTAACTATGCTATTATAATCAGTATGGATGAAGAAAAGAAAAGAAGAAAAAAATATTTCTGTTTAGCGCATTTGATTTAATAATGCTTGATGCATGTTATGCTGATTAAAACTGTTCATTGAAGGTGGCAGATGATGATGAGTAAGGTTAAGCATATGTTGATCGTTGATTGAATGATTAGACTGGCTTAAAGCCAATAATGAGGATACTGCAGATGGGGAAGGTCCGAAAATAGGAATTCTATCATTTAAATGATGTTCAAGGCTCTGAGTTGAGCTTCTCGTCGGTCTAGAGGTTGATGGAGACGAGTTCGTAACGTTCGCTTGATTAATGTGATTTCTCTGAAATTGGATCGTCTTTGATGAATAGAACTGAGCCGACTAACATCATCCGTCGAAACTGAGTTGGTATGGGTAGCTTCGTGTCCCAATTGCTGAGAGCGCTGTCTGAAAGTTCTTCCACATATTTGGCAAACGAAAGGCTTCATTCCTGTTAATGGTCAAACAGAATAGTTAATTCAATCCGTGTTATTACCTGTATGTATTCGCTCATGTTGATCAACATGACTTTTTTGGGTAAAACGTTTAGTACAGAATTTACATGGATACGGTCGTTCGTTGTTATGAATTCGCATATGTTGTTGCAACCCACCACGAGCCTACAAAAAGAATAAGCTCGCAAAACTTTCAGCTAAGAATAACCTTAAAGCGTTTTCCACAATGTGGACACTCGTGTGTTCTCATTGATCGACAGTCTTGCATGTGGAGGTCCAACTAAAACAGGAGCAAACTATAAGGTCTGATGTGTAATTATCTACTAACGCTTGTATGATCAGCTGCTTTTTTCGGACAGAATTGACATTTCAATATTCCATCTTGAGAAGAGCGACTTCTTCGCATGTTCGTTTGGATTCTTCCACCACTAGATGAAGCGGGGTTAGAATTATCGTCTGGAGATGAACATCTAGCTCCATATCCTTCAATATATTGGTTACTTTGAGCTTCTGCTAGACAGTTTACCTATATGAGATTGTCCATATATTGATTGTTGTGCAAGCTCTATGCATTCCATTGGTTCAATTTTCTTGCCATTAATCATGACGCTGCTTGTCACGTCTGTAATGCAAAAAGAATAAAATGGAATGCTAACTAATCACTATCTCAAAACTATTTAGCCGATTACATTAACATAGTATAGGAATGAAAGAAAAAACCGAACCTGGTTTACGACACTGTGGTGGAGTAGTTGAAGAAGCTGATATAGGTGAGGAAGATGATGATGTCGTGGCTGATGCATCGCTCAAAGGAGCTTCACATCTACAACTCCGTTTCATATGAATCAGAATTTGTTTTGAATGACACACCTGCTCACAATTACCGCTTGTTGTTGTCGAATAGATGGATGACAGCCCGAAGGCATCATCTTATTTGCCACCTCCATCGAAATCGTTGAATGATCCTGTGAAGATAATTTTCATAAAACTGACTTTCTTCTATTTTTCTCTCTTTCATTTTTCTTGATTTGAGTACTTTGAGAAGCAAAAAGAGAGAAGAGGAAGATTGAGAGAGAGAGAAAATGAGGGAAGAACCGACTGTATGCGTCAGCGATTACAGAATTGGAGTACACGTTCTTTCACGTAAAGCTCTTTCAACACAAAATATAATAAGAGATGTTGAAAAAGAGGTAAAAAAAGAAAGAAGTTTAATTATATGATATAAGTTAAGATCACATGTTAATGAAGAAAGTTTGCTGAAACAGGAATGAATTGACTGAAGGATTATATAAGCCTCTTGAACTAACAGTTTGTCAACAGACTGTCTCAAACAGTACAAAATGACCAAGTGATGGGGAAGGAGAACAAAAAATGGATTAAGAAAGAGCAAAGAACAGCCCAAAGTACTTGTTCGCATTTGTTCTTCTGAAAAAGAAACGTTTCGAAGAAAAATATGACCAAAACGGCATTGCCTGGCCAGGAGTCTCGGATGTGGAAAACGGGAACGACGCCGAAAATAAACATTCCAAATGATATACATTCCTCTCTTTTTTCTCCAAGCCTTTTAACATGGAAAGATTTCTCTCATCTCGTTGGAGCCGTCTCTCTTTATTTTTTCATCTAACAATACAGATCTCTTCCTTGAAATCTCAAGATATCTGAGCTGTCCTCCAACTCTTCAAGGCTTTTCCCTCCCACCTTGTTTTTTCAAGTTTTTTTTCAAAGAGATTTTCTCATTTTTTTCTCTCTCTTCATACTTCTTCTTCTTCTTTTTCTTCTGCTTCTTCTTCTTCTTCTTCTTCTTCTCATATCTTCTCTGTATTGGCTTCAAATGAGCTTCTTCGTCTTCAGAACAAAACTTTCTTTGAATAAATAATAATTTTTTTGGTTTATAATAACATTCGCAACAGCTTTCTATCATTTGGTGTTGTTCTTCTTCAACGGTTCTCTTTACTTAGTATGTCGCTCAAAAAGATATTTTCTCTCCAAAAATAAACGAAACCCCAATGGATGAAGCTTGTTTCGCCTTCTCATCACAGACTTTTCTGTTTTTTTTTGTCTTAAAAACTGACCAGCTTTTTGGTTTCATTGTGATAGAGGAAGAACTTGCCCTCAATGTGCAACATGTTCTTTTTTTCTTTCTGTCAATGAAACAGCGACAATAACAAATAATAGCATAAAGAATACGAGAAGCTTATATGGTCAACAATATTATTGTGCAGTGTTGAAAAAACGAAATGAGCTTACATCTCGATAGGGCAAAGGGTGGAGACCAAAATCAGCAATTAAGCTCAAGGTGTTGACAACGGAATGTTGATTGCGTCATTCGTTCAAGTCAAATAGAAACGCAAACTGAGAGAAATTGAAGAAACTGATGAAGACAAAGAATCCTCAAAGTTGTTGAAAAAAAAGTATAATATACAAAAATAATAAATAGATTATATCATATAGATAAATAGGGGGGGGGGGTTGAGGATATATGAGTTTGTGAGAGATATGAGAGATGTGATCCTCTCGGAGCATGATTAAGATTTGCCTAATTGATACGATTATACCTGATTATCGAGCAAGAAAATGGATTTAAAGCTTGATAGAAGCATGTGCTGAAAGCTTCACAAGTCGACTCAGTTGTAGCTCTGACAGAAAGATTGAGAGAAAGTACCACAAAAATGTTTTTTTTTCCTCCTCCTTCGTCTTCTTCTTCTTCTTTTTTTGGTAAATATCTTTGAAGAGGGCTGACAAGTCAAGGTTCATCAGTCTTGTTGGAATAAGTGAAAACATGGCAAAAGTATGGAAATAGTCCAAATCAGTTACTTTATAAGGACATAGCTTGTCTTGAAAACTATGAAAAGCTTAAAACAAAACCAGGAAACAAAAGTTTGGAAGTCTACGAGATGAGGAGATATGAAGAACACTTTGGAAATTCTCATATAGCTCTCCGCAGCTAGGTTATATATTCAATGAACAGAATAGTTATCAAAATTATTTTCGCTTCCGCTCAATGTCTGAAAGAGAAACAAAAAACTGGAGAGAGAGAGAGAGAGAGAAGAAGAAAAATCTTCACTTACTCTCTTTTAACTCAAAAAAAAATGAAAAGAAATCCATTGAGTAATCATACTTTTACTGACGTACTTTTGCTGAGCAAAAGAAACTCTTTATGGCAACAGCTTCTTTCCGTCTTCATCTCTCTTTCTCTATACTTCTAATTCTATTTTTTCGATTATTTAATTCGTTTTTTGAGTGTTCGGGGGCCGCCTACAACACACACCCCATCTCTTGCCTAAATGAACTATTTCATTTTTTTTTTGGAGCCAACTTTCTGTGAGTGAGAGAACATCGTTTTCTCAGTCCATTTTAGCAAAGGAATATCATCTCCCACAGCTTCAACCTGAGCACTTTAGTCTGTCTGGTTTCATTTCATTCAAATCATTGTACTGTCAAGGTAATTACTTGTCTACTCTTTTCAATCATATTTTACACTTCAAAGAAGTTGCCAGTGTAGACAGTGGCTCTGTTACGTGTTCCGGTTGGTCAAGAACAGAAGCAGAGATATGAAGTTGTTGAGCTTGAAAAGGGTCATATCCAATCATAGTATGTTCCTCTCTATCTCTTACCGCAAGAAAGAAGAATGAAGAGAGAACAAAAATGAAATGAAGTCAGCTATGAATGATACCAAATTCAGAAGTGAGGCAAAAAGGAAGCAAAATATGTAAATGAGCAAACTAGAATTCCATTTTTTTTACCTCCATTTGTCAAGAGCTAAAGAAACAGGAAAGATCAGTCGCTGACAGACTTCATGCACAAAAATATTTGGAAGAAAAACTACAATTAGGACATATTATATAATTATATTAATTATATGTTGTAAAAACATCCAGCATTATATAATAATATATTATAATTTGAGTTATAAGCTCATTTTTTACTTAATGTGCGAAAAACAACCGATCTGCACGCAATTTTGATGAAAAATAAGATGGTTTAAAGCACGCACAATGTAATTGACGTGAGATTTATGTTAAAATTATGAATGAAACCCTGAGAAATACCAATAAAGGCATAATAAGGATCAAGAAAGAGCGAGAGAGAGAGAGAGAGAGAGAGAGAGAGAGAGAGAGAGGGAGAGAGGTAGAGAGAGAGAGATGGTGGCTGAGGAAAGATAGGAGAAGGAGAACATGAAGTAACGGTTTTTGTATTCGATAACCAATCTTTGTCTCAGACTATTTCTGATAAATTGTTAAAATTATATTCTAAGATTATAGATAAGATGTCTTAAGTTTTGCATCAGATTCTTATCGAGCAAAGGAGAAGGTAACGAAGGTTTCATGAAAATTTCTTTTCAATAATCGATATCCATAAAAAGAAGTTAAATTTTGACACCCAAGATTGATTTTAATGCCCTCAAGCACTACGGATAATTTCCGGCGAATCAACCGTCAATAAGAACTGTTACTGCGTATTCATGAGAGTAGGTATGATAAGAGAGAGAGAGAGAGGGAGATTGAGAGAAAGAGAGCGAGAATGTAAGAAGACTTACCGACATATAAGGTGTTGGATAGAATGAGGGCTGTAGATCATATGTGTTGTTTGGTGTCATCATTCTAAAACATTTTTATTTGAAATTTTGAAAGAAAAAAAAAGCTCTAAAAACTATAAGAAGGAGAAGCTGACAATGAATGGACGAAATGTGAGATAAAAATGATATTCTCGCAATGAAAATGGCTCGTCAGACCACCGCGGGTGTTTTATCACAATTCACGATTGGTTCTTATATAGGAAAAGGCAGATAATGGACTAAGGAGCATCTAAACAGAAATATAATATGGACAATGAGATATTAGAACGTTTGAAAAACTATTTTGGAAGGACAGTTTAGGAGGTAGGAGTGAACTATGAAGAAAGAAAGATGAACGGCCGTTCTCTTCAAAGATAAAAACATAAATAAGAGTGATTCGATAGTTATCGCTAAAGGACCCAAGCTTTTTGACATAAATCGATAAAGCAATTTAAATTGTAAGTAAATAGTTTTTGTATATCTCTATCAAATGAAGTCATAGCTTCAGCGAGAGCAAGGAAGTGAAACCATTCACTACCTGGAACTATTGAATTGGTCAGTTTGTGTACGAAAGCATGAAACTTCTTTTCTATATTACAGCTTAACCTCATAGTAGACTTGTTCCGTTCTATGAACGTTCTTTTAATTACTATAGAAGGCAGCTATTTGAAGAGACAAGATGCTTCCTTTTCAAGTGTTCTCAGATAATATTCTGAAGAAATAGCTATGAAACTTATCCGATGGAACATTCGACTTAAGGTTGAACATAAATGGAAGGTACTACTATCGAAAAAATGACTTAAATATGCTACAACATTTCTACAGACTCTTCCAACAACATACGTTGGAAGGCAATCATGGTATTGAAAAATATCATGAACTGCCTCTATTGGTCACGGCTTACTCTGGTTCCGGTTTACGAACCCCTCTGTAAGAAGTTTGTAAAACTTTCTTTGATAGCATAACTGACCATAAATGACATGACTTTCCTAGAATTAGAAAAGAAGGAACAACATTTATGAGAAGAAAATTTGAAAGTTTCATCGGTGTGTGAAAAGCTTTTTTTTGTCTAAAAGGGAACGCGAACTATCTGATTTTATCATTAATGAGATAAGAGAATCGTCTTGAATGGGGATTTCACTCATTGAGCAACATTCAACTTCCGCTTACCAAGCTTCATCTCGTCAAAGGTAGCTTGATGAATAATATGAAATTATCATAAAATAATAATATCATCAGAGCATATTGAAAAAGGATAATCTACATTAGCAAAAAATGCAGTTTACGTATTTGAGCGATTAGCTTGTCTTGTCAAGCTTCTTTCATATTTTCAAGAAATTACTGGGTAGTGGTCATATTTCATTTTCTCGAGCAGAAGCATATTGAGCGGTTGTGCATAATCATTTTTAAGATTTATTAACAACAACAACGACTATAATTAGATTTATGACATATTCCAAGTACCCTCAATTTTTCTCATTCTGATCTTGAAGCAACATCAAAAACGTGATCAGGAAGCTCTTGTGCATCCTTATGACGTCGCTCGTAAGCTTTTCGCATGGAGGGCTTGACTCTTTCGTATGGACGTTCCTTTTCGGAATTAACAGACTGCTTTTCGCAAAATGTCTGATAGATTATCCACTCTTCTACTGTCACTCCAGCAACCTGTAAGGGAGAAAGAATTAATTATCCCAAGAGACGTAGAATGAAATACTTGTGTAGCAAATACGTGATCATTGGAATCCAATATACGAGATAAATCGGGATTCTCCTATAAAACGTAGTTATGTAATGAATACGAATGACGAAAGCAACGAACAATTTTAGTCTGAGGACGCTTTGCGTCAGGCCCAATATATTTCCCGCATTTCAGTAAGAACTCATGACGAAGGATGATTTCAGATAAATCTAACACAGCCCATTTTATACATTTAGCGAACTCGCTACTCTCAATGAACATCTGAAACATCCAAATAGTTACTTAGTAAACGCAAGAGCTACCTGATAGAAAATGTATTCATATTTCTCTTCTAATTCTTCTATACTTTTCATGAATATTTCCGGAGTTTGTGTGAGGACCGCTTGGAGCTATAATGAATTCGCTACTGTAGGGAAAACCGCGCACATCGAAACCTCTTTTCTTGAGAAAAATCCTGATAATGATTCTACAAGCTTTTTCATAGTTAATGGGTCAGTAGCATATATGACAGGCGGACATACTTTGACCTATAATCAAGTTATGAGTTTTCACATCTGAAGGTTCTTATACGAACCACTCTGTTGAGCGCTCGTCCTGGGCTCACACCACAAGCTATAATAGCATCTAGACGTTCCCGAACGTTTGATGGCTCCAATTTGAGTAAGTATTCATCGCAACTAAAAGTGATTTTAATTTGAGAGTATTCAAAAATTAAATATTGATTTCTATCGAAAGAGAAATGAATTCACAGATCTGTATCAGTACAGGTTTGGCTTTTGGTGTAACAGAAATAAAACGTTCGATATGCTAGATAGGTTCCACTGTGATGAGTGGGGTACTTAATCAAAATTCAATTCAAAAACTATAATTTGATCTTGTTTCGCAAAATTTACAAGTAGAAAACCTATAGCAAACACGTATGGCATCTTCATAGGTGAATTGACATTCTGATATGAGCATGTCTAGGATCTAAAGGTCAAGACTTAAACGTGGGGTCTTTTATTTCTCAAAACCTCTATTACTGAATCTCCTCTTGTTGTGAAAGCTTTGAGTAATGTAACAGACTTGGAACAAGCACTGATGATGAATTGAGGAGTAACGCCTGGTATGGTAGACCAATTGCAAAAGCCATAATGAGTATTCACCTTTGTTGATCAAAAACCGGATCACATCTAGCATTTCTTCTAGCAAGTTTTCATTTGTAGGTAAGATAACTTCTTTTCCAGAGTTCTTCTTAAGTTCTTCAATGATACGTTCTAGCATTGCTCTACTCGGAAGTAACTCTTGTGATAAATAGGTTATTTCTGGTTCTTCGTAAACACTGAAAAAAAAATTACTGACGTTCGCAAAAGAGGAAGTACTGTTTCTTTTGCATATCTGAACTATCAGATTCTCCTTTGCTAAATTTTCTGAACTTTTTGAAGTTTTGTTGTCGTTTGCGAGAATCTTTGCTAGCAAAATCACGAGAACCGGTAAGGATAATTGGTCTCGCTCCTATAGACGTTGACTGAAAGTGTTCCCCGAGAGAATATCAGCACATCTCGACTCTATACTTACACTACGTGCTGACGCTGTTATGAGAGAACAAGCTACATGTACAAACTTGGCTGAGGACATCAGACGAGACATCTTAATGAAGAAGTTCGCTCGCGTAATTTCAACTGTTGTAAAACATTGCAAGGTTTCTATGTCCTGCGTAAGCAATTGGAAAGAAAAGTTCATAAAAAAGGTTTATAAATATTCACAACCATATGAAATGACTAAAAATTGACATTATGCAAGGTAAATCAGATCATAACATAGCAACCGAATTAAGCCGATATAGGCAAGAGAATTATGAGAATCAATAACTTATTATGGCGAATCTTATAAATAAACGGTTAAACGAGTTAAAGAAGCTACTTCATTCTCAATTGATATTCACCATTTTGAGTAATGTAACGCACCCAAGGTAATGCTTGATAACCAGTCTTCTCTATGATTTTCAAGTAACGAACCTGTAACATTAGGTACTTTTAGTTTTGATCTTAGAAACTGAAAACTGTACCTGTATTCCTGAAGTTGTGAAATAAGGAATCTCAAATTTAACTTTGATTGGTGGGCGACCTTCTGCCTCCTCGGATACAACAGAAGGAAGCGAAAAACGAGCACTTAGTAAATACTCTTTTCCTCCTGAAATCATATCAATACCAACTATCAGGAAAACTCTTCGCTTACCAGGGAAACTTTTGATTGTCCAGACGAAGGCACTCTTCTCAGGGGTATACTTCACTGAGCCGATGCTTGTTTTGAACTTAGGAGAATCAGCATCTGATGGTACAGGAATAATGATCTCAACATTGTTAGCAGTTGATCGACGTTTAAATTGTGATTTTGCTTTAATCATAAACTCTACACGAGAATGACTATGTCTTTCAACATGTGTTTCGATCCATATCAGTGGTTTGACAACAGTTGTCAGTCTAGAAGCCAAACTGTTTAGAAGAAAAATGAAGATTCAAGCACCTATAACTCATAAGTTCAAAAGCTCCATCCGGTGGAATAAACGAAATCGTTCTATCATTGTCGAAACGCGAAAGGCGGACACACTGATGGAATTTGACATCCTCAAGCTCAACAGACTTGCTTTTACCTCCTGAATTAGACCCAATGAAGAGTTATATACTTTGTGAACTCACTTCCGCTTCCTTCAAATAGAACCTTATCGTTCAAACCCAAGCGAAGTTCAGGCATTCCTGTGAGATAGACTCTCATCTTAACGCTGCCGCAAATTTCACTTTGAAGGACAGAACCGTTAGCATTAGCCTACACGAAACAGTTCTCAACTAATCAACAAATCTAAACACTAACCAGCATGTTAACGCTCTCTACGACATCAAGAAAGACTTCATTTTTTCGATATTTAATGCCTTCTGATCTCCAAGACACAGCATTTGTTACCGCCATAGGTGGTCGAGGAGCAGCTTCTAGTTTAAAACCTTCTTGAGTTATGTACCTGAATGAATATGAATAAACTAAATGTATAATAAGCATACTCTTGAAGAATTCTGCTTTCAGTGGTCTGTGGGAAACCAAAATCCATCATTTCATCGAGCAATTCATAGATAATCACAAAGTTATCACGAATTGATTCCTCTTCCACATCTTTGAAATATTCGGTGAATACTTCAACACACTTGTAGAGAAATGTTAGAACAAGAGCAACATTAACGTTCTTTTGGCTTATAGAAACCACTGAAATTGTATTATTCATTCCTCAATTATTCAAAATGAACTTACAATAAACATTGTTTTGCTTTATGAAGACAAAAGTAGAATCTTGATGTGTTATTACTGGTGACATTTGTCCATCCTTAACTTTGAACGGTTAACGTTATCATATGCATACTATCACCTCTTCCATGTCCATCAACAATGGCATAAACTTATCAATAACCCCCATATCAACATCTCCTCTGTAGTTTCGGGCTATGACAGTCTAGAAGCGTGATTCAAATAGCTTAAGTATCATTGATTAAACTTACTTTGCCTTTGAGATCCAGGATGAATATAGCAGAAGATGACATTTTTCTTCAAGAATTTCTATTTCTGTTCCCTACAGACGTTCTTCTTATAAGCACATGCTAAAACATTTAAATTTTTAAAAATTCTCATAAACATATTAAGCATTCAATTCGATGAAATTCAGATAAATCGCGTGCGAACGAAAATGCATGGGCAGCAATTGTTTGCGAGGTTACCGGGCAGTGGCTATCATATTTTCACGCTGACGTCAACCCTAGAAATTCAGAAGCTTTTGCTTCTGTTTGATTTGTATAGCAATATTATCCCTTTTTGAAATGTTTTTTCTTGCAAAATACTCTCCATAAGTGCATTTCACTTTCTGATTCTTTCGAACTATTTCAGGCACATGTGGATTATTAAACTACCAACATGAATCATACAGTCACCTTCGAGAATCCATTTGACAAAACAACTCAAATACCATGGCTTTTCATCGTTGCTCCTCCAGTAATAGTAACATGGGTAATTTTCCTCACATTTTATCTTTCACGGGTTGTAGGACTATTGTTTTCGTTTGTATTAAACAGGTAAAAGAACTTCTGTTGGCAAGTTACATGTTTCTTTAGGTATTTACGGTTCACTAAGACAGCTGGTCATATTAAGGTCGGAAGTATATCTTTGTCTGTATTAGGTGGAAAGGTCATGTTTAGAGAAGTAATTTGTCTCTGTGATATCTATATCATTAATCTGTTTCAGTTAGTTTTCGCCAACGATGATTATTCGATTCGAATAAATGATGGATGGCTGATATTCTCATATTGGAAAAACGTACCGAAAACTTTTACATTTCACGAGTATGTGTTGAATTATTCATTAAATTCTATGATTCTTGACCTGCAGTCCTACATCACGACTACATGTCTCATTGAATGGTTTACAAATACACTGGTATAATAGAGTTCATCAATACAAAGAGATAGCTAAACTTTTCCATCTCGAACGTTTGTTCGGAGATGAAGAATGTAGGAGAATTGTTCCAACGAATACGTATGTTTTTTCACAAGTCTTGATTTTGCCATTTCACTTTTGAAGAGAATTGGACTCTAGTAAAGCATGGGATCGTTTCTGGGCTTTAGTAGGTGTAATCAAAATGGATATTTGGTCCGGACGGGTAGTGATCGGTAACAAAAGTCTTCCTTATATGTTTGTTTTTTCCTGGGAGAATATGACTAGTTCGTTCGAAAAAAACTTTATTTTCTTAAGTTTTTCCATTAGGCAAAGTGTTGTTGGAACCTTCTGCTGCCGACAAAGCACTGCTTAAGGTTTCAGGACAGATGGAAAGTATACGAGTATCTTTACTGAAACATCCTGAGTATGCTGGCCTTCCCTATAAAGTGAGAAACTTAAGTTTTCAATGCTGTTGACCTTTGATGCTTTGAAGGAACCACCTAGAACTATGGGAGATGGTTTCGCTGTCATGCAAAGTGCTAATTTAATGTTTTATTATCATCAGGACATATTAGGTTTTTTTTCTGAAATGATAAAGAAGTATCAGAATCGTATAGGGTATGTGACTGAAGAACAACAGTCAGCTTCTCAAGAAGATGCTCCTGTTTGGGAGTCTATTTTTCGTTTTGGTTCGAACACTGTGATGGGCTATGGTCCCTGGGTAGAACAACAACGAGCTTTGATTTACAGCTTTTTCTTCCCTCCCGATTATCAAGTAGTTTTTATCTTTTTTTCACAAATAATTGATGGTTATAGACTGCTGCTGTGTCGGCATTACCAACCAGGGGAAGTCGTAGAATTAATATAATACATGATTGTCGAATATCTTTCCTCAAAGAAACGGCTATCGATGTTTGGTTCATGAGGGGAGAACAGCTGGAAAGTGTACATACACGCTGCCAACCCGGAAGTTCCGCTGATGTAAAATGCTAAGGAATTTATAAATAAAGAGACTGTTTTACAGATATCAATATGGTGGATTACTCTTGAAGATGGGTACAGCTGGTCTTGTGAAATTAATCTTCTGACAGTTGCAAGCACAACTTCTCTTGTATATAGAAAGCTCTTTGAATGTGAGACGCTGAGCGTCGTAGGAAACTTCCATTATCCTAGGGTTTAACTTTCTCTATTAATTATATATACAACCATTTTGAAGGTTTATAATGGAAAACAAACGTGGAAGTTCAATTATAATATTTCAAAAGCTACAGCTTGGTTTGTGTGGGATCACAAACGGTTTTTCTCTGTTGGTCAAAATTTTTCAACAAAACACTTATTCATTTATTCAAGGATTTAATAAATGAATGGATAGGAGATGCTCCATCTGATGTCCTGACATTCATACCGTATACCGTGGCGAATGAAGTCAAAGTAACGGACGGGTTTGAGGTGAGAATGATTTGCTTTTCTTCATCTCCATTCACATATTGCAGTTCATATTGTTGTTGAATGATAGTAATTGGGTAGACCCTTCTGAAAAACTTTCTGAAAATGTAGAATGTGCCATCGTTGGGGAGCAGCTGAGTTTATGTTCGTCTATTTCTACTATTCGGGATGGAAACTATCTTTTTTCAGCATTTTTGTACGCTTTTGTGGATTTTTTACCATCAACCTTCAATGTTAGTTACAACTTGATAGGAGAAAATGAAATGGCTATGAGACTTAAAGTGAGCGTAAAAGATTCCGGAGTATCTTAACCGTTTTCTTCAGTATCCTTCTAACAGTGCAACATCTTCTTTATTAGCAGGCTTGTTGAAAAACGCAAAAACTTCTTCGAACGCTAATGTATCGCCTCATGGAACTGTGTCAAAAGCAGTAAGTTCTCTAAACTCTGCTTCTGTAACTTAGATTCCGTTGAAGGAAGGCTGGTTTGAGTCTTGGAGAACAGAAAGAGTTTCATGTGTATTTGATTATAAGTATCATCCTATAATAACCGAGTTCAAGCCTACGTTGCCGTACGATGTTTATAAAGGATGGATGCCACCGAAAATAGAAAATCCATTTGATGTACGTTAACCCTTACTGTTCGGTCGGTTTTACTGAATCATATATAGCTACCAGTTGATTTTCTGAAAGTTGTCGTTGACATAGAAGGATCAGAGGTTATGCTCACAGGCCTGCTAATTAGATTTTTAATTGATCTCAAGAACAATTATTTTGGCTATTATGACTCGGTGAGCTTCTATTTTCGTTCTGGTATCAGACTATATCTTAGATGACAAGCATAGAATCAGTCGAAGCTGAATCTTCAAACCTGTTGTCCATGTTCAATCGAGTTCCTCCAAATGCTATAGCAGAACTTTATCGGCCCATGGACGTTGAGTTCGAATTACGAGTTCATAACATTCGAGCCCAATGTCTTCTCCATTCACCCTCAACAGATGGTTTGCTTCATCTTTTTCAACACCGTATAATTTTTCAACATCAGAGCCCTGTCCTACAGTTTTCACAGAAGAAATAGCTGTAGAAATTAAAAAAAGTTGTAAAGAGACATTTATTCAAGTAGGAGTAGGCCCCTGCGTGGCGCATTTTGAGAGAACATCTTCCAACCAATCAGATGGCTTCCTAACTTTGAGTGGATTACAGTTCAGGTATTTGTTCTGCTGATTTTTTTTCCATTCTGATCTTTTGAAGGGGGCATGCTATGTTCTCTTCGGTGGATGTTCCATGGGACATGTCTATTTTGGAATATGGGTGGATTATGGAAATAATAATAGGAGATATCAGAGGGAGTTTGAACTTTCCTAATAATGTAAGAATCTATATCACCGTTTAAAACAAAGTTGAACTTCAGCTTGTGGCATTGGAGCAAGTAGTTGAGTCATTATTGATAATGGCAATTTCCAAAGATGATGCTATGATCATTCCTAATCGTTTCAATATTTGCCAACACGGTCAACTTGTTACATCATGTAAGAAATCTAAGTTTGCAGATGGAAGATGTGATGGAGAAGAAAAGTATGAAAAGTGAAAGAAAGAAATTCAGAATGTTTTTACAGATTAAAATATCGCCAACTTCGTTTGTCTGTTGATAGCGTACAACTAGCATTATGTGAAGAAAAGACTATCATCCAGGTATACCCTGCTGAACCTTCTCTCTCTAGCGTGGTTTAAGGTTGCTGCTGATCCTATACGATTTACTCTCTGCAATTTGCACGAAGGTAGATTTGCTGAACATCTTTGTATCAGAGTTCCTGAAATTTCCATAAAACAAAGTAAGCTTGTTCACTCTTGTTTTCTTTATCATTCTCTTCCTCTCTATCTTAGTTCTCCACGTAAGTAACAATGAGCAAACTCCAACATGGCTCCTAGTTAGCAAAGCAACAATATCTGGTATAGTGCTAGACCTCGAGGTCTGTTGAGACATCTTAACAGTGATAATGAAAGTCCGATCTTACAGCTTCCCATCGATGAAGCTGACAATCCTGTGGAACTGGCTGGAGATCGTTTGGAATTTTTGAGAAAGCACGATGAGAAAAGCCATCGGTTGCTTTTCATCTGGAGCAACCACAGTAAGTGGAGATGCACTTGCAATGGAGGAACTTACTTCTTTGGTGAAGTCGACACAATGTACGTTTCTGTTTTCTTCATTCTTTGAGAAGTAATTATAGAGGGAAAGACTTTCTTCGAACTGATCATAAGCTATGTATACCTGATATAGTTACTAATGGTCAGCCAGGAGTTTTACAAGACCTTCTCCGTCCGACGGAAATGTGAGCTATACAATAAGATAATTTACTTATAAATTTCCTAGGATGCTCCATGCAGAATCACATTATATCTATGGGAATGTCAAATCATCAAGACGGAAAGACAGTACGGATGTGAGTAGTTGAACCTGGTTGTATTATATAATTTGGAAGTTTTCAGTCTTTCAAAGTATCTGCGGTGTCATCCTTGGATACTGCGTCGTTCCATTCAACGTTTTCACACCAGCTGGAAGAATCTTCTCATTCTCTTCTGGCAACTTATACTGGTTATTTAGCAAAAGTAGATGTTTTCAAAAAAGGTTTATCTGTCACTTGAAACGGGGCTTTTTCATCGAATTGGTTCAGATTGTGAGCCTCCCAGTTTTGGAGAACCTGGTGATATAGCGTTATGGGCTCAGAAGCGCATCATGTACCTGAATATAGTGCGTCGTTACGTAACAATCTATTTATTTATTTTCTTTTAAGGCTTGTGATGGTGTTGACACGCTGAAGATGAAACCATCGAAGGCAACAGAATTTATCTCGGCTACTCACAAGCAGTTGAACTCGTTAACTGATCATAGGCTGATAATAACGGGATCTGCAGCCAAAGCTGTTGATGTTGGTTTTTTTACTGTTGAAAGTTAAAGTGGAACTATCTGCAGGTGTTCATTTCTCCATTATCATTTGAAGCTGCTGATATCATTGTCAATAGCTGTCTGGACTTTTTACCACAAATCAATCCTTTCATACTGCTCAACTCAATTTATAGGGACTGCTTATTGCGGAGCCATAAACAACCTTTGACAAAAACACTGTTTCCATCAGGTTTCTGCACTCTTTCCGTTAGCAGTGATAATATTATTCCTTCCAGATAATGCATCTCCTTTCGTTTTCGACGTCGCTCTGGATTTACCGACCGTTCACATATCGATGTTCCAGGTAGGGGGAATAGCTGGATATTTATTTCTACTTGTTTCCAGTGTGGGGTTTATGAATACTATAATAAACCTTCTCTTGAGAATAAACGAATATCTCCTGTTTCATCTAACTTGGCTTTCGCGTTTATTCACGGAGGCAGCATCAAGTCCAAGCCCAGTCCATTCGGTGTACGGCTAATCCATCGTTAATGTCTTCTATAGTTTCATTTTTTTTTCAGCAAAACGTGCAATCCACCAATTACACTTTGAATATAACGGAAGTTTCTGCTCAACTTCTTCAAGTTCTATCGAACAATGAGCAGAGTTTTGTTCCTGATTTTTCAAGGGTTCAAACACTCAGCCAGGTTAGATGCCATTATAGTTAAAGTAATCATTTTGAACAGGTTGATTGGGAGAGTTCATCTATTGCCAAACGGATTCATAACAAATACCTTTCCCTCGTGTTAGATTTTGGCATTCCTGAAATCAACATTATACTCGAGAAGCTGACAAAGATTAGTAGCAAGTACGCTTCTTTTATATCTCATTTTTCTATGATCATTCTTCTAGGAAAAATCATCCTAACCTTTCTAATCAATCTTCCTTACAATCAACAAAAGTATTGGAAGACAAGTTGAAGGTTCGGAATACTACTCATGCCTTTGATGTAAAACTCGATTTATAGATTGATATAGGATCTATTAAAGCTCTGGTCACTATGCCAAAGCCGCTTGATAGGACATCAAAACAAGAATTTCCCTTGTATGATGTGTTATCCCCGGCAATAAACTCATGGTTGGGTTATGCTACGAAGCTGGAGAGAAGTCTCAGCCAACTGACAGATTCAATGTCTACTTGGAGTGATATATCAATGATAAGGATCATGAAACTTGCACTGGAATGTACCGACGAAGCTGTTCTTGGTGGGAAAAACAAAAATGTAATGGAACCGGCGAAAGTTTTTGGAAAACATCAAGCGAGTTGTCCTTCCTGTTTACTTCTCCACAATCTGATGAGGTAGTCTTCTGACCCAGATCAGAAGAATTTTATCTGTTTAGGTGGTGTTCGTTACCGTCTTCACAAGCTTCGGCTCTGCCTCTCACATCGTATAAAGAGTTCCGCGACGTCAAAAGTAGGAAAGTTGCTCTGCAGGCTTTGCTCAGTCATTGGCAAACTGATATTTGTCGATTAGTAAAAGTTCGTGATTCCTTAATTTCTATGTTAATGATATGGTTCACAGCTTGCGTCTACCACTGATGCTATGAAGTATAAAGTAGAACCTAGGGATACTAAGAAAAGAGAAGTGAGGATACAAATAGACGAACATAAGGAGCATAGAAGATCAGAGAGTGGAGTCAGTCGAGTAGGCGATATGAAAAACGATGAAGAATGAAATGTGTGAATTTAAGACTGCTGTGATGAACGATTCGACACTGCAAGGAAACGATGCTAATGTCACAAAAAAGGCAACGGAAACTGAGTCAAAAAGTGAAGAGATACATCTGTTCATACAAAACTTATAGTAAATGTTCAGGCAATCTGTACCAGTGGATAATGAATGCACATAGAGAGAGAAATGAAAGAAGAGAAGGTAAAAGCATGGAGGAGATCAATAAGGATTATATCAACCCTATGGACATTGTACCTAGAGCTTTTTTCTATCCCCTATACAAGGTAAGTGTTTATCCAGTAAATTGTTCCTAAAATTCTGGAGCCAGTCCTACAAACTTGATGTCACTCAGTTGGATAGTGTACCTTTCAATAACATGAAAGTTGCTTATACAGTTAATATCAACGGGATCTATGCTGATTTAGTTGAACCTAAGTGAGTGGTTCGATCAGTTGCGGAATTATTCCTTGTTTCCAGGACCATTACCTCAAGTTCCTGTGCTAGTGAGTTCTCGACAGCTTCAATCCATCATCTGATGCAAGTAAAACTTCTATCGGTCAATGGAGATTTCGGATGGAAGACCGATATGGACGAAAGGAATTTGATTCCTAAGATTGGTAAAGTGAGTTTATATATCAATAGCACTTAAAAACACATTTGTTTCTCACTACAGGCAACTTTGAACTATCGTGGATCGATCGAAGATGTTCAATTTGTTGTGGCACTCTCTTCTATTTGCTTGGCGAAAGAAATATTTTTGGTTGTTAAAACGGCTTCTGATATTTTAGCCAGCATAAAGCAGGATACGTTGGATCATGAAAGGTTGATGAAAAAAGATGTAAGGTCTCATGCCAAAATGCTTTACTAGTACACCTTTTTAGTCACCCATGAATCAATCAGTGAAAGATTCATCTGAGAATAATCAAACTTGGGAAGATAGGGTTATAGAGCTCACAAACGATTTCGAGAAAACTATGACAAGGTCTGGAGATTTCTCTCAAGGAAATGTAAGTTTTCATCTGTTTTTCAAACTTCAAACTATATTATATTTCCTAGATTCTAATATCTGTTCACGGTGCCTTGAATGTAGATGCTGTGAAATTGGAATCTCAATTAACAGATCTGTATATATCTTTCGATATGAGAACTATAGAACTGACTCAACAGCATAATCCATCTAATCGTGAAGCTCACCCGCAAGAAGTTGATATTTTGAAATTTTCTCTGAGGTATCCAGTAGACAAACAGCAGAAAATATAAACGTTTTGCAGGAAAGCGAAGCTTAATATTCGTGAGGCAATCCTTCTGAACGGAAAAATGCAAGAAAGCAAACCAATTTTGCATTGTGGTTTGAAAGAAAGTGTTGCTAAGCTCGACAGGTATCATGAAAATGAACTTTTATTACATATATGATTGTGAAGGAAGTTGCTCGTACTTGATGGTAGAGATCCAAAAAGTGATACCTCTCTCTTCATAGCTCTGGGGGCGATTGATGGGGAACTACCAATGGTAGCGAGAAGTTTACACGATGTTGTTATGAGACATGGTCCTGAGCTTGAACAGCAGTTTAACCGTCTCAGTGCCCAGCCTCATGCTCATTCCAACAGTGATACTTTATTGGTTAGAAGCTTAGTATCAACAGTTCTATTGAAGTATAATTCAGAAAGTACAGCCAATTGGCTCTCCTACTGATTGGGTTCATTCAAGTACGGATCGAGTTATTATGACAAGACCTACAATAGCTAGAGTAAGATGTGTGTAACATATTAGTAACTTTTGGCCTCTCAGGTGTCATTCCAAATCAGCTTGGACAGTATCGAGTTGAAAGCTCAGTTATTACCAAGCTTGAAAGCAACGTATAAACTTCACAAAGCTACCAGCTCTGGAGAAACAGGTCTTACTACTATTAAGTTATCTTAGTGACTTTTGAATTTCAAGGAGCTGAAGCCAAGTGGATGGCGGCCATCGAAGATCATCATGCTGAGTTTTATGTATCATTGGATAGTAAGTCAGGAGATAATTTCAACCTGGCTCTTCCGTCAGTTTCCGTCAAGGGTCAGTATCTTGGAGAGGAAAAATGTATTGGAGGGTAAAATAATGAAGTTGTCTTGTTTCATGAATTCTAATTTTTTTAAGTACTGCTCCTACCACTGATAAACAACTCCGTTATAGACAAGGAGGATATTTAAAAATGGAGGTGCTACTAGGTAAAGAGTTCTCTTCAAGGCTTCTTCAAAAATGTTGTTTTAGGACAAGTCAATCATTCCTTCACCACGGATCTGTTGAATCATATCCTCTTCGCGGAGCAGTCCTTCAGATCTGAACTGTCTGCTCTCATTCAACGACTAGGACCTCAAACCCCATCCTATCCGGAAACCACGATTCCTACAACATCAACAGAAAACAAAAGTTTACTATTCTTCCTAACAGTATGTCGAAAACAAGACCCCTACCCTCTCATAGTATGTTTCTTAGATCAAAGGACAAGGAGTTCCCTGGTTCCAACTAACCGCTGCAACTCCTTCGTCGACTGCTGTTCGATTTACAATTGACAGTTTAGATACTGAATTAACCAACCGATGGGTTTGTAAATTGAAAGAAAATATAAACAGTTATCTATTTTGATAGGTTGTGAAAGAGGAGGGATCCACAAGGGAGCGTCTGTTCGGTGCTGCTGTGATTCAATTCAATGCCAAACTTGGTCAGCTAGTTAAGCCAGCTCAGTATGAAGAAATTCAAGCTGAGCTCCAGGAGTACGCCACATTTATGACTCAGGTGAACTGTGTCATTGAATTCTGAACTAATTTCCTTTTAGATTCGTATCGAGAACAAAGAAAGTTCCAAAAAAACATACTCCTATCACATATCTTTGAACAGACCGTTTTTCATGCTTAAAGCTAGTGCGATCGATAAGGTTCCACTTATTCTTGTAAATATCATACATGTTTCGAAAATTTTAAGGGAATTCTACTCTGGTTAAATTACAAAAATACTTATGATTACTGGAGAGCCGAGAGAACCAAATTTGAGAGAGCTAGTTCGACCAAACGGAATAGTATTCCACATGCTATGTTTTCACCCCAGCAATCTCAAGTTCGTTGCTCCTCTCATTTCCCATGATTATTTTATTGTTCAGGATTTTGATATTAATCTTTCTCTATCCATAAACAATGGCATGTACGTATGTATGCCCTTAATAAGCAATGATGTGACAGAAGGAATGCCGGCTTTAGTTCTCTCATTACAAGTATACACTGGAAGTATAAAGAGAAAACATATTTCGTTCTAGAAATCAGATGTTACTGTAACGATAAGGAAAGAGTTGGTTTGTCAAGCTCAGTTCCACGGTTTCAAGTTGAACTTTATTGACAACTTCGATGAACGGTCTTTATCAAGCGTTCATGAGAATCGAGGGGATTCAAACTTCTTCTTCTTCCCTCAAGGTTCCTACCAATTATGTTCGAAGGTTTCCACAGTTTTTGAAACCTTATCAAAGCTAACAATATTTAAGGCTTCGAATGAATCAGGAGATGCTCAGTGGATTTTAAGTGTGCGATCTAGGATGCGTGGAATGATAATCGATTTAGATCACAGAATTGGTATGTAGCAAAGCTCTGTGTGTTAATAATTCTTATATCTTCAGGTAAACTCACAAAAATGTTGGTCAACACCCTCTCTTCTCTTGGTGAGGATGATGAAAATTACATTGAAGATTTCCATTCGGACTACATAATGGGTACTGAAGAGCAATTGGTATTTTATTAGTACCTGTATACACCTGAATCTTTTGTTTTAAGATTGAAGGAGGTGCGGAGTTATCAAGAATGGTACCTGAAGACAGAATTAGATGGCTGGAGAGAAAAGTGATTATTTTGGTTGATGGAACTATTGTTTATTGTTTTTTTTAAGATGCATGAGCAATCCAAGAAAGTATCTGATCTAATGATGAGAAAGATGGGAGAGAAGGAGCTGGAAATAGAACGACGTAAACTGCGACAGTACGAGCTGATCAGATTCAAAGAGTTCCGAAGAACTATGATTGAAAAATTGCGTCGTAAGAATGACAGAGGAAAACGTGCTAGTGTATACATATTCTCTTATAACAAAGCTTAATCTTTCTAAATGTTACAGGCAACTTCGGAAGCACTCGGAGTTCCATCAAGAGTTTCTTCAACCCACCGTGAGTCGAGCGATGCCGACAATCAGAAACAAGGACGGCCTCAGGATACTGTGAATATGCACATTGATGTGCAAGTTAGTATAGAGACTGGAACATGTACTCTCAAAACAGCACCGAAGCCAGAAACAACTCCAAACACTTTAATGGTTAAACGACCATCGGCAAGAGATTTGAGAGCCAAGAACATAGGGCAGCCTCCTGTTTCCGTAACAATGTTCAGCATTCCCAGGTATGATGAGTAAACGAAAAAGAAGAAACAAGTGAATTTACAGTGTTGATTTGAAAGCTTACTATGTTTCTATTGATAACATAGAAAACATAGCAGGATTTGCTTTTCCAAGAAAACTGTCAGCTCAACCATCCAATGCCAACGAAGTAAGTTCATTTTTTCGTACGCATTGGAATTGAGCTCATTCAGAGAACATTGAAAAGGGGATGTATATATCTTTCCGTCGCTCTCTCATCGATGCCTTCAGAAACTGTCGTCACTCCCCATCTTGCTGATTATGTTGAACAGGTTTAGTTGGAACTGAAGCTTTTTTATTATCTTCTTTTTAGGTTTTGGAACCTCTACCAGTTTTCACAGAAATGAGGGCTGAATCAATGGAGTCATTAGGAGACTCTCCAGAAACCATGAACAATATTGTAGGAATTGATACAAGTGTTCTTCCCATAGACGTCTTATTCTATCTCACAGTTCAAAGTAGTACTATAAGATTCGATGGACAGCAACAAGTCAGTACTTTCTGGATATATGTCGATTTCATGACAATATCTTTTCAGAAGAGTTCAGCAGCTGATTGTCTGTTAAAATTACCATGCTTAACTTTAATGGCTTCAACAAGACGCACTGAAGGGGATGAGTATTTAGGAGGAGTTGATATTTCAGTCACGCTAAGTGCTTTCTCCTTGAGCATATACAGCCCTCATCAGGTTTCATAGACTTGAAGCCTTCTTCAATATTAATATTATACAGCAATCAACATCTCGGGACGCTTTAGCTGTTACCTTAGATCACCTTTCGCTTGTAATTTCTAGGAGTAAAAATGCTTCGAGCGAACCGGATAATCGCGTTCGGGTACATACCCCTTTTTTGACGACAGATACAGTGTAATCATTCAATTTCAGTTCGTACTAACTTCAAACATCGGAGCTGCCAATTTCACGTATGATATTTGGAGACTGAGTGAACTGTTACAGTTCCCTAAGGTTTTTCATTATTCTCTCATTCGGTCTCAAGGGAAGGCATAATTCTTATAGCCATGGTATCGTCGAGCGATTGCCAGGAGAATATTCTTTGGAGATCAAGCTGCTCCAGGAAGAGACAATGTTCCAAGCAGACCTTCAACAATCGCCAGTCAGAACTATGTACAGTAAGTGTTCGTTGTTCCACTCGCGCACATCAAATAAAACAGACAACCACGATCGGCAATCCAAGAGAAGCCTTGGTATGCATCCGTGTTGCTAGCGATACAATGGAAAGAATTGAATGTGAATGGTCAGATGTCAAACACGATGGGAAGTACTAGTTGGAAAGCAAGAAAAGGCTTACTGAGATCTTTTGCGAAAGTATGTCATTTATATTTTCATCAAATCATGTTATTTTTCAGTTGAATTACAAGCACGAAAGGGACATCACTGTCACATTCTTGTTGGATTCGAGTGAGCTGATAGCTCATGGAGGAGCGATAAGTGGAGAAATAGCTCTGTCTCAACTATTACTTTCTGCTACGCATAAACGACTGGAGAAGGTTTACAGCCATTTGTTCTCGTATTTTGTTATGGTTGTAGGGTATTCCACGAAACAAACTACATTTTGAGTTGCTCTCTTTGAGCACGAGAATTGAATGGATGAGTCGTGCGGTTTTGATTAGTCGGATTGATCATCCTAGAATTATTCTGGGAGATGACATTATCGAAACTAACCATCCTGAAAAAGTAAGTGTTCAGTTAGCAATAATACTTGATTGTATTTTTTAGGGAAGTGAAGTTGCAGTCCTCCTTAATATCAATGGATCATGGAGAGATCTACAAATTGTTATTAATAAGAACACAATTGATGACTTCATGAAGATTGTGAATAAGCTTCAAACGTTCTTCCATGTATGCTATATGATCGTTCAAAATACCTATAATACTTCTTCAGGAACAATTGAGAAGCTCGCGCCGAGCATGGGTTTTCGCCGATGATGATGCTGGTACAACTTCTCACACAAAGGAGACAACAGATACCGTGACAGACACAGAGAAAGAAGTTTTGTTTACTGATCATTGGGAGAAGGTAATTACCCTTTGCTTTACATGAATCGAGCATGTTACTCAGGTACTCGATTTGGTCACAGAAATACAGTACAACTTGAAACTGATTCCTCTTCCAATGAATGGGCAAACTGTTGTCGGAGGAGCTGTTCAGTTGGATGCAGGTCGTTTATCTATTGCGTGCATGCACGGAGAGATGAATGCTAATAGGTATGCTACTCGTCAGATATCAGATCAGAACTATGTGCAACTTCTTTACAGTTGGGCTGTTTTCCACCTTAAAGAACTCTCAATTCTATTCAAGCCGAACGCCAAGTTCAAATATACTAACGAGGAACAAAACACACTAGGTTTTCATTCCTTTGAACTCTATAACGTATATTTTATAAGGTGTCGCCGTCAATCAAAGACTGATTATAAGCCTCGGGGAGTCCTCCGACTGCGGTACGGAGAGAACAGAAAATATGGCTAATGTCTGTCGAGTACAGGTTGGTGATAGTAGGCACTAGAGTCTAATACATGAACGATCTTTTCAGCTCACAAGAAACTTATTACGTCAAAATTCCAGCATCAAAGCATCTTTAGACTATATTATCGGAGATGTTCTCAAGATCGTTAAACCATCAGCAGATCCTACAGAGGTATGTTTTCCTTTCCTGATTTAGTGACTGTCTTATCATTTGCAGGCCACATCCACAACGAACAAATCTCAACACAATGTGTTAGAGTTATTCCAATTTCCAGCTTTGAAAGCTTTATTAACTTCTTTACAATGCAACGAATGTGACATGTCTTCTGATACTCCTGTGAAACCAGAGGTCCGCTTTTTAATAGAAACAATCAAATTGTTCTCATATTGCAGGTGCTATCATCCTTCGTCTGCGAGTTTTATAACCTAGTTTATGTACAAACTGACTTCAGTGCTCAAGTTAGCTTCCTACCAGAATTGCTCAAGAGTTACATTAATGCGACGGTAGTTTTCATTTGTATTTTTTTCATTCTTTCTCTGTTTTTAAGGCTAACCAAAACGTGACTGGTCCTGAAACACCAACGAAAAAATATGATAATAGAGATTATAAATGTGAAAAATGGGAAGTTAATCCAAAAATTGGTTTCATTGATCGCACGAAATGGAATCCCCCGCTCGTGGATGATATTTTGAGGAAATTACAAGTGAGAACTGTGGAAGTATATCTTTCCATACAGAAGTATCTTTAGATATTCGATCATCGAACAACCATTCCCAAGGCTCTTCAAAGAGCTGTTCTTGATCCATTAGATGCAACATTGGCCATCGGTATTGCTCAAATGTTCAAATTAGTTCACAGAGGTGTCGAAGACGAGCTGTCCAATAAAAACGATGGGAGATGATACGGATTGCTATGAGTAACCTAATTAACTAATAACCTAATTCTAGTCTTCACGAATTTTTTTTTCATTTTTTAAAAATATTCAACTAAGTACAGCTCACACATGATCTCATTCTGTCAGATTTTTAATTATAACTTAAATTATTTGTTTTGTCATGTAATATTCAGAGAATGAGATTTTACGAATGAATGTTTGCTTTCATAAGATTACTGAAGAAGTTTGATCGAAACTCTTGTTATCTTGAAGACAGCTTCATGTGTCATCCTCCTATGGTGTCAATGAGTAGCAACCGCCCTAGACACATCTTGACATCCTTATTGCTTCTCATCGGCAGTCTGTTCTCTATTCATGGAGCCATGCATTGATCTATGCCCCAGTTAGTAGGAAGAATACTCACTCACAGCTTACCAGATGCGGTCTTTTCTCATTTAGGACATCTGACCGCCTTATTCCACTTGACAACCATTTTTCATGGTCATTTCTTCGAGAGCATTGAAACATTTTTCTTCATTTATAGTGGTTTCCGAGTAACTTTCAAGTTGCTAACTCGGAAATAACTCTGCTATTACGAAAGGGAAAACTCCACTATCTTTATTATTACATTGCGTTTAAATAATCTTCAGTGTGGCAAGAGAATGACGAGATGATCGCTTCGACATATTTTAAATTATGATGAGAAGAGAAAGTTCATAGTAAATTCTGTTAAAAATCATTTGTAGTTATTCTGAATTTACCAGCAGACAAGGTCATACAAGGGGCATTACATGTCTCTCTTGGAATTCTGCCTATCTATGCTAGTCAATTACGCTTTTATCAATCAAATAGAGATGTACCATGAAAAACAATTATTAACATTATAGATTTTTCATAGATTTTCTATTCATTTGGTTTCTTTTCCATATATGTATGAACATGTGCCTGTCTGCTAGCTATTGATTTTTCCTAATTCGTTTGGCTCTCTCTCATACTCCCTCGTTTTCCCGTTTTGTTCGTTTCTGCTTAAGCGTGATGCAGCCTTGAGGACATTTTAAGTTAGAAAAATCATTATTCTCCTCATATTTTTTTGCTTTCATATGTTTGTAACTGGAATGTGTTCCCAGCTTTTCATTTTCATCGAGGTGAGCGCTCAGAGCGGTTGTGTTCTATTCGTTCATTTTTTTTATTTTTTCTAATCGGTAGACACGTGTATCTGCATGTGGTGTACGAGCTGCTCAACTTCCAACTTCTCAAAATTATGTTTTATCGGAGAATGTATGCTGAAGAAATTTCTTTTTGTTGAGTAAGAATATTGTGAAATAGAGCCGTTTTTCTGTTTCGTAATCTAGGATTGTGTGCATGCCCTTCTCCATATCTAGATGAGGCTTAGATCTGAAAATATGAGCTAACTGAACAGAGAATATATAATTTGCTGATAAAAGCTCAAAGATGTTTCTGACCGTTCTCTGCCTCGTGTTCGTTTGAGTGAGTGAGAGGCAGTGTAATATCAGTTAGAGATATAAGATAAAGAAAGTATGAATGACAGAGAATGAATTCAGTGGGAGAGAAAGAAAGTAAGATGTTGCTGGATTAAGACATGAGAAGAATTTCTCTGGGTTAGCAAGCTCTCAATCTTGAGTGTTGTAAACATTCGAAAAATGTTATTTCTAACTTTTTTTTATGTATAATGATTCACTCTTCTCATTTAATGCTGTGTATTTCAGTTATTTATTGTGTTTTTATTGTCGTGTGCGAAGCATTTGGGTGGTTCTTGAATTGCTCTCTTCATTAGCATATTTCCGAAATTCATTTTTGCCTTCACGCAGCTTCTCCATTAATATACTATTGACGCTACCATTTTTTGAAATGTTATCGATTGAACTCATAAACTGTTTAATTTCGCAGAATCATCATCTCGATGGATTACTTTCTATTTTAATTGTTTTTACTAGGAGATTCGATTGTGTACTTGCTTAATTACTCTCTTTCAGAGACATATGTAATATAATGCTTGAGAACATGTTCTATTAAAATACCAGCGTGTGCAGAATGCCAGGAAAGCCAAGTCAATCACCAACTGTTCAGTTGGCACTTAGTGAACTTGATATTCTTAAGGCTATTCTCGAATTTCTTCAACTTAGAGGACTCCACATAACTCAAGTAAGATTTGAATATGACAAATGATCATTTCGGTATTTACAGCTCTCATTAGAAAGAGAGACTGGAGTAATCAATGGCGATTTTTCTGATGATCTGTTATTCCTGCGGCAGTTAGTTTTAGATGGACAATGGGATAACGCTTTAGATTTTGTTGAGCCTTTGAAAACAATACCAGATTTCGATTTTCAATCCTTTAGGTCAGTCCTTCATCTTTTATAGTTTGATTTATATGTACTTACAGATATAATATAACAAAATATAAATTTTTCGAGTTATTATGTGTCAAATTAGAACCTGGACCTTTGCATGATAATGATTTTGCTGTTGAAGTATGTTTCTTGAATGAATAACGATACAAATCTTATTCTTAGGAACTTGTTGAATGCTTGAAAGATCTCGAACATATATGTCCATCTCCGGAGGATTATCGGCAACTATGTGCTTTATTGACATTACCAAAGTTATCTGACCACTCTGATTTCCATAATTGGAATCCGAGTTCAGCACGAATGGAATGTTATCACAAGGTTTTCACAGTTGTTTTCTTTGTTCACAACCACTTCTTTGAAGGTTGAGCCTTTTGTGAGCCCGTATTTGCCTCCAACAGGCAGAGAGAAATGTGGTTCAGCATCAAGGAACGATCGTTTACTTTCATTACTAGCAAAGGGTATATTTTATGAAGGATGTGTTGATTATTGTCAGTCGCAAGCTGTGGGGGATGTAAAAGGTTTTCGTTTAAACAGTAATTGATTGTGTTCATTATATTCGTGTAGGCTTAGAGAATGGACCCCAACCTACGAGTATATTAGCTAATAGAGTTAGATTGTCATCTACTGATCTCTCACTTGTGTCTTGGCTTGAAATGGTCGGTCGGGAACAGTTCACCATGCCTTTTCAACAGAAACAACTGGATTTACGGATTGATAACTTGAGGTTTGAGTGTCTTTTCTAAAGTTTACTAAATCTTTTGCAATATTAGAAAACCCAAGCTAGAAGCGCAGTGGACAGAAACAATTTTGGCCACACCAATAAAGCCAGGTGGACAGTTTCCGCATTCAATGGTTCCTAGTACGAAGATGAAATTTGCTGAAAAAATGAGCCAGTCCATAGCAATGCTGCCAATGTCTCTAAGTATGACTACAAGTAAGGTTTTAGTTGTATTGAAAACGTTTATCCTCCATCTAAACAGGTGCATTTCCTGCTGTAGCAAGCCGTCAACCAATGTCACAATCTACAGCTCCTGGCTTCTGTCTGGGAATTGGTACATATATTTCATACTACCACTGTAATATAGTCTCTTGAAGGCGAAGCAGGTGGAGATGCTATGATTCAAAGTCAACTGATTGATAATTTGATGGAGACAAGCGAGTTAACTAAAAGTAGCCGGCCAGATGCCAATAGGGCTTTCCAACAAATCAATTTGCCTCAAAACCCAAACGCCATGTAGGTTGACTACTCAAAACTTTTCTCATGAATAAGCTTTAGGTCTGTGGCTCCTCAAGTAGTAGGTCCGACTATGGCTCAAAGTATGCTTGGTGGAACATTTGATTTTACTCCTATGAGGCGCCAACTCGATGAAATGACTAGAAGGTGATTTGTGTGAGCTTTTTTTTCTACTTTCTAGTTCCAGATCTCTACCTCCTCCATCTTCACAGAGACAATCTTCTTTACCTCCTGTTCCTGAGTTGAATACACCTCCTTCAGGAGCAGAAGATAACATTATGACTCAAAGTCGTCTGTTCCAGGAGTTCTCTAGTAAAATACGACGTTAGTTTTCTTATACTATTCATTAATTCATTGTGTTATTTTTAAGCCCAGCAAATGCAGTATAGGGCACCTGCTCCAATTCCCCAACCCTTACCTGTGCAACCTGTCCCTGTTCAGCCAGTCATGCAATATCCCATACCATATGATCAGAACTCGATGAATATGCCAACGTTAATGAGTAATGCACCGGTAAGCAGTTCTTGAATACTTAAGTGACACATGCATTTAAGATGAACACCAATCCTCATATGCTTGGTCCCGGCATGATGAATCGTCCCCAATCAATGGTATCAACAGGATCGTCTACGATGAGCTCCCAAATGTTACCTAACCAATCACGTCCCATATCAATGCCCCCAACAGGCACTTCGGGGATGAATGTCCAGTTTGTTCCTATTTGCAAGTAAGACAACTGGCTGTAGCTCCTTCTTCCAACTATTCGAATCAACAGATATGAGGACAGTCAAGCAATTCGTGCTGTTGCTTTTCATCCAACTGGAAAATACTTTGCGGTGGGAACAAACTCGAAACAGCTACATATGTTCCGTTATCCTGATACGAGACAAGTTCGTTATAATGAACCGTTACGTAATCCGGAACTTTTAATATCGAGGCCGAAACAGCATAGAGGGTATGTTTCATTTTTCTAGAGTGTTTGCATATTCAGTTTTAAGATCTGTCTACTGTCTTGGATTCAACCCTACCGGTGAATTACTAGCTACTGGATCTAATGACAAAACTATCCGCTTGATGGCTTTTAACTCGGAGCAATGCAAAATAGGTAAGCAATGGTAAACGCATGAAGAAAGTTTATGCAACGCTATTACAGGAGCTGAAATGGAATTTTCTGTTCATGATGGAACGGTTAGGGATTTGATTTTCTTAGAAGATACGATGCATCGGTACATTTGTAATTGTTATTGAGCTGAATGATTTGTTTTCCAGTACATCTCTATTGATTAGTGGAGGAGCTGGAGTTTGTAATCTTTATGCAACAGATTGTACCACAGGACAAGTGGTTCAACCAATGCAAGGACATATAGGTTAGAGTGTTATGAGTGAAACGTTTAAGCCCTACAAATTCCTTTCAGCTCCTATTTTGGGATTGTACACTTGGGCCACTAACAGTCATCAGTTTGTTTCATGTTCACAGGACAAATCGATCAGATTCTGGGATATCCGTAGTTCACAGTCTGTAAACGTTATCCATCCAACTGCATCAAAGTCGCACAGTTTGTTACTATTATTCGTTTTTTTTTGAAAACTCTATGAAAAGGTGCTCCTGTAACGTCGGTCTGTGTGGATCCGTCTGGTCAAGTATTAGTATCAGGACATGAAGATGCAACCGTTGTTCTTTACGATATTAGAGGAGGAAGAGTGTTACAGTCGTTTAGGTTAGTGATGATTTTGAGCTGATGAGCTGCGGTTTCTTTCTTTCCTGGAGGAACAAGCTGGCCCACAGAGCTGTTGCATTCAATAGCCTAAGCTTCTATTACAGGCCGCATGGTGATGAAGTCCGTACTGTTAGGTTTAGTAATGCAGCATATTACTTATTATCAGCTAGTTATGACAAGAGGTTGGTTTATGTTGTTAGAACTTAACCCATTCTTGAAACTTACAGAGTAGTTATCACGGACATGAGAGGAGATTTGTTAGCTCCACTAATGTACTTACCAGTTGCGGAGCATACGGATAAAGTTATTCAATGCAGGTAGTTGAAAGAAAAAATTACATATATAATGATATTATTAACAGATGGCATCCTTTCGATTTCTCTTTTATATCTTCTAGTGCTGATAGAACAGCCATTCTATGGTCATTACCAACATTGGGAGGATATCAATAACATGTTTCTCAGAAAGCTTATGATTTCAAATACCGGTATTCTATTTTTTTGAATTTTTTTATGAAAAAAATTATAATAATTTCGAAAAAACGTAATTAATTAACGATTGTGACATTGATGCTTGTTTGCTTTTTATCACTTTTTATGTTAAGTTTTATGATTTTTACAGGCCTTTTTACGGGATATATATTCAAATTAAGCTTTTTACTGCCATTTTTGCTAGGAAATAATGATGAAAATAAAAATATAAATACAATTGAATTATCTATTCCTATAAACTGTTTGACACATTGAATGACAATCATAAACGCAGCTGGTTGAAGATACAAAAATGTTGCAAAAGAAACATATTGAGTAAGATGAACACGTAATGATCAAAATTGCAGGATGTGTACATATTATCTTTAGAAGATCATCGGTTACATGTTTTAATGTATTAAATAGTAATGATATCTACAGTCTAATACAACAATATAGTTTAACATGTGTATTCACATTTGATGTAATGGAATTTGTATGAGTTCAATCGGAGAAAAAACTTTTTTTTTTGCTTTCATCGTCTAACGTCTTTTCTTTCAATTCTTTTACTCAGAAAAAAAAGAAAAGAGATAGAAGAAGAAGAAGAAAGAGTCCTTTTTCATTTGTTGACTCATTCAAAATGAAAAATTTAAATTAGGAAAAGGACTTTCTTTTCTTAATTAAACATCCCACTGTGATATGACATATATTATAATGTATTTGAATGTTTTAGATAACTATTGGATTATTATATCAAACTATTATGGGACGAATAAGGTATTTCATTTTCTCAAAGTGCACTTATTAAACTTCAGATTATTGTTTAGAATTCCGAAAATTGGCAGAAAAATTGAGGATGATCAATCGATATTGTACTTCAAAAATCGTACACGGTTTGCCATTTTAGTGTTGGCGACACTTTGCTTATCCATATCACAAAGTAATGCTTTAACACTTAATTTTACTATTATCTGCATGAATAATGGATCAAGTGCACAACAGGTAACTCAGATGTAAGCTTATGATAGTCACAAATAGATGTTTGAGGAAGAAGTCTTTACTCCTTCGGAAAAGAGTTATCTTTTTTCGTCTGTTGCCATTGGAGCCATGGTAGCTGTTCATCCATGTATGCTTCTCATTCAGGTAGTCTCGAGAATTTTCGAATGATTAACAGGCTTCATTTCCAGAAGTTTGGAAGCAGAGCGATTTTCACATTTTTTGGATTCTTCTCCGCTTTTTGTACCGCTGTACTACCCCTTAGCATGGATTTTGGTTTTAAGTATGTGGTCATGCTAAGATTTTTGCAGGTTCGATTAGGTCACATTTTTGGTTAAAATTTCCATTTTAGGGAACAGGGTTGTCTCCTGTCTTCACATTGATAGCCATTGTTACTACCCAATGGTCTATGCTCAAACAGAACTCATTCTACATAGCAGTGCTCACATGTTTCTTTCAGGTAAGAATCTGATTGTTTATCTAATCTCTAGGTTCAGATCGGGCCAATTTTCACTATGCCTGTCGCTGGAGCTTTATGTTCTTCTTCATATGGATGGCAATCCGTTTACTATGTACACTCTCTGACCACTGTTATTCTATATCTTCTCTTTCTTTACTTCTACAGGTATATGCTACAAGAAGTCTGAATTAATTTTGCTTCGTAGAGAACAACCAGAAAGACATCGAATGGTTTCAGAAAAAGAACTTCTTAGAATAAAACGAAGTAAAGCCCAAGTTCTTGATCGAGAGCCTGTTCCATATAGAGTTTGCGATCATATGATATGAGGGTTAAAAACTTTTTTCAATAGAAAATAATCACATCACCAGCAATAATAGCTTGTTGGGTTACAGCTGTTGGAAACTTTCTTGGAATTCAAACAACAATGCAGTTCACACCAATTTTTCTTAATAAGGTAACTGAAGATAAGCTTGAAGACACCTAACTTAAACTGTCCAGGTTCTATCCTTCCCTGTGGACCAGACTGGGCTATTCAGTGCCATCCCTCAGGTAAAGCCAGCTATGTATGATATGAAACTGAACTACTTACAGATAGTTACTTTCGTCGTTAAAATATTGGCAGGAATTATGGCTGACAAAATGAAATGTTGTAGCATTGAGACATCTGTGAAGTTGTTCAACACAATAGCTGTGGCGGGGATGGGCATCGCCTTTATTGTTCAGGCGTATATACCAATGTAGGTTCATAGTATGAGCTCATAGAACATATTTTTTTTCAAGTGATTGCCCTATTCTGTCTCTGCTATGCTTGATTTTTGCTACTTCTATCATTGGCTTCAACTGTGGTGCGTTTTTCCGGAGCTCAGCTGTTGTTGCTGCGTAATGACTTTATCAACTACATTGAACGAACTATAAAAACATACAGACAACATAACCATTTCGTCATGACAGTCAATTCGTTTTTGAATTGTGTATGCGCACTACTATCACCAGTTATAGTTAATATACTGGTAACTAATAATACTTGGGATGAGTGGTGGTATGTTTCTCTCCCTATCTGATTGCGACAGTGGCCGCATTCAGGTATGTATGGATGTTGCATGGATCCTTTATGCTTGTGACAAACACGGCTTTTGTCATATTCGGAAAAGGAGAACCTGCCGCTTGGACGGAGCCTCCCGTTTTAGAAGAGAAAAACACTTTGGATGGAAATGAGCAGGAAGCTGACATGTGAGTCTATATTTGAGAAGAAAGATGCGGATCATGATGACAACGTTTCAGGCTACTTTGCGAAGAGAAGCTTTGATTTTGTGCTCCTCACTTTCGAATTTGATGACAAGTTGCGGATAAACCCTTTATTGATTCTTGTAGATTACGAAATAGACATATCAAATGAAAAAGTATTTCTGTAAAAGTGAAGTTAAAAGGTACAGGTATTATGATGAAACCATTCGAGCTTCGTATGCCACTTTCAATCTTGGCATCAAGGTGGAAATCAGCTAGTATATCAGTATATTGATTCGTACAGAATATTTGAAAACCTAGTCTTATCTGAATTCATTTTTTTTTTATTTTCTTCTTCAAAAATCCTGGAAGTTTGTGAATCACTAGATTCTTACTTATAGCGATCCGGATTTCAGTCTGCTATGTAGAATTTACATCTTAAATATTTTTAAAACACCTAATTGTGATTAAAACTATGTTTATTTTGATAAAAACTGATTTTACAGACAATTTGAAAATTTCAAGTCGCACGATGTACGGCGTGGGTGTCTACAAGTACGTCAAATTTCACGTGCTCATTAGGCCCAACGGGTCAGGTCCCTGGCGGGAGGCGAATCTAT